AGATTTTATGAGATTTTCATATTGAAAGTCAAAATGTATAATAGAAGTGACAATTAAGTTGGGAACGAAAAAACATTTATTTTCAGATCACCATCTTGGTGGATGGACTCTCATGGTGTTTCAATTATGGGGTTCTACTATTAGACACATATGTGCCTTGTATGGCGCTTATGTTTTCTAATAATACAAAACAAGCTTGGATAGGCAAGCAGTTTTGAAATATTAGGCACGCAGTTTGGGAAATACATGTGAATATAGGCGCGCAGTTTGACAAGAAAAATGTTCAAATCACGTTTATTATTATCGTTTTGAACACAAACTTTGCTGTTTTAATCAGATGGAGTGATCCTATATATTCTAGCATACACAGACACAATGGCTGAATAAACGGCAAATGACGATAAAAAGACATAGATATAACTTTACACTGTAAATTTTGAACACAGAAGTTACTTAAGACCCTTATATTGAGATAACTAGGTTTACATCGGGAAAAACATTGAGTACTATGAGTAAATTAAGTTCATCTTCACAGAGTGGTACTATCTTAGAACGAGACTAACCTTGTATTTTTCGTATTTTGGCTCTTTTTGGGAGTCGTGTCCTCCCCGTCTCACATTTTGAAATATGCGCGCAATTTCAAACTGCGTGCCTAGTAGGCACGCTGCTTGACATGGGCATCGTGTAACCTAACCTTGTAACTCAAATATTATGATAGGTTAACGTACCCGACGTGTAATAGTACAAAACAGCTGATTGAGTTTAACGTGCATCCGAAAGGGTATACTTGGGACTTTCATGTGGGGATTTCGGTAGCTACGATCCAATTATTAAATTCATGCTTCAATGTTTCAAATATTTTTTAACTTCTAATTAACGTTAATTTCTTTCACGGGGAAGTAAATGTTACTAAATTATGCTAAGTAAATGTAATCCATATAAAATTCTTGCTAAATATCATCTTCAAAATATTGATTTAATATTATTCAAAGTTAGTGAAATGCATATAAAATACGATCACATTTTCGTACAACGTATTACGCATACAGAGGGAACGATAAGCTCCACTGTTTCTTGGAATATAATATAACGCTTTCTAAGCATTTATTTGGAACATAATTGATTTAAATGCTCTACCTGAAGTTTGGTGTCGGACGAAATAGGTGTAGCCTAGATATTTCTGTCAATAACATGGATGCAATGATTTTTTATCATAATAGGTCCGTTATTATAAATGGTAATTTCTGTTGCATTGAAATAATTCTAAAAATAAAACATTTTGTAGATGCAGTGTTGTTATTAGCAAAAAGTAAGAGCGGGAAAAGATGATTTTCCTTCTGTATATTAGAGCATGGGCATTCAATTTATTGAAAGCCCATGATTAGAGTAACTATAATACGTTATTTTGAAAGTAATTTCATTAAAACAACATAGGACATATGCTTGATATGTTGACTTTCTTTACGAAGAACGGAGTGGCTCCAGGACCGACAATTGTCGGTACTGGAGACTGTCCAGGGGTATTTGCTGGGGTACCGACAATTGTCGGCACTCTATCGTCAACTAGTAGTGCCAGATAGAGAACCGACAATTGTCGGTACGCAAGTGGCTGCTACGTGTTTTTGCTAGAGAGCCGACAATTTCATAAATAAATCCACTATTTTTACGTTCAGAAATAACCTCATCACTGGTAGTCTAGTGGTTAGTGAGCACGACTTGACTTGACTTTTACTTTATATGGAGAAAAACGATGTGTCAAGAATCCATAGTAACACATAAATGAGTAAGTCATGTTCTTTATCTCTTATTGTTTTATTTTTAAGAAAATTAGTAGATAACGATCAGTGCATCTGCCAATATGAAATAAATTAAAAAATGGTCCACTTACTATTATAACAATGTGATGATGAGACAGTTGTCTTGCAGTGCCAGTCAATAGCTTATTTACTGACTACAAATATTTCCCTATTTCAATCCGCATATATGTCTTCTTTTATGTAATATCAGAGGTACAACTTTGCTTCAAGATTTTTTAATATCAAGTGAGTGCAACAACTTGCCGTATCCTTACTTGATTGTTTTGAATTCAATACTTTGCGCCTCTTTGCTAGTTTGTAAATGCCTTGCGCGTTTAGTGTCCAGAATGCTCGTTCATACCGTTATATATCATGAGCGGATTAATACATCATAACGAGAACACTGGTGATCCACTCGGAACGGGTAACCGACGAAGAAATGAACCTATCTTCGGAAGTTCCTCTTGGTATCATTAATTTTAATTGGATTAGGTCATCACTTAGAGCTCTACCATATGTAACAGAATATTAACGAGAAGTATATTATTGGAGGAACTATAAAATGATTTCAACCGTTAGCTGGTATAAATCAATATCAGGTAGTACCAGGAAGGTAGTATTATATGCTAATCTTGATTGGCTCGTAGCTAGGGTGACCTGGTAATCATAAATCAATCATCGTGGTCCACGCCCTCTCCATCTCTATAGGGCTCCCCAAGAGGGGGCAGTGGGGTCGCTTTTGTCACTTTTAAGATTTCAAAATTCTCACTTTGTCACATTTAAAATTTACTTGTCATATTTTGTCAGATTCGTTCCTTTTTAGTCAGTCAAAGTATTTAATGCACTAAATAGTCTGTTATGTTCCATTGTTTGATTGTTAGAATAAGTCATCTTAACTAGCATCAATTTACATTCAGAACGAATTATCTATTTTTGTCACTCTCAAAACACTTGTCAGTCTGATAAATGTGCAAAATTGTCACTTGCAAGCATTGATTTGTCACATTTGTTCGTTTTTAAGTACCCCAAAGTCCTATTTTTAGAGGCCAGGTCGCCTTATCACATACCCCTTGGGGAGCCCCCTCTATCCTTCTGGATCTGCGATGCAACAGAGAGAGATGCTATGAGTATCAGAATGTAAATCAATAGGCAGGCTGACTTTGAAAATCCATCTAATTTGTTTTCAATTCAAACAGAACATAGCAGAAATGTTTTGCAAACATCAACACATTAATTTGAATGATAGCCTATATACAGATAGGAGAGGGACGTGCCGTTTGATAACAATTTGGCAATTTAATACTAAAATTTAGTTGTTTTGCAACTAAATATAAAGAAACAAACTGCAAAGATTTTTCATAGCTATATGTTCTTTAACAGGTTAATATAAAGCCATTTTGAATGTTTTTTCACCATTTTGACTTTATATCTTAAACATCGAAAATGTATTTTTACAAAATTTACAAGATTTACACGTTTTACAAGATTTACACGTTTTACAAGATTTACATGATTTATAGTTTACTTAAATATCAAGGATCGGCAGGTATCTATATAATCATGAACCCAATACAAGTGCTGTAAACTATAACCTCATCCTTCAAGATCGGTCCTTCACTGCTTTCATAGCAGATCATGTAATGCAATGAATTACTCTTGGGCCAAGGATGTATAACCTTCTCCTAGCATGTTGTTTCGAGCAATCATCATGCCTCATTTCTTCTAGCAGGCCTACGCACAGAACGAAACTGCTTGTGGAGATATGCATTAATTACTATCAACAAATGTGAAAATAACAAATTTGTACAGGGTAACACCTTTGAATTCCAAGGTGGAGCGACTGAAACCTTGTGATTGATGTGGAGCTGAATGCAAATCCAAACATGGAAAATGTGTGATGGTGCTAATCTTTGTCTCTAAAAGTGAATTAGAATTAATTACTCGGTGAAGCTTTAAGATATTTAAGTTAATTAATTAAATGATGACCAGATTTCAAGATTATATTCTGACACCACTCAAATAATTATTCCATGTTTGTCTCGGTACGACATGGAGAAATGGGTGATGCAAAAACAATATTTTTTCTAAAACAAAATAGAGTTACGTAGTGAAAGATTTTTACGATTATTAAATTCAAAGATGGTATGTCATCTAAAATGTCAAATTAGAATGGGTGTAAATTGTTAACAAATTTATTTGAATTATAACTCATAATTTATAAAAATGAATTCATATTATCAAATGAAACGATAAGCTTTTTTCAATGTCGGAAAAGACTTTTTTCCGTTTCATTAAGGTACAATTTTAGGGAACACCCTGTACATATTAAGCCAGGCTTACTTTTTGTCACTTTAGAACAGCCTAATAGTGATTATCCTGAACATCTCTGGAATTTGATGACACCATGGATCATAGGGGGAATCGGATTTTAATTAGGTCTGGGAGACTTTGAATAGCATCCCATGCTTTTTCTAAATAGTGTACAGGTGTGCTAAATCGAAACTCCCAATATTCCATTCTTTTAAAGCAGACATTTTACCTATAAAAAAAGTAATAAAAATGACACTGTGCTATAAAAAATGAGATAGAGAAAATATTGTGGCTCGGAAATAAAGAAAAAATGAAAACATGATCTGCCATGGCCGGGATTTGAACCTGCAAAATCATGGTTGCAAGCCTGATGCCCTTAATTTCAGAAATTTTCCTCCACACCACAATTATTAAATAGTAGTCAATAATCATGCTAAGAATATTAGAATACATATTTGAGTAAATATTCCAAGCCAAATTCAGAATTAATTCCTGTCATGACTGTCAAAAAAACATGGCCCCCAAAACAAAATTCTTGCTTCCAATTTTCAAAATGATATAGATTCATGGATCAGCTATTTTTGGCACCTGAACCCATCCTAATTCTTGAAATCCCCAATTTCAGCCTCTGAAGTCTGTGAAAGTCACTTTAAAAGGCAGAATCAGATCTATTGGGACGACAAAATTGCAACAAGCATGTATAGTTGACCTATAAATATATTCCTTACTTTTTCAAATATAATACCTCCCAAGGCTGAGATCCGCGATATGTTATCAATTTGGGGGAGTTAATTAAGAAATATAGAACGAAGAGCAGGGGTAATATCGTCGAATACACCCCGCGGGGCTAGGCACAAACGTTTTCTGTACCCCGAAGGGAGTTAGTACCGCGTGTATAACAGGGTGCAAGATTTACAAGGTGCCATGCAATTTTCAACAGTTCACTCCCGGTTGCTCTAATGGTGGTGAAAGCACTGTAACTACTTCCTGTAGGAAGCAATAATATTCTTCCACCGTTCATACAAGTCTTTCTTTTGAACAGGCCAGAATATTTTTAATTTTTTCCACCCATTTTCCTGTGTTGTTAAAATATGCTTGTTATCAGGGTCTAAAGAGGATGTATATGCTCCCATGACCATGGACATTGCCAATCTCGACGCGATGCAGATTTTCAACACATCTAGGTCGGTCTCATTGAGGGAGAAATATGAAGTATATCCAGCCAGAAAATACCCACCAACATCAAGAGGATCGATAGCATTGCACTCAACCATGAGATAACAAACCGAAATAGCAACGTCGAATATGTAATACGACAAAGTGGAATCTTGGAAGTCCAACACTCCACACACGTCATATTCCTTCTCAGACTTGTCTTTCTGATTTGATTCCCGTACAAGGACATTTTGTTCGTTAAAATCTCCATGAATTATTCCTGAAATCACAAATTGTTAACGTAATTAGTACTGTAATTGTAGGATTTTTGTAAAAATAGAATTAGCATGTCTGAAAAATAGCATTTTACAATGAAGAGCCCATCATATTTCATTTAGTCAAAAGTGTTTAATGTGTGCCTTTAGTGTATCTAGGGTATAGAGTACTAAAGAATAATACTCTTGGAATATCACAACCACCCCCCCCGGCACAAACGTTATACTTAGTATATAAACCATTAACCATATGAATACTCCACCTATAGATTAACTCACCTTTCGTCATTTTATAATACAGTGGCTCTACTTGTGTTTGGAAAGCAGAACGGATTTCATGTATTAGAGCATTTTTCTGAGGATCCGCAACTGCATGGACATACTTCTTCAATGTCTCAGGGGTATTGGTGAGGTCCCAAACACGTGTCTTCAATAGGCTGGTGAAGTCTGCATACGTTGAACTGTCAAACGTTGTCTCCTAAAGAAATAATGTAGAAATTAGGAACTAAAATATCTGCGACCTACACCTTTGACTTGCACCTTCGACCTGCAGGGTGACCAAAAAGATGACCGCGTCACAGGGATTTTACTACCTTCCTAGAAATTAGTAGTCGATTTTGATGTACGAGGGTTGATCATAAAGTTCTCATAATATCTCTCTTATTTCTTTATTTTTCAATATTTTTAAATGAAATTTTCACAGAATGTGCAGCATGGAATGTTTTATTAATCAAGCAAACAATATTTAGAATAACAGAAACATTAGATAAGGAATGGTTGCCATAGTAACTTGAAATCAAGGCACCTGAGGCAAATAAAAAAACTAACTCGAATAGCCCCCATTAACCATGTTTAAATACATAATAAGTTGTCAAATAAGCTATCAAACACATTAAATTGTCAAATAATATGGGCTCTTAACTGTTGTGAACTATTATAATGGTCATGTGAATTGTGTGATCTCATAATGGATGATTGTTATGCTTCATTTGAAGTGACTGTTAGACCCCATTACTGTTTTGTCAAACATCCTGAGGAAAATTGATTTTGCCCCTTTAGTTCATTTTTAACATGTACAGACCACACACAGGGTGTAATTTTGTTGATATCTTAGCAATATATTTGTAAATAGATCATGTTTAGTCTGACCAAAGGATCTTACAAACTTAACATAACATTTTATCAGTATGAATTTTACTTTTCTGAAGATGTCTGCTTCTTTTGCATCCTCTTATTCAGTCATTTCTGATCATTAGCTTTGCGTCTTAGACTCTGGTATCACATCCAATGGAGCATGAAAGCACCCCTATGACATCACACAATTTACATGATCGATTTATTTAATTCTTAAAGCACATATTCAAGTTAAAATTTTAACGTGTTTTGTAATTCATGAGAGTTTATTATGTATGCATACATGGTTGATTAAGCTCATTCTCTCAATTACTTTTATTTGCCCCGGGTGCCTTGATTTCTCGTTACTATGGTAGCCATTTCTTATTTAATATTTCAGTTAAACTAAATATTTTTTGCTTAATTAATAAGGCATTCTATGCTGCACATTCTGTGAAAATTTCATTAGAATATATTGAAAAATAAAGAAATTAGAGACATATTATGAGAACTTTATGATCAACCCTCGTATATCGCATTTCTCTTACAACTGTAATCTTGGGTAAATTGTCGAAGTGACAATTTGAAATGAATCATAACAATGTCCATTTTGATATCTTTTAACAATTACCGCAGGAGAAAAGAAATTGGGTTTCGAACATGATGTGAATAAGTTCATACTTTGGCGTATGCAGGAATAGGGTATGCTACTGAACACGTGGATGCGCCAGACTGGATGCGCGCCTAGTCTTGTGTGCCTTAATTAGTACTATGAGATGTAGATATGCACCTCTGTCATTAAGAAGATATGAAGGCTTGTCTCTACAATATCAGGGGCGTAGCCAGCAATTGTAAAGGGGTGCGATTTTTTGGGCGCACCCATCGCACCCCCCCCCCCCCCCCCCCACCACCTGGCTATGCTCATGATATTACAGTGCCCCTCTACAATATTACTTACCTTAGGGTGATGTGGATATCCATCTCTACCAGAGGCGTAGCTAGCCCATTTTGCGAGTGTACGCCCGTATGATTTCCCGGTTTTATCAAAATTAACAAAACGATGGTTCCATAAAATAGGAAGATCCCGGGTGTTCAGAAGATAGGGGACACACTAAACACTCTTAATTCAATGAAGGAAATATGTATTGTTTGATCATTTTGACATAGCTTTTTAAAGGGATTGAATTAACTGTATTAACAGATAATATTCGGGAAACAAAATAGACAGATTCTATATAATCATGCCATCGGCGATCGAAGCCGTCTATCAAGGCGATTTTATTTTTTAGGCTACCTAAAACTGTATGTATGAGGCTCATTGTTTTAAGCTTTTGTGGTCATTCTCCATGAAATATTATTATTTTTTCTGTGTTTGTTTTTATCTAGCTCACAAGATGATTAACAATAAAAGAACAGTTACACGACCGTCTCAACTCCATTTCGGATCTCAACAATCTGTACGTGATTCTATAGAATAAATTCTATCTTTCTGTTTTTTTGCATTTGCGAACATGTCAATAACAGTATCAATGTTTATATCCTGTTCCCTATGGATATGTGTCATGGCCAAGGAAGAAAGTCTTTCCTCATTCATTGTGGAACGCAAGTATGACTTAATGCGTTTCAAACTGCTAAAGCTTCAAACTGATTCAAAACAAAGAAAATGAAATAATCGAGAACTTTTTTATTTATTTATTAACACAAGTCTTCATAGATCTCCTATCGATTTCTATCTCTTGGTAAAAAATTATTTTTCATCACAATTAATCAGGTAAATTTTATTTTTCCTTAAAATTTGAGAGTACGCCTGGGCGTACTTGGCGTACACGTAGCTACGCCACTGCTACAATTTTGCTTACCTTCAGTAAAAATGATTGTGTGTCTCTATATTATCATATTAAGTTACATTAATAAGATGCGGATGTGCACCTCGAAAAACGTACTTGCCTTTAGAAGATGGTCTATTTTCCCAAGCATCTGACCAGCGTTGTAGAATAGAGATGGCGTGTATGGTACCGTCAGTAATACTTCCCCAGGTATATATGTCAACAGACGCACTACATGCTCTTTATATGGTCTATCAACTCCTTCCTCTGATTAAATGAAAAAAATCAAACGAACTTTTGAGACCAAACAATCAAAATCTAGAAGCAGTTTGAAAGTGTAAATTATTGAGTCAAAAACGCCTAAATGTGCAACAATATATTAAGAGAATTTGTACGCGAACGTTTAAAATATCATAAGAGCTGCCCAGGAAATTACTTTCCACGCACGGACTTAGGCTGCGTTTTGAACTGCCTGCGGCGCAAGTCAATTGCATAATATCTAATAAGTTTTCACCCTAGTTACAACGAAAAAAGCTATAACTTAGCCCCTGCGTTGCAAATTACTTGATCACACGTTTTCAACAAAAAACAGCTCATCCAAGCACACTTACACCGCTAATATTACTATGTGTCAAACTTTTCGGCTAACCACGTGTGTCAACCGCGTCGGCTAGTTGCTAGTGCACCACAGGAATTCAATTGCAATAAACCGTGGAGTCTTTCAAAATAATTATGTGAGTGTTATTACGCTCGGATGAGCTATTTTTGTTGAAAACACATGAGCATGTTATTTGCTCTGCATGACTTATTGTTCTTTTAGACTTAGTGATACCTGAGGAGAAAACTCGTTAAAATATTACGCAAATTCACTTGCACCGCGATAATACAAAAAATACAACCTTTACAACTGTTTCTTATAACACTTTCACACCTTGTTCATACTCAGTCGGAAAATTAGCTATTACGAAGGGGGACTAATTCCCAGAAGACCATAATTCTACACGTTCACGTAGTTCCATTGTAAAAAAGTAGCGATGTAGCTAAGAAAGATTATAAAATTGAAAATACGTCTACCATGTTTGCTCATCCACCCTTCGTCAACTGAGTTCGGCTTGTAAATGACCTGGAGAGACTTTTCTCTCCCAAGTACATTTGGAACGGGTTGTGGACATGGGATACCATGGTTGTGTAGCACTCTCTGCAATTTGTGTTCTGCATCTATAATCAAAAGTACAAACATTCCATGAATCTCATTCTGGTAAGTCCTTTTCATTCTGATACTCATAGCATCCCTCCCCGGGCATCTCTCTCTGCTGCATCGCAGATCAAGTACTTTTATAACAAACAGTATAGGGACTAGCCTGTAAGATAAATAGATACTAGTAAATAATAAATTCACTTTCGAAATCAAAAGTTTTTGAAAGAGCTTAAATAGTCAAGATTGCAATTCTTCTAAAAATACAAGTAAACTTAACATTTATTTTATTAAACAATCTTACCAATGTGTGATTTTCGAGATTCCAAGGAGTTCGTAATCTTGAGAGTATACCCATAGGGCCATCGTTTCTTCATAGTATTGTTGTTGTCATGTTCTATTTTCACCATTACGAAGAAATTTCTATCATTGTAGCTGGGCATTTCCTTGATGAAAATCACCTACAAATCCGAAATTTTAAACATTCATCTTTTTCTTTTTTTCATGTTTTGTTTTGGGAAAAGGACATTGGGCGTGGAGTAAAAATTGTATTTTTATTAATCAACCCGTCATTTTGAAGTTGATTTAACAAACAACCTGTTAGTCGACGAACACTGTTACTGTGGTCAGTGATCGCATGATTTTTATGTCAATGTAACGGTATTTCTATGGTGTCGGTCAAGTTGAACAAAAAATTGAAAAGCCATCTTCAAAATTGAACACAAATTGTGTCTTATGTAGGTACCCTGTCTGACACCCAATTTGAGTCCCAGGGAGTCCCTCGGGGATTAATTTTGGAACCCCTGCTATTTATAATTTACGTTAATGACATACTAGTATTCACAGCATCAAAAAGCCTTAAATCTGTTTTCTTTGACACCAATCGTTTAGCTTCTGACCATCATTTAACAAGACTAGCTACATCGGTTGAATTGGCGAATATAGGTTGTTTCTTCACTGCTAAATACAAAAAGGTAACCCAAACAAATCTTAACAACTTCGTCAAATGGGTAAGTCATATTAGGCACAATTGAAATGGTTACGATTGTATGGCCATTTTACAAAACATGCTCCAAATGCCAAAACATACCAAATTACCTAATATGAACCGGGATATGAACCCCCAGAATTTTACCTTAGGGGTTTTGATAGTAAATGTGTACATAACAACCGCAGAAGCCTCAGAGAGTTTAAGACAAAAGATTAGAAGGGGAATGAGAGCCATTACAATAGGCATTTGTGAGCGTGTCGTCAGAAAACTTCATGATGCGTTCAAGTTTGTCTACAAACACTAGACTGGCATTTCGGGCATGTTTTGAACAATGGCCATAAAATTGTGACCATTTGGAAAAGACCAAATCGGGGACCAAAGAAACTTAAATGAATGAAAGAATATTGAACAATGTTCAATTATAAAAAATACGTTTTTAAACCCATAAATTGATGACTGAGTTATTCATATTCAAATGAGTTTGACATCAAATTGCAATCAACCCGGTTGCCGCCGCTGACCGAAAATTGCATTTGCGAATACTAACTAAAGTCATGGAACATCATAAAAACACAGCGCGCGCCAACATAAACATCCATGTTTGGTATATGCATTGTAGTTTATCATGAAAATACTTGTATATACCACGGTGGGGATTGTCATCACGTGACCTTCGTAATTGATGGTGTCTGAACAAGTTGTACGGTTTTCTCGATTAAGCCAGAAAAATGAATATTTTTCATATTTATACTTTGTTAACAGCGTCAAGTTTCTCCCCACTTATGTATACTATCTCAGTCTTTCAAACGAACCTAAATTGACAAGCAGAGGACGCATATTATTTGAGATATGACTGTTTTTCGTTTCGAAGAATGATGGTGTCTGAACAACTCTTAAATTCTGTATGATGGTGTCTGTACAAATTTTTTAAATACACGACATGGATACCAGTCTCCATGTTTTCATGTGTAATTGTTTATTATATACTATGCATTCCTGTACTCTCGTATATTTAAGGCTTTGTATAAAAACCTAGTACCTCTTACCCACGTCCCGACCCACGTACGTGGGGCATGATACAGTCTTTGAAGGGTTCAATTTTTAAAATATAAGATCATTCAATCTTCGTCTATGCTGAATTGTAAATGCATTAGTGCACGTCGAAAAAAGGCGAACGCATTCCGTTCGGACTTTTCACGCGAGTTCCGAATGTCACGCATTTGCATTGAAATATGTGTATATGTCGAGCATTTTCTTCGAAATATTTCGTACCATTTTGGATGTTGACTATACTCGTGCTACAAATGTACAAAGTGGATTAAGAATATAACTATACAATTGAATAATAACTCAAGGGAAATTGGTAACCTACCTAGAATGTCAAGATAAGGCTGTCCCAAGGTTAAGAAGGAGCATTATACCCAGCTCATTTGAAAGAATAATTGACTTAACATCAGGATATCATCAAGTCGATACATGCTGATATTCATATGCTAAGTCAATGGAACCAAATAAAATAATAAAACAAAAAATGAAATGAAAATCAAAGGTTAAGGTCAAAATTGCAAACAAGAATCTTTTATTATCAGATATGCACTGACTTGACCTTTACAAGGTCACTATGGCCTCAATAACAATTAGGATGCACCTGAACACTATGCCATGATTAATGCCTTACTAACTACCATATTATATGTCATAATGGTCATGAATGACCTGAGGGCAGTTTTATATACTTAGTATGACGGATCTTTTATCTATTAATGCTCGTTCACTAGAAGCAATATTCACTAAAATTGTCACGTTTTTCATTTGCTGGGGACTTCCAGGAAGTTGTCTTTAAGGTGTGACTATATTGCCACATTTAGGTTGCATTACAACCTTGTCTTTATGGGTGTACTACTCTCCCCGTCATCCAATTCGGAATCACCATCCATAATTGAGCAAACAATTACACTTTCGTGTGTTGGGATGAATTTACGATCCCTGAGACTAAAATCATCGTTCCCCTTGCTGTGATTAAACAAAATGAAGCATAGAATTCCATTTAGCAAATCCCCGACATATTAAAACCTAATTTAGCGTAGATTTTCCCTATTGGACGAGCCTTTGAGCCTTTGGCGCTATTTTTAAAAAATTGATGTGATAATCCTTTAAAGCTTTAAAAATTGAACCCATCAAAGACTGTATCACGACTCACGTACGTGGGTACGTGGGCATAAGGTTTTTTATACAAAGCCTATATTTAATAAGTTATTAGTGTAGAATCTAGACCCTATTAATGTTACATAATTTTGCAGAGCAATTTACTTTAATCAGGACAATGACATCACGAAGAAATCCTGTATTTTGATCGGTCAGATTTCTCTGGCCTCTCAAAAGGTGACTGGCTTTACTGAATAATCATCTTTGTTCACTCGGCTCCCGTCGGAATGCAATGAAGACTGAGCGTGCGAAGATGCTGAATAATACCATCCCTGGGCAGTCTAAATCGATTGATGGATTCATGTTATATTGTTTTATTCAAGTACATCAAGTAATCTTTTGTAATATTGGATAAATAACGTCTGATCAATTAACTTAATCGCCCAGTTTCTGGTGACAATTCAATTCAATACAATTCCTCTGATGGATTATTGTCCCACACATGATTTGCAAATCTTTCAGTGAATGTTGGAAATTCAACCAATGGATGGCAGTGATAACAGGCAGACATCACAATTCTACGTTGATTTCGGTTTAACACATTGGAAAGAAGCAGATGTATTTATAAAAAAACACATGAAAACACGAGGACTACTTTCCAAGTAGTGTATTTTAAAATTTGTACAGACACCATCATGCAGAATTTAAGAGTTGTTCAGACACCATCATTTTTCGAAATAAAAAACAGTGATATCTCAAAAAATATGCGTCCTCTGCTTGTAAATTTAGGTTCATTTGAAAGACTGAGATAGTATGCACAAGTGGGGCGGGATTTGAAGCATTTAACAAAGTATAAATATGAAAATTATTCGTTTTTCTTGCTTAATCGAGAAAATCTTATGACTTGTTCAGACACCATCAGTTGCGAAGGTCACGTGATGACAATCCCTACCGTGATATACCAAGTATTCCAATCTATTTTCGTTGAATACATGTTCAGTCTTCCGTACGAATACCATTGGAAAGCTACTGTTGTCGTCTTACATAGTACCCCACACACAATTTTGTCGCCTACTTTGATGTGTTGTAGAAAAATATCCAATAAGAGTTTTCTCATGAAGTTTGGCATACATTAAATTGAAACAATTTGTGACACTCAAATCTTTTTGTTTTGGGTAATATGACTTCACAGCAATTTGACTTCGGTTTCTAAATTGCTACGCATTTACAGATTTGACCTAAATTAAGCTAAATTTTGAAACAATTTGTAACAAATTGATTACAAAAAAATGTGAATATTCTGGTCAATCCTATCCTATTAAACACCATTATAATTCACTGGTAAAAGAAAAACTGAACCAAGCAGGAGTGACTGTTATAATGTTACAATGATATGATGTTACCCCTGAAAGTTCACATGTTTAAACCATGTGAATCATTTCCAACAAAAGGTAAGGCGTCGGTGGCCACCTGTGAGGTATTGGGCAAATATGGCCTCCCGATCGTAGGCCAACGAAAAATTGAGTGCAAGCTCACTGTTAATAATGCCTTAATTGTCTTAAACAAAATACAACCATTTTCTTGAGATTTTATGAGATGCGAGCTACTTGAAAGGATTTTTTAATTGAGTGAGACAGTAGGAAATGCTGTAGTGGTAGGATGGGATAGAAATCCAAGCAGGGATGTCGTATTAAAAGGGGTCTTCACTCTTAAACAATAATAAAACCACACTTACAATATTCCTGTTTAGGAGTTAAACATCTCCAACACATAGTAACAATATCTTAAGAGAACAGACAAACCATATGTAATGCAATAAGTTTGTAATCAAAATGATTTAAATTCTCTTTAAAAAATGCAAAACTGGAAATTTTCGTCGAATTTTGTTAAAACATGAATATTTAAAATTGCTTGTTTTTCGTCAATATTACTTAAATTTCCAAATAAAAAAATTTGAGTGTCACAAAATGTTTCAAGTTTAAGTATGCCAAAAATAAGCAAACTCTTTTTGGATATTTTTCTACAATACATCAAAGTACAAATTGTGTGTGGGGTACTATGTATTTTTCCAGAATGTATTATATTGAAGGAATAATACTTTATAACCAAAAGAATTCCCATGAAAAGACTGATAAGATGTCACTGGTAACTCAAAGAAATGCTGATATTTCAAATTTTCTAATTTTCCAAATTTTTTCTCAAAGTTGCTGGACAACACTGGAGCTCCCATTGACCTCTCACCAGGTTTACTGAACGGATCGTACCTCCATCCCATATAAGACTTTTACCAAATCCTTTGCCACTGTTTCATTAAGTTGTGGTTTTATAAGATTACTTTGTTGAAGACCTGCAGTATCCAATTCTGTGTCTTTTTCTTGGTATCCAATTTCCATTTTGCACGAAGGCTCGGCCTCTTGACATACGTATTTGACCGGGTGTATTGATGACCCCACTGATCAACAAGTTTTCTTCCAATTCAATTGACCACGTTCACGTGACGTCGGATCTAATTGATACAGGTAGAGTGAAAAAACTGCATGAATAGCTTTGAAAATATTTGTTCGATGTTATCACATTTCAGGTATTGGTGGCCAGTCATGTATAAAAACTGGCTGAAGCAGTAATTGAATTACAAAAGCATGAAATATGAAAATGCAAGAGAAATGTCCTATTTTGATATATTGACTTTCTTTTCACAATATACAAAAAATTAAACAGATCACAGCTGATAGATTTCTGATTTCTATATACATATTTTTACTGCAGTTTCGCCTGACCAGGTAAAGTAACTGCTGAACTGGAAACCTGATTTCGCAAGCTGTTCATTAATCATCAATATATTATTCAATATATACTACCCTTGGTATACCACCCTATGCAGACAGAGCCTGTGGGAAATATTGGGTGCGGCGCAAATGAGCGGAGGGTGCGGAGCTAACGGTCATTTTTGAATTTAAAATTGGGATATTTCTGAAACTAAGCCGTTTTGGGACTTCAAATATACCAAGATATGTGTATTTGACACCAAATATCAATAAAATTGTGAAAATAGTAGTGCAATTCATTTTATAGCGACGCATTATGCCTTAAACATTTCCCAGACCTATATATTTTGAGACCATCCTTTTAATACTGCGTCCCCAGCATTCATAAAAAATGGTGTTCAAGATACACTACCCATGCAAATTATTTTTGCATCTTGGAAGCCAGGCAGTATCTGTGTGATTTTATAAAATTCGGAAATGTTCTTCAGATATGAGCCCCCTCTAAATATTGGGTGCGGAGGTACGTTTATGGAGCACCCTCCCCTCATTTGCTCCGCACCCAATATTTCCCACAGGCTCTGTCTGCATAGGGTGTATACGCAGCGAACGGAAATTGACCGGTACGGGTCAAAAGCTGGACCGGTACGGGTTAACGGTTTTATTTGAATTTAAAACAGCCATAACTTGCTCAATATTGACTTCTTCGTGTCTAATTTGAAATATATGATGCCTCCCGATGCTTTTAAGTACCCCAATTTTTTACAGATTTTTAAACGGACCAAAACTCTCTAAATGCGCATTTATGCTCTTTTCTCTCGAGAACGACTGTCTCATTTTCACGATAACTTTTATTTAGTACTTCTAACATATAAGATCTATTTTTCCCCATCAAGGTATGATGTAAATGACATGCTATTTACATCTTGTGAGTTTCAATGACGCGCGTTTGATTTTATAAAAAATGCCAAACTTTGTGACAAAGAATTTCATCCTGCTTGCAGCGAGTAAAAATGAGGCCAATCTACTGGTATTTTGGCTATGTCATTTATTGTTCGCATCCACAAGATTTATTACAATCTGACACAGATGACAGTGAGGACGACGAAGCCAACGATGAAAAAGGACACAAGAAATTTCGAGGTAAGCGATCTAAAAGATCAGGCAGGATGCGAACAATAAATGACATAGCCAAAATACCAGTAGATTGGCCTCATTTTTACTCGCTGCAAGCAGGATGAAATTCTTTGTCACAAAGTTTGGCATTTTTTATAAAATCACACGCGCGTCATTGAAACTCACAAGATGTAAATAGCATGTCATTTACATCATACCTTGATGGGGAAAAATAGATCTTATATGTTAGAAGTACTAAATAAAAGTTATCGTGAAAATGAGACAGCCGTTCTCGAGAGAAAAGAGCATAAATGCGCATTTAGAGAGTTTTGGTCCGTTTAAAAATCTGTAAAAAATTGGGGTACTTTAAAGCATCGGGAGGCATCATTTATTTCAAATTAGACACGAGGAAGTCAATATTGAGCAAGTTATGGCTGTTTTAAATTCAAATAAAACCGTTAACCCGTACCGGTCCAGCTTTTGACCCGTACCGGTCAATTTTCGTTAGCTGCGTATACCAAGGGTGTATACACCCTGTATAGTCTGTATATGCGCAGCTACCAATAATGGACCGGGTGGGTGCGACAGCGTGACTAATGGTTATCAGCTGGTAACGGTTACCTTTGAATTTAGATAACCCATCTTAGCCTAAATATCAACTTTTTTTGCCTTTGAAATCTATGATACTTTGGATAGTATCACTATTAGCGAAATGAAGATTCCGGCCCAAATTCCAGCTTTAGTAATGGAGTTGCACAAAAAGGAAACATAAGCGACACAAACATATTAATGTAATTCTTTAATACAAAATGCGTAATTCTTCATAACCTTATAATAATCATATTAGTGTGTATCAAGTGTCCAATAAACCTCGTGTGATATAATTAATTTTAAAATACGCTTTGTTTGCGTAGGACATGTGATATCTGTAAATCCATGATGTGTTATTTATTGTATCATCAGAATAGATATTGAATACGGAAAATCAGAGTTGAAAATGAGAGTTGCCAAATTTTAGATTGACAAACGTCCAATTATGTAATATCAATTGCAAGAGTCCCATATTCAGGAGACATGACTGGTAAGTGTTTTATGTAAACCGTCTCCATCTCATGCCCTCTGGTGTGATGGTGAAGTTAGTACTACCTTGGTCGAACACTTTACTATGAGGATGTTTACTTCCACATTCACCGTTACACACAGCTGAAAAACGAATGTTAATTAATCACACCCGGTGATCGTGAAAATGGGACGGAGGGGGGGGGGAGCAGGCAATTTCCGCTAGAAAATTCAACAAATCTGGTAAAATTATTTTTTCAAGACATAGTTTACGATTGAATTGCAAATTGAATAAGCGCACGGTATGATAAAATATGTTAGGTATTCTAGGATTATTTTTCAACCGATACTCTTTTAAGATATAAGATCTATTAAAAAAGGCGCAACACAACCAACGTGCAAAAGTCAAAGTTTTTGCTATAAATCAAGCAACAATGGACTACACGACCTGTAATAAATACTTGTAAGTGATGTTATCATAACTAAATTAATGTCATTGCTGAATTTATAAAATAAGTTTCCATACGTAAAATAAAAAATAATCGAAAATAATTAAAATGGGACGGAGGGGGGGGGGAGGGGACGGAGGGGGGGGAGTAATAATTCCATGAAGTGAAACAACTTCACACGAATTCTTGTATTTGAAAAATGAACTCATTAACTTAGTAAGAAACTGGATGATATACCCATGGAGACTGAAAAATGGGGACATTTGGAGTAAAAGGACTTAAAGTCGCGAAACATCTCTAATCATGTCTTATATACATATTGCTCCCCCCCCCTCCGTCCCCTCCCCCCCCCTCCGTCCAAAATTCATTATTTTCGATTATTTTTTATTTCACATATGGAAACTTATTTTATAAATTCAGCAATGACATTAATTTAGTTATGATAACATCACTTACAAGTATTTATTACAGGTCGTCCAGACCATTGTTGCTTGATTTATAGCAAAAACGTTGATTTGTGCCTGTTGATGGCCTTGCGCCTTTTTTAATAGATCTCATACCTTAGATGCGTATCGTTTCAGAAAAAATCCCAGAAAACCTAACATATTCTACCATACCGTGTGCCTATCCATTTAGCAATTCAATAGTAAACTTTTTCTTGAAAAAATAAATCTTCCAGATTTGTTGAATTTCCTAGCAGAAATTGCCTGCTCCCCCCCTCCGTCCCATATTCACGATCACCGGGTGTGTTAATATATGATTCGACGTATAATTATACAATAAACTATTTGTGAAATTTTGTGAAACTTTGGATGTGGCTATTCTATTCATTTAATGTGTGCGTCAATCAAACTAGTGTCAACTGTCACCTCCTATATCCGAACAACCCAATTCACGAGGATATCATTTTAATAAGGTTGATTTGGTTACTAAAAACGCTGATTTGGTACAATGAAAACACAGAGTGAAACAGATTATCTACTTACCAACTTGTACGGGATAAGTTCCAGGTTCCCATTTCTCACATGGTCCTTGAGACGGGTCACAGCCGGGGTCGGGTTGGGCTTTTAGTTGAATATTAAGTTCGTAGTTACCTGCGAGCTTTGCTTCATTCAGGAATGCTCCCTCTTAAATTTATAGAAACAAGTTATTGTAATATTTCCTTTGGTTGGTGTAAACTTTACACTGTAAAGTGAGGCCATTTTAAAAGCATGTTTTAACATACTGTCGTTTCTGAGAAACGTTTAAAGCTTTTGCCCATCACCATTAATCCCTTTCTAGATTACCATTGCCAATTTCTACATAAGGGCAGTGGATGATTGCATAATTTCATTAAACACTGAAAGAGGTATTATTTTTAAAACCGAATTAAAATGGCCCCTTTAGGGATTTCAAATGTCCCGCTTGAAGTATGACGTAATGACTGACCAATCAGAGAAGTTCCTGACCAAACTTTGAACCAATCAGAGGCAGAGGTCAATACGACTAGATAGCGTGGGTGCAGAGATAATAGGAAGCGCAACCAAAGTTTGACCACTGTTTATAGTTATTTTTATCGCTTTTCTTCGAAGTGAGGTAAGAAATATTTACTAGTATGTTTTTTAACCCTCCGTCCTTCCCCATGGTGCACCACCTGTACTGAGACGGGGCGTTTTTTATACGCCCCATCTAATTTATGTCTGTGTTTAACATCACTCTTCTTCTTCCAGTTCAAGAAAACTGTAAGCATTACTTCTGGGGTAATCTTAGATATGAGGTTAGACTCCCTATTCCCAATGTCAAAGAAGTTAGTTGTTAATAATTGTACAGATATAAAATATAGAACAATTTTTGTAATGGATAAATACTTTTTCAACTTATAAATAGTAGAAAATGGTGGAGTTGCCGGTTACATTAAACTTAATCGTATTAGCCTAATTCTCAGAAGTCATTTACTAGTTGATGTCACTTTTCTTCATTAGTGCAAGTGCACTGGAACATACCGACTGGAAGGCCATCCTGGGTCTCTACTTGTAAGATGACTTGGCCTGTGCCAGTACCATTGTTGGTAGCCCACACTAAACGGATGTTAAAAGTACCTAGAGCGAATTAAAAAAATGTTTTTTGTTATGCAGGAATTTGTATACATGGTCAGCTGGAAAGATAGTGAACTTGAATAATGTTTGATTATATATTTCAGAATTCTCAATCGCAACGAATCGCAATCGAACGATACGGTAAATTGTGAAATGGTGTTGAAGATAACTAATAAGCTTTATATACATTACCTTGTGGTCCAGATGGTGGGTCCACTGTGAGGGATGTGATCTTTGCATCTCCATTATCGTTAATTGGGCACGCTCTAAGCAGCTGACAGTAGTAAATGGGATCTAAATCAGCCCTACAGTAACACAAACAAGAATTTATCTACAAACAGTAGGTCGGCACAATAATTGTTAAATAATCGATTTGATTTTTTCCGTTTTCCATGAGATGGTAAGCCGTTTACATAAAGGACTAGACCATGAACCAGATAAAATCCCGAATCTCCATCGACGGGTGAAACTAGGTGCTCATTTGGAACCTGCTTAGCAAATAATCCAACATGTCTTCTTTAAACTTAAGAGTAAATGCCTTATCAAAAGAAGCTCAATGATACTTTATAACGCATGGAATACCTGTTGATAATCTTGATGAATTCTTTAATTCCTTCTACATCACAGAACAGAGTGCATACAACACCCAAAGCCTTACTCCCCGTCTCTTGTTCTAATAGACTGCAGAGTGCACTGCACGAACCAACAACACCCGAGTCTAAAATAAATTGAATGAATAACTATAAAATTGATTCCTGGTGTTCAATTACAATAAATATTTGCAAGAAAAACCAGTGCAACCACTGAAAATCCCCTCAAGCTTGCACTGTCATGCATCAAGGCTTAATTTAGTTCTAAACCTTGAAATATGTTTTCCTCATCCAGAATGAGGATGAGGGTATCTTTGTCCGACAGAACGGATGGCAGGCATTGCCCATACTTACTGAGAATGATATTGAGGAGGGCGTTGAGCGCATTGTCACCGAATTGTATACAGGTTGGACAGAGGTCGAGGCCTGACTGTGGCCTAGAGGGGACCTTTACCAGCTGAGTGAACACATGGGCGTTGTTCTTGTGTTGCTTGAGATAGTATGGTGTGAGAGCCACACACTGACTCACCAACAGAACGCTGATAACTGCACACAAAGCTTGCTATAAAGAAAAAACGACAATTTTATAACGCTCCTTCCCATTTATTCAGGTTGACTCTTTTGAAATATTAAGTTATTTTATGTCATATGATGTTACACTTCATTTGCATATCAAAGAGCAGGGGCGGATCCTGGTAAGAAAATATGAATAAATATTACTGTATTAAAACATCCAACCATCAACGAAATGGTGGACATATCATTTTATATATATAGAGAGAGAGTTATCTGAGACTAACATTTATGTTAGTCTCAGGAGTTATTGATATACTAGTCTCTTGACCACCCATGCATCCAGGGCCGTCAGATGGGGGGGGGGGTGCGATGGGTGCGACCGCACCCCCCTTTGTCACCCCCCAAAATAAATTTGAAAAAAAAATTTGAAAAAATTTTTTTTTTGAAAAATATTTTTTTTTGTATTTTTTTTCATTGACTCATACACTTTTAAAGTACCCAGAAAGAACCAAATAGCATCTTAAAATTGCAAAATTTTCTAGGGGTATTGGCTCACACCCCCCACAAAACAATGGAAAAGTTCTAAATTTATTTTAGAGTTTTGTCTCAGACACTTTTAAAGTGCCCAGATATCATCAAATAGCTCCTTGATACAGTTAGTGTTTCTGGGGGACTTACTCCCCCTCTTGCATCTTGCACTTGCATAACCCCCCCCCCCCCCCCCCCTCTGGCGCCCCCCCCCTCTGGCGCCCCCCCCCAAAAAAGTGATTTTCTCAAATTCTTTAATTGACTCATACACTGAAAGTGCCCAGAAAGCACCAAATAGCGTCGTAAAATTGTAAAATTTTCTAGGGGGAGTGGGCCACCCCTCACACCCCAAACAAAACAATGGAAAAGTTCTGAATTTGTTTTATGTATTGTCTCAGACACTTTTAAATTGCCCAGACATCATCAAATAGCTCCTTGATAAAGTTAATGATTCTGGAAGACTAACACTTACTTGCCCTCTGGCATCCCCACTCCACCTCCCCCTCTGGCAGCCCCTCTGCCTTAACACCCCCCCCCCCAAAAAAAAATTGAGATTTTTCAAATTTTTTATTGACTCATACCCTTTGAAAGTGCCCAGAAACACGAGGGGAAAGAGTACCCGTGTATATACGACCTACCGCCGAGCAAAGACCCGAAGATGTCTGAAAATGTATGGGGTGGGTTGTAAACTTTTGTTTATATCTTGAATTTCTCAATATGAGAAACAGATAAAACACAGAATTGTGTGTAACTGATAAAGTTATTGTTCCAGGCACTCATGTTTGCAAAATAATGAGTACTTAGCGCAATGTTTACTATCCAATCGCTAAATTCAACTTTTAAATATTTGAATGATGATTTACATCTTGAATAAGTAACAACCATGGCTGTCTTTACTTCATTCGATTCAAAGATACAATAGGTGTAAATGTATCATATTTATTTCACTGCCATACGTTGCATATCATTGAAATCACCGGTGAAAGTTGAAAATGAAAGACCCGATTATGTCACGAGTACGATTATATAGGACCCGAAGCTACCACCGAGCTATTCCGACTATACCGTGAGTAGAACCCGATGAGGTAGTGAGTAAGCTTTCGAATGAGCATATAATATCATGACGATATCACAAATATTCCTTTTTATTTATCATATACTCCTGGCACCGGGATATAATATAATATGATATAATTCCCGCAGCACTATACGTCAACGTCTGTTTCCGGCAAAGTTCTTTAAAACATTGAATTCATGCTTACACTTGAATCACCATAATTTCCTATGTGTCTATGGTAAGAGTGCAACCCCAAAACATTTAATTCTGCATTGCAAGCGCCATTCTACTCAAAGAACACAACTTGAAGAATCCCAAGCTTCATATCCTCGAAACGAAAATTACCGTGATCTTTCTTTGATAATACAATACCATAGTCAAAAACATTGTAAATCCATTTTTTGCCATTTAACTCAGGCACATTAACTTTAATACTCAGTAATGGATGGTGCTGACTGAAGTGGACCACAAAGTCATCCATCTCGTGTGATTTATAACTACTGTGGAAGCATTTGTACCGAGGACCTGAAATACAATGTTTCGATGTGCAGTGGTAACTGGTGATAGCCATATTTTTTTCAGTTTCATTTATTGTTCACAACAAAATGATTCACATGAATGATGCAGATTGTATGTTTATTATTTTTTCATCAGCACGTCATAAACTCGACGATATAATCGGATTTCAACAGATTTTACTCAAGTAATGTTCGGATTCTGAGATCCTTTACTCAAGATATTTTCGGATCTTTATAATATTACTCGTCGATCACATCGGGTCCGATGTCCGATAACCTCGGATCTTTTAGGACAAAGTTTAAGTGAAGATTTTGCTGTTCAAAAGTGCTATTTTGACCTAATATTTTGACACTTAATATATTATGCATATGCACATCCATTTACCGACCCAAGTATGTCTTATGTATGGCTCATTATCAATTAAAGCGAGTATGAATGAGAAAAACAAATCGAAAACCATTAAACGTTTACCTTATCTCTTAATTTGGACATAAAAATATATTTCAACTATAATTCTAGGCCAATTGCGCCTGCTAGAACATCTTAGTAACAACTCTAACCATCCAAAGAAATTGTTAGTGACATTTTATTACCTTTATTGTCCATTTTCCTACGAGATGACATTATCAAACATTTGCTCGGCGGTATGTGCGTGTCTTGCTCGGCGGTAGGTTGTATATACACGGGTACTCTTTCCCCTCGTGAGAAAGCACCAAATAGCATCTTAAAATTGTAAAATTTTCTTGGGACTTTTAGGCACAGACACTTTTAAAGTGCCCAAACTTCATCGAATAGCACCTTGATATTGTAAATCTTGATATGGGGGACAAACACTTGCTCCCCCTCTGGCACCCCAGCCCCACCTCCCCCTCTGGCACCCCTCTCCCCCCCTTTGACACTCCCAAAATTTGAAAAAAAATTGCGATTGTTTTTCAATGTTTTATTGACTAATACACTTAAAAGTGCCCAGAAGCACCAAATATCATCTTTAAATTGTAAAATTTTCTAGGAGAGTTAGCCACCCCTCACATCCCCCACAAAAAAAGAAAATATTCTGAATTTCATGTATTGTCTCAGACATTTTTTAAGTGCCCAGACATCATCAAATAGCACCTTGATATGGTCAATGTTTCTGGGGGACAATCCCTTGCTCCCCTACTGGCACCTCACCCCACTTCACCCTCTCATTACCTCTCATCCTCTTTGGCACCCCCAAAAGAATTTGAAAAAAATTCACATTTTTTTATTGAGTCATAACGCACAAGCGCACCAGATGGTTGCAAATTGGCTCCAAATACAACCAAATTTCAAAATTTTCCTGGGGGAGAACCCCCAAACCCCCCCTCAATGCTCGGTTTTTTATTCACTCAACTCTTACTCCAGGGCTGTCAACTTGGGACCACCTAATATGAGTGACTTACAAATGTTGGACACCGAAGTCCAAATCTGAACACTTTTGTCCAAATTTTGAACACCTTTGGCCAACTTTTAAACACCTTTGGCCAAAGTTTGAGCACCTTTGCTAAACTTTTATCACCTCAAATTTTTCGTTTTTTTCCCACGTTCGTATTTTTACCGTATCATAAACATATTTTGAAAAATTTTTTACAGAAACATATTTGCGTGACAATTACCAGGTAAAATGCGTATTTGCGTGACATTTTGTGTCACGCAAAAAAAACTGGCGTGACTTCAAATTCTTCAGCAAATGCGTGACAAATTTGACAGGCCTGTTACTCCCGTGGTGGTGGCGTACTACTTAGAAACTTACACTTTGACAGTGCCCAGAGAAAGCACCAAATAGCATCTCAAAACTGTAAAATTTTCTAGTGGGAGTGGACCACTCCTCACAACTCCATAAAACAATTGGAACGTTTGGAAGTTGCATGCATTTGTTAATTCCAAACCAATATAGGGAGTAACTGACCCCCCCCCCCCCCCTCTGTCTTACGCGATTTCATTTACGCGGCAAAAATGACAATTTTATATTCTCTTTTGTAAGCTAAAAACCGCACCCCCCTTGGAGAAAAGTGTCTTACGGGCCTGAATCCCCTTTATAAAAATGCAACTTGAGACTATGATTTAAGAATAAATGTTCTCTTTGACTTAATTGCACTTACTCTACACAAGATTGATTTAAGTGCAGTCATGAGATCAAAGCAAGACATTAAATGAGATAATTTTGACAATAAGATTCCTCATGTTGACATAAGATTGAAATTTACCCCTGTAAGACGATTAGGTTTCTATTCACTGATGATAAGACATGGGTCCTTAAAAGGGCTTTTCAGTTTAAGATGCGCGTACTTCATAGATAACTCACACTGACTCGAACAGTTCATAATCAGAACGATCTTTTTTAATTGTACTATCTTCATGTTGGTTAAGCGTGATCTGAAAACTTTGGACAAGTTCGCATAAAACATGGAGGTCCATGTACAGAACTAAGATCTGGTTCATATATTCTTTGTTTGATAGCTTGCTTGTTTATTTGCTTGTTTGTTTAGAAGCCTTAATATCATAGTCATACAAAGGAAATCTTGGTTGATTTTACAAAAAGTATTCAAAATATTAAAACAAAAACCCCCAAAGTAGATAAAATTAAGATAAACCTTTTATTTCATTAACAAGATACTTTTAAATCAACCAAACTTTCTTTTGTACAATTACAATATTAAGAGCCCTAAACACGTTATGTCTATGTCATTTTGTTTCAATGAGGTTCGGATGGATGCTTCATTTCATTCCGAATATTATACAAAGAACCATGGGCATTCAAAAGCCCATGAAAGATCAAAAGAAGTGTCTGATGTGTTTTTTAAAACAACATAGAGAGAAGTATATGTATATATTTATACACCTTTAACACCGAATGACATCTAAAATATTTCTACACATGAAAATCATTCTTGATCCAACAAGGGTATTTCAATTCTTGAAGGATGATAAAAATGTCAAGAAGCACTAAATGTTAATATTTTGCAATAGATTACAAAAACCTAGGATGAAGAAATTATTTTCTTTATTCAAGCAAAAACACGGTGCAACCACGACAGTTCAAGTAAAATGGTAATTTGTGTCTTTTTCTACCAGCCTATTTAACTTCTTTCACCGCAAAATGCGCTCAATAAAGATTGTAAACCTGATGATAGCTGATGCTTTATGTTGAAGTCATATAAAACATTTTACATTTCTGGTTTGATGATCATTGCATGAGAACAGATAAAAATATTTATTCCTTTTTAAATCCCATATGCCGGCTATTTTCAGCCTAAGGTTTCAATAATTTTTTTCATTTCTCAATTTATAAAAGTAGAATTTTATCCACAACTTACCTTCATGTCTGAATAACTGCACAACTAATGTAAAATCACCAGGTACTATGTTTGGAATTAAGTATCACATGACTGTCACATGATCTAGTTGTCCTAGTGAACTCATTTGAATAAAATTGTGTACAAAGTGGCCATATTGGATTTTCACCTGAAAAATTGCACGAAAAGTACAGTTTTTACATGGTGTTCAGTCTACATACGAAACACATTTTCCATAAATACGTGAATATAACTCAAGAAATATGTCTGCCGGGGGATATAAATTAGAATTGGACCCTCCAAAACGCAACATCTTCGTTACACAGTTGCACGAAAGGTAACAATTTGCTACATTATTCATGAAATAATAGCTACAAATTGGAACAGTTTAGTTATTTTATTATACTGTCACGGTGTGGCCAAGTGTGCTGCCATCCAGATGTATGCATTTGGATTTCATCATTTATATATATATCAAAATGTATATTCCTAGTTCAAGAAAACTTTTTAATTGAAATAGATATTGACTGATACATTTTGCAAGAGTCAATGATAATTGTGAGCCTGTTTTGAAGTCAAGAATATCTCATGTTTCTGCTGATACCACCTTGATATCACTTAAAACCTCCATTTACTTTCTACAAATCTGCAGATCTCGCCCCTGCTATGGTCTCAGCTGCTATTGACACCCAACTGATCATGGGCTTTCAATAGAATTTCCATTGAATGCCCATGAAGTGATGTACCGGCCAAACTTCAATAAATTAGTGCTCTTACAATATGAAAATTGAAAAGCTGATCAACTAATGAAAATGGAAAAATAATCTTAGACCTTTTATATTTTTGAAGAGAGGAAGATGACGAAATACGAGCTATACCCATTGTTAAGGAGTCTGCGGGACAGCTCATTGAGACTGGCATCAATTCTATGCAAAAAACGCTGCTCCTCAAGCGAGAAGTGGATGTGGAGAAAGTTCATGATTTGTTGAATCAGAAAAGAAATGAATTCCATGACAGGATGGCTGAAGCCTCACAGAGACAAATTGAAGTGCAGAAGAAGCAGCAAAAGGTCAGGCATTGTCTTATTTCACTTTTGGACATGGCTGTAGATAATGTTTCGAGTTTTTGGTAATGACTACCTACATGTAGATACAGTAGCTCTGATTGTCAAAATAAAAGAATGATAAAGTCTAACACTGCATACATGTATTTATAATTTTACCTAACCTGCATCATAATAACATGTCAGGTAGTTAAAACATGTTTTGCTCTGTTCTCAAATATCGATTGTAAATATGATCTTTAAATATCATAGGTCTGCCACAACATTTGATTCATTCCAATTTATTCATAAGCTGTTCTCTTGATCTGCTTTTATCAAGAAAGATTCATGCTAAGATTGCATGTAAAGACAGAAGTACATTGATGAATAATTAATTGGAACTGCTTCATTGTTTATTTTTGCTTAACATATATGAATAAATCATTACAGTATGTATAGATTGAAGAATATTGGTACTTAGGGACCATTAGTTATTAAAATTGAAAATATTAGTTATTGTGGTATTTCATAAAACGTTAAACCCAGTACAATACCGCCATCTATAAGAACAATCTTGAAAATCATTCTCTGTTTATTTTCCAGATGAAAGACAGGGTTGCAAAGTTTGAAAAATTTATTAAAGAAAATGAAGCGAAGAGAAGACGTGCCATACAGAAATATCAAGCTGAAGTTAAGCTACGGGAACAGAAAATCATAGAATATGAACAGATTTTGAAGGAGCTTGAAGAAGTCCGGCACAGACATACTTTTCTCAAACGCCAACTTGCCAAGTATAAAAAATATGAGGAGTATCTGTTGAAAGTTATTGAGCATCTTCCAGATAGTAAGTTAATTCTGTTTAATTGTAAAATTCTAGCCTCAGATTCTGATAAAATGAATACACTACAATACAATACATGTGCTATGTTTAAAATAGATGGCAGTGTCATCAAATCTCTTTATTTGAATTTACTACTATTATATTCGCCTTAAAACTCATGTTAAATTGTACCAATGAAAGCAGATAAAAAACCCATGATTTTAAAAATCTCGATTAATTTTTTACCTGTTATGGTCTCCAACATTTTTGTGATGGCGGTCAGTGTTCGAAGTTGGCATTTGGTGTTTGTAACAAATGGCAGATGGTGACATTTTGCATATAAATGCTTTGTTCTTTTTTCCATCTGTCATAATACATGTGTAAACTATTTTTGAAACTCTGAATTTCAACCTCATTGTATGATTACAGATTACCTTGAAGTGAATGACAGTATGCTAGCTTCCTTGATGGCCAGATATCGTACCCTCAGCTCTACAAACAAAACCCTGATGGACAACCTATTGGACAAATCTGATGGGGTATGTATCTAATTCATGAGACAAAATGACATTTTACAAAAAAGTGGATATTGGTAAAATGAGAATTTTCTAAAGGAATCTGCCAAAATGTTAGCCTAGGGTTCATTTTTTATAAAGGTTTGAATGTGAAAAGAATGTTTGTAAAGAATAGCTACAGAACAATGTATTGATTGTATGCCTACATATTCTGATTGGATATAGGCAAGATCAAAGGATCTTCTTCAGTTATAAGAGTGGAGATAGTAAGTCAAGCTCATGCAAAATATTACACATATTCATCATGCATATACATGTACATGTAATTCGCTTTCCAGTATGATGACACCAAAAGAGCACTAGATGAGATGCGACAGGAACACAACAAGGAAAAGTTTGGTATCAACAACAAATTATCTCACATGCAGAAAAAACAAGAAGACCAGCAAGATGTCAATCAACAACTAGAAACAAACTACGCTATGGATACCGATGTATTACGTAATCAAAGGACTGAATTTGGTATGATCCTGATGTCTATTGAGAATCTAGCAGAGAAATGCAAGAGACAATTAGGGCCATCTATACATAATCTCACTCTAGCACAGAAACTGGATGCTATAAAGGTAAGTTGGTAACAATCATAAATTAAATCATGCTTGGTTAATTTTCCCTCACAGACTACACTAAAACAACACAAAACAAGGCACTACATGTAACATGCAAAATATCACCACCCATCATTTGTTACAGATGCCAAAAACCAATGGCTGAACTGGCGCCACAAAGAAGTTTGAGACTATAACAATATGTCACATCTAATTGTGGTGACATAAAAACATTCAGTATTTCATTCACTCACTCACTGGATATATTGATGGACAGTAGAACTTGTATGGAACATGTGGAATGCCATCTAATGTGTCCTGGCCATAACTGTTCCTTTCACAGTCAGGTGGTTCTTTTAAAGGGTTCACTAACATGCTATTTAATGGGTTTGAAAACTGTCCCATGTAGAGAGATGTTCCTTACAGGGAGTTAAATCAGTGCTATAAGTTTTTACTGTAACTATAGACCTACGTTTATATTATACTGAATATTATATATGTTATCCTCCTTTTGCGTTGGTCAAAATCCAAATCTTTCACCTCTTTTGACAAAGAATATTTTCTGCATTACATTTTTGGCTCACACAGTGAGCCTATGGGATCGACCAGGCGTCCGTCCGTTGGTCGGTCCGTCCGTCCGTTGGTCCGTCCGTTCGTCAACATTGGCCACACAAATTAAAACTGCTATTCGGATTGAGTCATATCCTCAGTCATTTTATGCATATCCATAATGCCTATTTGACCTATCATCGCCATTTCCCAAGTTCGCCCGGTTTCCGAGAAATTGCTGATTTTGACGTCAAAATTTCTGTAAATACTAGACACTTTGTTGAAGTAGAACTTTCAAATAACTTGTAGTAGTTGCTGTATATGCAACTTATGTCCTCTGAAGATTTCAAAGCTCTTTGAATTACAGTTTTTGGTGTTTACTCTATAAAATTTGACAAAAAGTAGTACTTTGTCATTTTCAGGAAACTTTCTTATGTATAAAGTCAATGGCAGGTTTTGTGATTGACAAGTTTCTCAAAGTTTACCTTATACTTGATCATTTCTTGCAATGAATTACATCATAACTAGATTTAAGCATTCCCTACATATTGCTCAATATATGTCAGCATCAAATTTTTACCGTTTTTGAGATATTTGACGTAAAAAAACAGTAAAAATAAGTTATTTTTCAACTTGCTTCAATTTGACCAAATTTTTTTTGAAAATCATCTACAAGTTACCAGGAGTTCAAATCTGACATTAGTTTTAGAATTTGACCTTTACTTGACCTTCAGTGACCTTCGAAAGGTCAAAAAAGTTATTTTTCAAATTGATTTTTGGATGTAAATTTTGGTCAGCTTAATCACATAAGACCTTACTGAGCTCAAAATAAGTTTAAAACTTTCAAGGTCAAAGGCAACTTACAAATGCCATAAAAGTCACCAAAAATAAAAACAATTTGTTTTAATTTGTCATATTATTCTACTTCCAGGAGTATGTGGTCGAGAGAGCAGATATAGTTAAAATGTCACAAAGACTGAAAACTTCTAGTCCAGATCCTGATCGACAGAGGAGTGGAAGAAAAAAAAGATCAGACCCATATACACAATTTAATAGAGTAGATTTTGCTGACTGAGTAAGCCTTACTGACTAGATTCCTACCAGTATTGCTAAATATGAAGCTAGGAGATATCTTCCTTCAATGCCTGTGTAATGGATTATACGATCTGTAGTGCCACATGTTGGTTGTGTATGAACCTCCAGAAACCTTCTATATTTGAACTGTGTGAAATGCCAAGTTTATGTTTAAAACACCATATAACATAACTAGAGCTCAAAAGGAGAGATGACTTGTGTGTGCCTCATTCCCACACCAAAGTATACTGTAAATTGCTTTAATTTCACGGCCATTTTAATTTGGCGCAATGATAAAAACTGCCAAATTAAGTCTCCATAAATTTTTTTCTCTACACACACATAAAACATGGTAGCAAGAGGCATCATTTAAAAAACATCACAGACAAAATGTATCACTTTCAAAAATAAAGACATGAACAATAAATATTTTTTTAAACAAAAAATGTATTTGGTCTCTTTTGTTTTAAAAAAATGCACATGACAATATGTGCTGCTTCTACCCTACCCTATACATTTACATATTAAGCAAATGTTGAATGATGTGATTGATGTACCTGTATATATATATTTCTGAGCATGCATTCAATGATGCTCATGGGTTGAGTTGAATACATTCCTCAGTTTTATTTATACGTTGTGTCCAATATCACAACATTGAATATTTGTTTTATTATTTCCATGCCCGTAACTGAAGTAGTGAATAATTCTGTCCCACCATTATATGTCTCAGGCTTCAGAAATTGAAGCTACATGTATATGAATTCATCATTTCAATGAAATAGACTAAATTTAATCACATGGTATGGATTAATCAACGAAAGAATGAGAACAATATCATGGAAAAGTAACATATTTGAAAGAATATACATGTGCAGTACTATACCCCTAGGTCTCCACACTAAAATAGCAGTAATTAAACCCAAGCAGTTCAAATGTTGACTGATAATATATATGATAAACATGCCTGAGTTATACAATGTGAATGCATCATGATAAACCATGGCATCTCAAATCTTCTCATGTTTCAGGTGAAACAGAAAGATGCTGAGTATCAGAATGATGTGAATGCACTAAAATTATATCCTACATGTCTCATTGAAAATATTTGTTTTCCTATACTCCTGACTCTGTAAAATAAATAAATAATCTACACCTCTATGATAAGAAAATTAACATATGTAAATGCTATACTACATAGCCCTAAATACATGTACCGGTATGTAGTCCCTATGCTCCTCTTTAACTTGCATGGTCTTATGGATTGCCTCAAAACACTCTAAACTTCCATCAATATCCCTGGGTGTCAAGTTTTGAGAGAGGAACGGGGTAAAGTCAGAACTAAATAAAGTTTATGGTTTGGTGAGCACTGATGTTTTGATAAGATCTCTTACATTATCATTAGTATATATTCACTAAAATTTTCATAATAAAATATATTTCTTGTATATACAAAATGTACAATTGTGACACTGACATTCTGGTTCTATAAATATAAAAGATGGGTTGACTATGCTATTACAGGTGACCTCCGTGTAAAAGAATACACGTTCAACACCAGGTCCGTAGCCAGGGGGGGTTCAGGCTATTTTTTGAGTGATTTTTGGCCAAATTTGCCAAAGTGAACCCCCCTAGAATTTTTTGGAAAAGTGAACCCCCCCCTTGGAAAATTCTGGCTACGGGCCTGAACACATACCACATGGAATTTAACAGATCGATTTTTGTAAAATCAATTCATTTTGCATTTTATTTTTTCCTTAGAAACTCATTTGAAATCTAACTAATATCATCAGACCAATATCAAACTACAATAATTTGAAAAAGTGAGATTCTATACATGATATTTTCTAATTACATTTCAGTAGTGCAAACACAATTCATAATACACTCACTTTAATCAAAATATTACAACTAATTTGACACCTTAGAGAAAATATGTGTCAAGTTCTGAGGAGTAAATTTGATTCCAAATTGGTTTATCCTCAATATTAAATGGACATTTTAATATCTAGCATTTTCTAACTTGAACACCCTTGGACCGGCGGAATCCAAGCATCAAATGTTTAACATGGATATGAGTTCAACATGTGTTTACAGACCTGACTGCAATTAAATATTTGAGTCAGAAATGTGCCAAGCATAGCCAAATTAACATATACTTCAGACCTGTGTTAAAATGTACTTTTTGCAATACATTTGTATGTAATTATTACATTAATTATGTACTAACCCCAATAAACATGTTAAACAGTATCAGTTTGAAATAACATAGGCAAATACACACATCTCTACTTTCTAAACAATAAACTTTTTCCCAAAAATATCATATCATAACACATTTCATCGCTGATTAGATGAACTACATTTAAATGAGATCATTCATCATTAGTCTTCAGTACATCATATCAATGTAGCATTAACAATTTTGACAAATCAAATGTGAGGTTATCTCTCCATTCCAAATGATAATAATTATTGAGATATGTGAAAGATAATTATGTGCAGCAGTTTTGTATGTACTTGTACAATGGTCATTAAACATCATTGTATTCATTTTTGACAATATGTTCAAAATAATAGCCCAGTATTCTCTACCCAAGTGGATGTCAAGTTCTAGTTTTCACATTTGCACATGTTGGTCACAACTTAAAGATTTTTAAAATTTCAAGTTGGTCAAAATGAGTTTAAAGTGGCAACAAGCCAATTTTTAAAATCTGAAGTGAGTGCAATTTAATGAGCGGAACAGTGTTGAGTTCACTTTGTACATGAAATTACTTAATGGTATTGAGTTTTTTTGATATCATTAGTGCAAAACAAAGTAAAACTTGATATTCATACTTTTTCAAGAAATTCATTTTGAGCAAAAGTACTACACAGCTGTCATGTCCTCTTTGTTACACATTAGGTAATTCGAAGTGTACTCTGTATCACACATATAACTTGGTTTAACAAAATTGCAAATTACATGATTTAACCTGTACAGTGTGTGACACATGATTTAACAAGTACTTTTGTCACACATTAGGTGGTTTAACCTGTACTTGTGTCACACATTAGGTGGTTTAACCTGTACTTGTGTCACATATTAGATGGTTCAACCTGTACTTGTGTCACACATTAGGTGGTTTAACCTGTACTTGTGTCACACATTAGATGGTTCAACCTGTACTTGTGTCACACATTAGATGGTTCAACCTGTACTTGTGTCACACATTAGATGGTTTAACTTGTACTTTTGTCACACATTAGATGGTTTAACCTGTACTTGTGTCACAAATTAGATGGTTCAACCTGTACTTGTGTCACACATTAGATGGTTTAACCTGTACTTGTGTCACACATTAGATGGTTTAACCTGTAGTTGTGTCACAAATTAGATGGTTCAACCTGTACTTGTGTCACACATTAGATGGTTTAACCTGTACTTGTCCTGAAGGTTGGACACCTTGTAGTTTCTGTTGCTCAATTTTATAGCTATCAGCCTGTTTTTCCTTGAGTCTCCTTTCTCGTTCAAAGTTTAACACCTGCCTATAGTTCTCATAGTGCATGACAATGTCCTGGACACTTTGTTTGTAGAGTATGGTGAGCATGGCATCATAGCATTCTAGCTCAGGCAGTTTGAATAATGACCACTGGAATTAGATGAACATGTGGGTGTATTTTTGTATTCAAAAACTAGGTACCTGTGCATTTACTTGATGCCCTTGAGGATTTATGTGGCCACTACTGTTAATATTAACCACTTGAATCCAAGGTTCTAAAATTGGTTTGAAAACCAGAATTTTTTTCATCTTTACCAGCTTTCAAAATTTTACCACAGACACATACAACATGTGATGCTTGAGTTAGTGATTTAGTAGGTAGATCATTTCTACAAATTGTTCAAATTAGACTAATTTTAGTAAAAAATTTGGTGACAGATTATCATTCTTGTCACTATAGATTTCAAAGACATTTCTTAGGCGACGAGAAATTTCGTCACTCTGGATAGTCAAGAGGTTAAAGGACAATAAGCCTATTTTTGTCTGTGCATGCAAATGGTGCTGATAAAAGAGCAATTAGTAAAACTGATAACAATGGACAATTAATCAAGAGACTGGTAATTCTACATATAACACCCATATTATAATGTTGCAACATAAAAACTACTTACCTGCAGTTTATGGTCATGTTCAGCTGGTGCTTTGAAGTATATAGACAACCACTCTGGAATATCTACAATAAAACATAAATACATGTACCAGGGATTAAATCACTAAAATCAAAACATTGCAGCATGCATATGCACATATACCAAGGGGTGGAAATGTGTAGAGTATTTTTGTTGCATACACGGGAAATATATTACAAAAACCAGTAAACCACCATCTTATTCCCCAAAATTAGGAAGGTGCAGTTTTATTTTGTTGTCTGTCAACAATTTTAGGTACTTCCCCAACTGCCAGTAAGCCCATCACAATCCCGATACATTGAGAAAACATTCAATGGTTACAAATTAACACCCAAAATTCTAATTTTTCAACAAAGTGGGATTAACCACAGAATTTTTGTTCACATTTCTATGGTTTACCATACATTCTAGAAAAAACTAGATGAATGGCTGTCAATTCATAACAATGGAATGTTCCCCCAATGTACTGGGAATATGATGAGCTTATTGCAAGGTAAGAATACACTACAAAACATACACATAATTCCAAATAAAACTACACTAACTGCTTTTCAAACATACAAGGGGTGATCAATAAGTAATGGACACTTTTTTTACACAGATGCTTTTTATAGACCAATCTCTGATTTTTTCCCAGTGATACATCATTCAATTGGTCTATTGGTTCAATTGGGGATTAGTCTATAAAAGGCATACGTGTAAAAAAGCGTCCATTACTTATTGATCACCCCCCCCCCCCCTGTATATATGTCACACATTTTGCCCCTGATACTGGCAATATAGAAAACATACTGCAGATTTGAATTGGAGTAGCTGATTTTTCAGTGTATAAAGAATATTACAAGACAATTGGATTTTTGACCAGCAAGATTCATATCATTATGACTTTGAAAAAAAACAATACTCTTTGAAGATATAATTGATAATGGAAAAGTAAATTTGTAATGCTTGTAATTCAGACGAAATCTTTTATCTGTTTTAAGTTCTCTTGCTTAGCATATACTGTACATGGTGTTCAGGAAACAAAAATGTATAGATTGTTTGCCTTTAGTATTCCAAATAAAGTCGGTGGGGCCCCAGTAGATATGTACCAAAAAGTAAATACATATGTGACTCCTGAGGTTCTGAAGTATACAGATAATTCAGTTACTATTGGTGAACCATAACCATGTTTACCTGCATTTAGCATAGGGTTAGGTGGCACTAGGCTCTGTCTTTGGGGTTCGATGCTCATAGGGTGAGGAAGATGTGTGATTGGGAGTGACTGCTGCATCATAATACCCGGATGGAACACTGGTATCAGACACGGGTGCACCATTTGAAATGTCTTGCTATAATGACTGAAACAGAAAAAATTGTAATATTATTATGTGAATTGTTAACAAACAAATAATATGGGAGATATACTCTCAACGTACTTGGGGCACTTTCAGACATGAATGGAGACTGTATGATTTTGGCCTCTGTATCTCTAGTAAGACAAATCACAGTTCTCATTCATATGAAGTTGTTGGATAGGCAAGGCTCACAATATGTGCAACTAAGTCAACAAGATGAGTAAATCTGAAAAATGAAATCTAAGAAAACAAGAAAATTACAAAGCTTGACACATTGGCATCGAAAATACTCACTTATAAAAATATGTCCCCTCTTTGGACTCAATTTTTTCCCACCCCATTGGTAGGCTTTCTTTTTCCAGAGGGTGGCTCCAGTGTGTGGTTTGGGTATTGTGGTCAATGTAGTACTTCCTTCCCCTTATAGTCCAGTCTATGGACCAGCCAGGGGGTAGCTCCTGTTCGGTTCCTTGACCCTGTGATGGAACCACCTGCCTTCCGGCACCCTGTACTGGCCTGACACCTAGGAATACAGTAACTGTGTAATGTGGCATAAGTGAGGATGCTAAGTGATGCAAAAAATATAAGAGAAAATATCAAGACTTCACCTCCTGGAATATTAGCCCAATGCCTATTGCATTCAGTTCTATTAATAAAGGTATTAATATGACAACCCAGGGGCGGATCTGGGAACCAACAAGGGGGGGGGCAAATTTCTGGTCAGAGAAAATTTTTTTTGGGCCCCTAAAAACCCAAAATTCTGAAATTTTGAGGCCCATTTACTTCAAAATTTGGCCTGAAATTAAAAAATAAAGCCTCAAAAATGGCCCAGTTATGATAAAAAATGCCCACTTTTTGGGCCCAATGAACGAACTGAATGTCAGTCACAGAATAGTGACATAAAAACAGAATCAGAGCATGCTTTTGAGAAACTTTATTGTTAGTTTAGGCAAACTTTAATTCATTCAGAATAAAACAAAATTGGTTATATCTTCATATTTTCATTACCATCTTATTATTCAATATCTTTGATCAACAAAGAACTTTAAAAAGTCAATTAGTATCATCATTTCACCATTTAACAAATCATTTTATTCCAGGAACAGAAATCCATTATTTTATTTGGATTGCTATAATACATTTTTTATGTGTCAGATATAATCAAATGCTGTCCATTCTTCATGATTAACATACACATGTACTCTGATAATGAGAGACATAATTGTATATAATTAACTCATGTGGGCACAAATGTAACAGCCAGACTGCAATCACCATACTTTCAATTCCAAATCAATTAAACAAATATTCCAATATGTAAATGCACTAATATCACAAAATTGGCAATCTCTGGGTAAGATTCTGTACTACCCAAATCCTAATATGTATGTACCCTTGAATTTCAAAATTCTAGAATGATTAGAAATATTAGACTGCCATTTAGTTTAACACTCCTCTATTAATACTGAGTGAATAACATGTAAAAATAATTTATAGTAAAATTCCACTTAACATCATTACTACAGGGGCCCCACTACAAATTCACCTGTTAATTGACTGGACAACATGTATGCAGCTCACCATTGAACTTCTAATTATCATATAGAATACCTTTACAAATTGAAGCTATGATTTTTTGTTAGAAATTTAAGTGATAATCCTTGATGCAGGCCTAATATTTCCTTATTGAAGGCCATCTCAAGAGGGAATGGGAGGGGGGAAAAACAGAACAAACCAGGTGTGTTGGCTACAGGTGCAGGAATCTGAAGCTGAGACTGCTGGGCATAATGGTTCCTTATCTCTTGATGATACTGTTGCACTTGGTAATTATCATAGTCTACATTGTTGTCCCCTGTGTGATCGACATGCTGCTGTTGCTGGAGGCCTAGAAGATAGACTCGTCTTTCCTCCTCACTGGAATCTGCAAACAGAAAACAGAAATTGTCAAAATGACCTGTAAGGCCCTAGGAGTTTAATTGTTTGTTAAGCAGGTTTTGATTGTTAAAATGGCAAGGTAATCAAGATTTTTCTTTTTAAGATTACACTAAAATGACAAAAAGACATTTAAAAAGACATTGACATGCAAAATGTCACCACATCCATTTGCTACAGATGCCGAACTTTGAACACCATCCACAAAAATGTTGGTGACTATAACAATAGGCCAGTCGTGACATTATGAACGAAAAATACTAAAGTCCTTTAAAGTCAGGAAAAGGATTGGGCAAGTACTGTTTAACAGATGTTTAATTTGTAAGTGCCTAAATATCTGCTTAATAGGGAGTCAGGATCAGGTTTTAAAGTTTGCAGAAATATTATACTGTATTTTAAAATGTCACGATGTACAGATGAGTCACTAATTCAACATTTGCTTGCAAGTTGCAAAAACTGATATGACATAATGTCTATCATATAACACCAAAAAGTGAATTTTGATATCCAGGAATTTCATGAAATTTCAGTTTAGTTTGCATACCTAAAATGCCAGATGTTAAAAATAGATTTCTTTTAAAAAGTAGATAATAATACAGAAATTTAACACAAGTCATACTATCATTAAAACCATCTTCACCAAGAAACCATTGCAAGCTGGGGGACATTTCCTTACCATTTTAGCTAGGAATGTTCAATTAAATCAATTGTGTTATAATAGAGAACTACGATATCATAAATTTAAGAATAATAGAAATTCCCCTCAATAATCCAATAATCCAGATCCAGTAGAATTAAATGACTAATCAACTTTGACTTGTGTAGAAGTAAAAAACTCATGGAAAAATAAGAGTAACACAGGTATCCTACAGTGGAGACGATTAGGTCATTTAACGTTTATCCTGTCAATTAACGTCATTGTAGTTGATTGACGGATACTACGTTAATTGACGTTCTATGTTTTTCAATTGCGCATGTGTAATCAATCGCGTCAATTGACGTGTAATCGTATAATCAACGTGCGGGAACGTTGATTGTCGTACGGGCTAGGTCGTATTTTTATTATCGCCCATTACCAAGGTAACTGGCCGAAATGTACCTACCTCATTAGTACTTCTTGATGAAATTGTCAATGTTTGAAATTGTGAGAATCGATAAAAAGCGTCTATTATAAATCATAAACAGTTGTATAATTTATTTACGCGTATTTCGATTCATAACTGGCAGACTTACATCTAGAAATCACGGACCTCTTTCAAAAAACGATATCGGCTAGATAGTCTACTATCTGCACTCCCCTGATAGTTTGTCTTTTTAGCCTTTACTAAATTAAAGCCCGTGAATTGAGGTGACAATTTTTAACAGATGACATGCGATGTTCAACTAGTAGTACATATTTGCGATATACTGATTAAAAGATTGATTAATTGTTAAATCGAAGTAGATTTCTGCTGCAAATAAGAACATGAATAAGACCCCCGGACTGGGCCCCCGGAAGACCCCATCTGAAGCTTCTAAATGTTTATACTTATAAATCTTGAGCAGCCCTCATTGGCTAATCGTCTGACCTACTGACTTTTAACCTGTATATCATCATCATAAATTATGAATTGGATCCGACTCGCAGTGTTACGTATATTCAGCAATATTACTAATTAAAAATTAAATTAAAAAAATTAAATGTTAAAACAATCATTAAAATTGTTCAAGGACATGATAAAAGACGTCCTTATCATCATAAATATGAAGAACGTATTTATATTTTTTCTTCTAATTGTGATATTTCGTTAAATTCTGAAGTGGACTTTATTTTAGTCAGATGCACTTGGGAGAAATCGGCAATACGGGCCCATTCTAGGATGAAACATTCAAAATGTTGTATTTAATTTCATCATCAATATGGAAATCTAATTTTGTTCAATAAAATATACCAACACAATTTGTCCATAATAGAAATTCATTGGCGAAACAATGAGACTGTGATCATTATGCTATAGAGTCATTGCGACTATTTCATGGAGTCGCGACTCCATATTTCGACAACGTCTTCATTATTGCTTTATAAAAAAATATTGCATCATAGAAAACACAATTCCCACATGGAAGTTGAAGATATCTATCCAATGCTTCGAATAAAAGTAAAAACATCTTGCCCAAATTGTAATAAACATGTCCCAGATGCCTCTCTTGCGTGTGTTTACCGCAAAATAAGCCATCCTGATATTTGATCGTCAGTTGTTCAAATGATTATACTATAGTGTTTCTGCTTCTAAAAGCCTGGTTGAAACAGAAAGAAGTGAAGCCATGTTCTTCTGTATGCTAAATAATTACAAATTTAAGCTTATCTGTATGTATAAATATCACCAAAAAGTATTTTTCTGAAATGAAATGCAACGAAAATAACGTCTAAATCAATTTGAATTTGAAGTACGTCAATTAACGCGATACCTGGCAATTAACGCACAATGACGTCAATTGTCGTAATAAACGTTAAACGACCTAATCGTCTCCACTGTCCTATCACCAATTGGATTCTAACAATGAGATATATAAGATATAAGACAATTGAATGTTTTAACTTTTAAGTGCTAAATTACCATCTTGCTGGAACTGATTATGCTGAAGCTGTTGCTGTGGTGATTGATGCTGGTCTCCTGGTGGCCGTTTAAACTGGTTTCCATGGTTACTATATAAAGATGTTGGCACATTGTATCTTTGAGTCTGAGCTCCATTCTCTATAACAGGATTCTGACTAGAATTAACCACATGTTGATTGCCACTGATGTTCAACCCTTGGAACGCTTGTGTAATTTGGGTGGTTTGAAGATGTGGCTGCGAATGAAACCCAGGGCTGATGGCACTGTGAGGCCTGGCTGGTATAACATTGTTTAACTGGCCAGCAGGTCCGTGTGTGCCTGTTTGCTGTTGTTGCCTCGTGGCTTCACTTGTGACAGGTTGGACCACTAAGCCACTTGTTGAACTTGCTTTTGGAGGAGGTTTGTTTACATAAACACTATAATTGTTAACATTTGCTCCTTGTTGATGCACTTGCTGTGGTGCGTATCCAGTAGGAGATTTGTTGGTGCGTCTCTCGAATGTTGTGCCATGTCTAACAGGACTATGATAATCTGGATAAAATTGTAATTAAATGTATTATTTTGATGTTTATTCTCAAATAAGAATATACAATTCAAATTTAACTTTTACTACATGTCTGAAGTATAAACGAAAAAATTACTGAATTATTTCAATTCTGTATGACAGGTCTCAAATATGATACTGTATCTCTATGATGACTAGATTTTGAATATTTACTGACAAAAAATGAAGATTATTTTTCCTCACATTTACATCATTACTTGCTCTTAAGAATATGAATATACAGTGTGGGAAATAAGCACCGGACAACAGACAAATGTCGAGTCTGAAAATAAATTTGTCCAGACTGTTTCAAACTGTGTGGTCAAATTTGTCCAGAAAGATTTTGCTGAGACAATGAATTTTGTTTTGCACATCAAATGAAAGAATATAAATTGGCCTTCTTCTGAGGAAGAAGTTGTCCACAAATGGAACAATGCAAAATATAAAATTCAATGGTGAACAATATCAATCATTTTATACCCACCCCCTCTGTTTCTATGTATACATTTTTTATTTTTAATACATTGACCACGTACAAAAAACTTTCCAGGGTGTTTTCAAACTGTCTGGTCAAAATTTTGACCAGTCAAAAAATATTTGTCTGGAGTGTTTCAAAGTGACTGGACAAATTTGTCCAGTCACAGAAAATGCTTATTTCCCACACTGATATAAAAATATGACATTGATGCTCAGACAAAACAGATTAAAAAAGTGTAATTGACAGTGCAATTTTCTTGAGAGTAAAACCTCCTTCTAAACTATCAAAGGTACCATGAATGGTTTTAGATTGAAAGAATGGAATTCACTCTTTAAAGATTAGCTTGATCATATTGATTTTTTATCTCTGGTATCCTTTGTACATGTTACATGTTTGTCTATATCATAGGCATTCAACTTGAAAGCCCATGTCTATATTCACCAAATCATAGGCATAAGGACTGGAATAGGCCTATTTTGTTGAAATGTAATAGGTTAAAATATGACTTTGTATTGTTGGTACTTTATATCCCAGATATTTATCACACACTGACTTGATTCATTTGCAAGTTTACAAATGGAATGAATAAGTTTTAACAAATTTGCACATGTTTGGAGAATTAGAAATATGGTTTCAATACTTACTCCTCAGTATTGGTGGATTGTCTCTTTTAACATATTTGCCAGCTATACCTTCATGGAGGCCAGCTGGTTCTTTCTTTCTTGAAAGCATGACCTTCCTTGCTGCACAATGATAATAACTAACTATGGCAACATCATTCTTATCCTTTGAACACTAGATCTATAAGTTTCTGTTGCTATAGTTTCGAATGGTGAACATTTTATTGCCTCACAAATCGTTCTGTCGTTATCCAGAGACATATAAAAACAATTTTGCGTTAGATCTATCAAACCATTCCAATATATACCATGGGGCAATTGTCAAATCGATGATAAGTGTGTGATTGACTGTCTATTGATATTTTCCGATATATACATGTATGTGTGTCAGTAGATTTCTAGTTTTACACGTTAAATCTCTATATTTAGCACACGAGTTCTCCTTGTGACAAATGTGCACATAAACATCAACAAAAACATAAATCAAAATCAAATGTGTTCATTTGAATTTTTTTCGAATTTTTAGTAATTTACTCATGTCAAATTTGCTGAATTGTAAGGTGCTATCGCCTTCATATTTAGTTCTGTATCTTCCTTGGTTACTCAATAACGATAAACTACCTCATTTATTTTAATCCAAAGCTAAAAATAGCGCTCTGTTTCATCATAAAGAAACCAGAAGTGATCCAAAACTGTATTTACTTACACCGCTTGTGTAAAACGTCATCGAAATTGAACTGCGCAAAATTTGATGACGTATTACGCATCACAACGGTGTTTATCTTAGCAACTCCAAAGAAAAAGAGAAAAGTTTGAAGAAAACCTGCAGAAAAATAGCAAAATTCAACAATATATGGAAATATTTTCTTATAAATTGCATATATAATTAAGGAACTATAGACAACGGTTCTTAATAATAACAAGTATAGAATATATACCACTTTTTAGTGGGAAAACAAGGTACAATTTGATAGTACTAAATTTTGAAAATTATCAAACATGGCTGACACACAAGTGCTCAATAATGAACTGAACAGCAGTCAGCAGGGAAGTGTCAAAGGATCCAAACCACAAACTCCTGCAAATATGGAAATGAACTTAAATCCCAAAGAACAGGATTTTATCAATGCCAAGTCATACCTTCTCACAGCAAGCACAAAAACTGGATTGAATTTGTAAGTGAACTTCATATGTTGCCAAGACATAGGGTAGGCCTACATAGAAAAGGTCTTAGCAAATCATTATTTTTATTTATCTAAGATGAATTATCAAAGTTAATGTAAGATGAATAAATGCAAGACATCCATTTGTAACTTTGAATTGTCCTACATGTATATTGTCAAATAGAGTAAAACTAAGAGTACTTATCGCAATCATTAGCAACCAGTGGACAGTGAATATGAAAAAATATTGCAGTTATAAGTTCTTTGTAAAACTTTGGAATCACTTCATTATTGAATTTCACAAGTTCAACCATGTAAAAGGTAGTCAAACCTTTCTTGCAGAGATATCTTCTCCTTATCTGTTGTGTCATATGTCAAGATGACTCGGCACAAGAGAAGGTTTGACTAGTTAAAATGTTGATTTAAAAGTCAAAGTAATTTTGGCCAAATGTTGGCCAAATGCATATATTGCAATCTATTTTATTGTACCACATGTTGATTACTTAATGTTTGTTTGATTTTAGATTTGACCATCTTAGTCGTGTTTTAACAAAAGTATTAGATGAGCGACCTGAGAACAGCATAGACATATTTGAAGATCTGAGTAAAGAACAGAAGAAAGAAAAGTTTACATCTGATGTAGACACAGTACAAGACAAATTAGACCAAACAACAGAAGTAGCTTTAGCAAAAATACAGACTAAATTATTTTCTGTAAGTAAATGTAACACTTTCCTATTGACTTTTCCATGTAAATCAAGGTAATTTTAACTACAGTACATGGGTTAAAGAGCAGGTTGAAAACTGTCATCAAAATTGGTTTATATCTATTGCTCTATGCTATTAATGGCATTAGTATTTTATCATACAGGATGCGATTGAATCATCAGTAGGTACCCTAAAGCAAGGTGCAATGTGGATTCTCTAATCTAGTAATAAATAATCATTTAACTTTGCTGTACATTGCATAAACTTTACAATTAATATTATTATGAATTTTTCAACAAAAAATAGACTGGCAATCTAATCTACGTACATTGCAGTCTTCTAGCTAAACAACATCGAGATAATTAATCTACCTTGCACCTTGCAGAAACTTTATGAAATGTTACATATTTCAGTTTATTAAATTGCAGATTTTACTAATATTTATATTAAAATATTCACATAATGTTGATACATTGTTAAATATTTCACTTTGTTAGATTGTTAGAATTTTGATTTTAAGATTACAAAAAGTGTTACAGATTAATTTAGATTACAGTTCATATCGTATGTTACATACTTAGATTAACGTTTATTTTATATATTTCAATCTCACACAAGTAAAATGTACATGAGTGGATGGTAATTTCCTTTATTGAATAAGAAAATATGTGCTACAGTTCTGTGTTAGGTGGTAAAACCTATTTGTACAATATGTTACAGACTTAGCTAACAATCTAGATGAGAAACTTGTGACAGTTTTGTATTTTTTTAAATATACAAAGGAACAGACTGTAGTTAGATAAAAGTCCTTTAAAAACCTTTAAAAATCAGATTGAGAAAAGTTAAATGTTTGACGACACTTAAACAAAACATTCCTTTATTCAGAAAGGAGATGGTGAAGAGGAGGGCGCAGAAGAAGAAGATGTTGAAACTCCACTACCAAACATCATGGAGCTTGCCTTTTTCTTTGAACAAGCTGGAGTTGGCCTCAGCAGAGAGGAAAGTGTTAGAATATGGCTAGCACTGAAAAACCTAGTTGACAACCATCCATTACAACATGTGAGGTTCTGGGGTAAAATATTTGGTACAGAACAGAACTATATTGTTGCTGAGGTGGAATACCGCGAAGGCGAAGAAGAGGAGGAGGAAGAAGAAGAGGCTGAAGAAGGCCAAGAGGAAGAGACTGAGAAAGATAATGATGATGAAGAGGATGGTAAGTTCTGTTAACACTCATAAATATCTGTATTGTTACTGAATAGACATATTTCAGTTCTAATTAATGTGGTTTCCTCACATTTGTATATGAGTCTTTATAATGTTAATTCACCCAATATAATAACAATGTTCTTTTATGTGACTTGATACACTTGCTAGTTCATCAAGCACTCTTTATGGGGTGGGAACTATACAGCCGAAACACCCTAAAGTATTTACCACACCAAAAAATATAATTTCTGTCTGAACCTTGGATCACTGTAGCATAGGTAAATGGCCATATACTCTACTGCTGAGTTATGCATTTGGATAAAGTGAAACCGATTGAACATGCAAAACATGAAAATATCTTACTCTCATTTTTATTCCTTGCAGAAGAGGCAGAAGAAGATGACACACCAAAGCCAGACTTTAAACCTCCAGCTGTCATCCCTAAGGAAGAAAACAGAACTGGATCAAACAAGAAAACATACTTTGTCTGTAATGATCCTGGTAAACCATGGATAAAACTACCACCAGTTACACCTGCACAAATAGACATTGCAAGAAAAATGAAGAAATTTTTCACTGGGCGTCTTGATGCCCCTGTTGTCTGTTACCCACCTTTCCCTGGTAATGAATCCAACTACCTACGTGCCCAGATTTCCAGGATCAGTGCAGGAACTCACATTTCTCCTTTGGGATTCTATCAGTTTGATGAGGAAGAGGAAGAAGAAGAGGAGGGTGAAGGTAAAGATACATTTAATAGAGTTTTCCCCAGAATTTATGTTCCCCCACAAAATGTGAGATATTCCATTCTTGCATCAAAACTCTGCCCCAATATCCCTTAAATGATGATTGATTGATGCAGGACTCACAAAAAAATTCACAAATTTTAAAGATTGATGAAATGAAATGGTCTTACAAACTCTAGCTAGATACAAACCTTTGAGTGAATTATATTTAAATGATAAAAATTTGGAAAAAAAGATTGAAACAGTTTAATATTGTAAAAAAACTATGAAAAATTTGGAAATGTTTTCAGGTCGTGACACCTTTGTTGAGAACCTTGACTTTGAGGGTATCCCAGTGCGAGATTTAGTCGACCCCTCCCTACAGAACTGGGTGCACCATGTGCAACACATCCTTCCCCAGGGAAGAACCACCTGGTGGAATCCTGTCCAGAAAAATGAGGATGATTTTGAAGATGAGGAAGAAGATGAGGAGCGTGAAGAGCCAGATGAGCCAGAACCTGAGGTTGGACCCCCACTCCTTACCCCCCTTTCAGAGGATGCTGAGGTGGAGAACCTACCACCCTGGACAGCTAAGCTCTCATCTAATCTGGTGCAACAATATGCAATTGCAGTGATGCATTCCAACCTTTGGCCAGGAGCTCATGCCTTTGCCAATGACAAGTAAGTTTTATTAATGTCATGATCCACCATCTCATCAGTCCTTAATACAGTGACTGGATCTTATATCACTACTCTAAACTCTCAATTGAAGTAGATGTGTTTCTTATCATATACTTCCAAAATATAAAAATACATCGAGACAACTGATGAAATGTGGAAGCTGCAGTGAAGATTTAGATCCAGAGATGTCCAAATCCAATAGAATTGAATATAGAGATGGTCATCTTTTTAAAATTAACCTTAAGAATAGAGATATCACCATGAAATAAAGGCATTGTCTCTGGGCTTTTTTAGGAAATATGTATTATATCATCTTCATATTCCTAATTTTTATTTTTTCAGGAAATTTGAGAATGTGTATGTTGGCTGGGGTCACAAATATGCAGCTGATAACTACAGTCCCCCTCCACCCCCAGGCGTACAAGAGGAGTTCCCCAGTGGGCCAGAGATCACAGAAACAGAGGACCCAACCCCAGAAGAGGAGGCAGCTCTACGTGCTGCACAACAAGAAGCCGCAGAACAAGCTGAGGACATGGAAGATCTTGAGGATGAAGATGATGAGGATGATTAGACATTGGACTTTAATATAAGGGAGGGGAAGGAATGAACATTAATGCCAAAGACAATCCTGGAACCACATACTTATACATTCTGTGATGGATATCTACAGTCAGTCTTTCAATCAAACATTTTTGAACTTGAGAAGCAAACAAGGGCCCTAGAGTTAATTTTATTTGGCAAATATCTCATTTTGAACTAGATTAAACGTTTGTGAAAAGTGTCCTCATGAACAATGTAAATAATTGGGTCATTCTGTAAATATTTCATCAGTGCTCATAACTCTTAGAATGAGTGAATAATTCATAACTTCTTGTATATACAGTATAATAAAAGTTATGCCTATCAACTATATGATTTGTTTGTTTTTCAAACAGTGATGAAAGATATCTTTGAAAAACATATGAGAATATATGCAGCATGCATAAACGCCTCCAGATAAAACAAGATTTCATTGTTCACTAACAAAACAAGCGGAGGTTAACAATTGAACAACAGTTGGAGAGGGGCTATTCAGTCTGTTGGTCAATATTATTCTGTTTTATATTCAATGTATTTATAAGTTCAAAGTGAAATCAAGATACTCAGAAGGAGACCTTCCCTAGGTACTTCATCTTTACAAACACCACCTTTCCTGTATTTAGTCAGTTATTGAGGCAGTGGTAAGGTTATTGTGAATCCAGGTATGGAAAAACTTATGGTCAAAGCTTTATTGCACACAGCTAGGCAAGGTCTGTTCAATTGCATTATTATCCCATCGAAGGAAGTTCGGAGGGATATAGGGAACGCCTCCGTCCGTCCGTCCGTCTGTACGTCCGTACGTCCGTCCGTCTGTCCGTCCGGGCAATAACTCAAATACCGTTGGCCCGATTTTGTTCATATTTTGTACACATATACCTTATGGGGGTAGAAGTTCTGCTCGAAAGCCGATTTTCAAAATGGCCGCTCATTTTAAAATTGGCGGCCATTTTAGTGCCGATTTTACAGTAATTTAGGTGCAATATGTAAAACTGTTATATCAAAATGTTTTAAATGTAAAAAAATTATAAAGGACATTAATAATGCTACAAATGTAGATATTAAAGAAGCACATGGCAGCCATCTTGAAAAATGGCGGCCTTTACTCGTCATTTTACGATTTTTGCTATAACTCAAAAAATAGTGGAGCGATTTTGTTCATATTTGGTATGTGAATACTATAAGCATTGTACACTGTCTAAAGACACTTTTGGTAGAAGGCGGCCATTTTGAAATTTTTTTTGAAAAATGTATTTTACAATAACTCGAAAAGTAGTGGAGCAATTTTGTTCATATTTGATATGTGAATACTTTAAGCATGGCACATTATCTAATAAAACTTTGGGGAGTAGTCCACCATTTTGAAAAATGGCCACCATTTTTATGTGTGTTATTTTACAAGTACGTGTGCGATTTTTCAAAAATTTTAGAGGTGGCTACTGAAAAGCATATTATTTCTTCTGATGACAACTTGGCTAGTGAGCAACCATTTTGAAAATGGTGGCCTTTCTGGTGTGTTGTTTTATGATATTTGCTATTCGTTTGTAAAAATGCCAGCCATTTCTGTTCGATGGGATTCGCTACCCTTTGGCATTGCCGTTGTTCTGGTTATTTACTAGTATAATGCACCGAAGATAATTTTGAAATTCTTGTGAAACTCATGAAACCAATCAGTTGATGAATTTCATAGTTGAGTAGGGCTTCATCCTTTGGTAAACATGGAAAATATCACTACCTGGCATTTGTTACAGATGCTGAACACAATCCACAAAAAAATTGGCAACTATAGCAATATGTCACCTTTTCTGGTGGTGACATAAAAATGCCATGAATCTGTGTTTATGAACACCAAATCATTGAGAAAAGAATTTGTATGAAATTAAATTGCCTTAAACAACTTATATGAACAGGGTGTTTAGTGTCATTTGAATAATGAAGAAGTAACCATTCTTAGATTATTTTGGAATTTATGTTGCACATAAAGGACAATTGATAACTTGTATAGGAACATCTACTTCCATTGGAAGCACCCATATCAGAAGTAGTCAAACACAAACACATTTGTGAAATTAAGTTGGCAGCACCCATAATGATAGTAGACAGAAACGTGACAGAAGAGGCAACCAGAGTATAGGGAAATGAAGTTGCAAGTTTATAAATGCAACTGATAATCTGAATGGCTGTTACATATTGGTCAATGTTTAGATGTTATTTGCATGATTGTGAAGTCCATGTGTCAACTTTACAACAAATGATGTCCACTTGAAATAAATGCCCACTGGCTTGGAAAATTAATAAATACCCAATCCCCTTGAAAAATCCTGTCCCTCTTTATGTACCACCATGGGTGCTCTTTCTGAGGGCTTTTAAATAAAGGACCATGTCAAATAAATGCCCAGTGGGTGTATTTGCGAATAACTCAATTTGAAAATATAGAGTGTTACTTTTGGAATGTGCATACTGTAAGAAAAAAACACATAAATATTCAATATTTAAAAAAAAATTTATTTGATGAATAATTCGATTTGATACAAATCTGCAAGTGTGACATGTACAAATAACATACAAAAAAGGTGGGTGTCAAAAACTGTGATTACATCTCCTGAAGTTCTAAAACAGAACATGAAATAAAAAGCAATTAGGCCTCTAAGTCTCTAAGCATCAAAAATATCACAATTTGTCATCATTTTAAAGGACGATTCTCGGTTTGGAGAAAAAAGTTCAACATTGATTTTTTATACATAATATAGATTTGAATGTCTTCTTTTGAATAGTCATAATTTAATTAGGGTAATATTTCTAGGTATTTCGCGAACAAATATTAGCGCAGTACACTGATGAACTTCTTTCCCAAAATCGAGACTTGTATTTTATTGAATCGGTCTAATTGAGCGTTATCCCTGCTTCAGACCAATTTGTTATTTTTACATCTTGTAGATTTAAATGTCCTCTTTTGAATATTCATAGTTTAATTTGGGTAATATTTCTATATTTTTCATGAAAAAAATTATTAGCCCAGGAGACTGTTCTCCAAACCGAGAATCGTCCTTTGGCAAAATTTGCCAACTTCTACAACAAATGATAAAATTCTGAAAATGATAATGTTAAAGGTAGAAGAATGCTAAAATAAAATAATGATTCGTGAAATTCCTAAAGAGCTGTCATTTTTACATCTTTTTGGAACCATATATCTTATTTCCTATTTAATTCAATGTTGATTTTGATAAAATATTGCACATTTTCAAGAACATAAAATTAGCATTCATATTTTTCTAACATTGGTCACATTTTCCTTCAAAACAATTTCAAAAATTGCAGCCTAAACTAAATTGCAGCTTGTCAGAGTTTAGACCAATTAGGCGGACCATTAAACTGAAAATTAACAGTGATTCATATGCCTATAATGAATCAATCATCATCATTATGTACAAAACTAGATAACGGCAACTCCGCGGAGTAGCAAATCCCAACGAACAAAATATCAATTACCGAATTCCAATCAATTATACTCATTACTTTGGTTGAAAATGAAAAAATTAGATTTTAGAATTGCGAATTCCTGCAAAGCAGCCATTTTGAATTTTCTGAGGTACAAATCTGAAAAATAATACCATAATTGTGATCTACTCCAAAATTCCTTCAATTTGAGTATAATATAGCCATACTTTGAAGGGATCGAAAAATTATTGCAAAATCGTACACTAGACGGCCATTTTGAATTTTACGAGGCTCGAATCAGAAAAAAGATACAATATTTGCAATCTACTCTTAATTGCCTTTCATTTGAGTGTAATAAAGCTATACTTCAGAAAGATCTAAAAATTAGCGAAAATTTCTGTTTTCCTGTCCCCCCATACATGGCCCCTGGGGGTCAGGATGAAAAACAAGGAATATATGTGAAATAGATAAATGTTGTGAATACACTACCAAAATTTCAAACAATAATATTAATTACTTTGGTTTAGAATGAAAAATTTATGATTTTTGCGAAAAAGTCCCGTTATTTTTAAAGCGGCGGCCATCTTGAAAAATTTTTTTTTGTGTAAAACTATACACCAATATACATCTTTCCACTAAATATGAAGAAAATCTGTCAACTAGTATTTGAGTTATCTTCCGGACAGACAGACGGACTGACTGACTGACTGACTGACGGACAGACGGATGGACGGACGGACGGACGAACGGACGGACGGACGGACGGACGGAGGGCTTCACTATATCCCTAACGAACTTCGTTCGTTGGGATAATAACCCATTTATTCTTGAAGTCACACAACAGATGATGTATTATACATGTATGAGTCCTAAATCATCTTGTAGATTTATCAACATGTAAGCCTTTTTACAGGCATATATGTACTAACTATTATATACAGATGTTCAGTGAAACCTGTCAAATGGAACACCTTTAGAAGTGGAACACTTTTCAGAGTCCCAAGACCAATTAACTTAATGTTAAATGAAGATAAGTGGAACACCTCCCAAGTGGAACACTTTTCAAAAGTACCAAAGGTAGGTGTTCCACTTAGACAGGTTTTTACTGTGATTACAGATAGCAGTTATTTTAACTTAAAGTCCCCGTCTAAAGTTTGAAAATATTTTTTTATCATTCATTTACTATTTGTCAGGACTTAAAAAGTGATTTTAGAGATTTCTGAACAAAAAAAAATTTTGAAAAAAAGGTTGTGAGCATTTCATTTCTCAAATATTCAAATTTCCCGCCATTTTTCAAAAAAAGTTGAAATTACTTAATCATCAAATATTTCTTAATGCATTTCAAAAAATATAATCTTTTTAACACCAATGCAAAGATTGAACAAAGGACACACTATTTCAATAATAAAATGCCATATTTAATGGGCCACTTCAATGTTTTAGCATATCAAAAATATTTTGAAACATTAGTGATGTCACTAAGGTACCAAAAACTTTTTTTTAAAAATTGAAATTTTTTTTTCGATGTCAATCTTTCCTAAATATGTTAGACTTTCATAAAAACCAATGTTGATTGTCTAACCAGGTTAAAAGGAAGAATAAATTATGTTTTAGATATCATTGTACCATTGGTTTCTATGAGAACTAAAATTTTGAAATGCATTTTTCTCAGAACCATTTTCATGCACTGATAAGTTCATTTCTCGCTTATTTATGAACCGATTTTCTTAATTTTTTCGGCAAAAAATATGGGAGGATGAATGCTATATATTGGTATGAATTGTGTCTAATTAGAAGATATTAGTGACCTCTAAAAGTTGGTTTTAAATAAATTCACAAATTTTGGAACAAAAAGTCTATCAAAAACCACTTTTTGAAATTTAAAAAAAAGTTTCACATATCACACTTTGATAACATTGGGTAAGACTACAATATAAGCCAAAGTGGTTTAAACTTTATATGGGGCCTTTAAAGAAAATCTATATTGTTTTCTATGTAGCCTATCTACAGCAAATTGTAATATATCCCATCATTTACTATCCTCCAAATGCCTGGTAATTAGCAAACCAGGCACCAGGCAATACTCCATTATGATTTCTGGATTTCCTGCTTATAAATGGATCAATTTATTTTCTGCACCCTACACCCTAATGTTAACAGTCCATTTTTAAAGTACCATTTTAAAATAAGCCAACAAGACTAAGTCAAAAAGTACATTTTTTGTCCATAAAATTGCCCTTTACCACCTATTCATTAAAGCAGAATATTAAAATTGAAGCACAAAACGGTATGACAGAGCAAAAACTGCTGTTTCAAGAGGCTGACTTGAATAACGATCTATACTGGAAACAGAAGTTTTCATCAAGTACTTGTACGTAACGTAACATATTTAAAGAAATCATCAGAACAATTAACAGTTATAGATAGAATTATAAGAGAACATATACATACTATACACATAAAATTAAACTATTACTAATTAAAACACAAAATATTGGCAAATCATCATTTAAAAGCACAATAATACTGTCATATATGACTATAACCTAATTTTTCCTGCACAACATACATATTTAAAATATTAATAATCTCAACAGGATTATTCCTTACAAGGGTGCTTATTATAATTAAATAATATCTCAATATTTCACCCTTTTGTCACTGAACAAACAGATTTTTAACAGAATGGTGTGTAATTTACAGATTTTCAACGTGGGCAAAGCACCTAGTCGAATCAGTCGATTTAATGCTGGGAAGATCACTCTACATATCATAATACTAAAAACAATAATTTAAAAAATACTAAGTATATGGGTAAGTAGCTCAAAGTTTGCTTTAAAACCTTTTTGTATTTATATTTACATGTGATCTAATGTAATTTGTTTCATTATATGCTTTGGTTTTAAAACCTAGTACTTTGTAGATTGGTTGATAAGAAACATGATGATAAGCCAGTGATTTAACAGTGCAAAATATTAAATCTCGTCTTAGCAAAATAAGTTGTCATGGAGATTGTCATCGAGATGTCATTGATTAAGGAATGTCAAAAATATACAACATGGTGTAGCTACTAATCTACACAAGAAAATTCATGACGATTCCATCATAAGTGAGAGTTATTCCAAATTGAAAGGACATGTTTTTTGAATCACCTTGTATGTATCTTTATGTCCCATTTATCAGCTCAATGTAAAACATAAATTATTAAACATATCACATCTAAAAAAATACATTTTTCGAGATATCTAGTACTTTTACCCCATGTATGGCTTGTTTAAATTGCAGCTGAACGAATCAGTTAGCATCATAATCATATAACTCTTTATAGTCTCATTTCTAAACATTCAAAACATGCAAAATGTCACCACCTGCCTTTTGTTACAGACACCGAATGCTTACTATCGAATGCCAAACACCAACCACCAAACACCTTCCATAAAAAAGTTGGAGACTATAAGAACACATCATAACTTCTGGTGGTGACATAAAAATGTGCTGATTACCCTATATTCAACTGACAACTTAGATAATAATACTAGATATGAAGATATGCACATAAAAAACTCTACAATTTTGGCAATTACATGTACATGTACATTTTGGACATAGGCAGTACTACTGTAAGACGGCTTCACAGGATAGTCTTGCATAAGTCTTGGATTATATTTCATAAATTCCCAGATTGTGTAGGCCAGGGGTATTTCCCAAGGACTTTATGCAAGCCTAAGGTTTTTTAGTCTTTATTAAGTACATGTACATGCTCTCATTGCAACTTGGCAGAATATGTATAAATCTCCATTGGAGAAAGTTCCACTGCCTGACTAGTTGAAATGTCTGCTTTCTGATGCATATAGCTCAGACTCCACTCCTTCAAGTCGCTCATAGTGAAATCTTTGAATATGTTCCCTAGCTCAAAATCTCCCCCACTGGTTGTACATTGCAGGGTGTTGAGAGGCATATTGCACTGATACCCAAACCTCTGTATAATAAACCCTGTCGTTTCCACTTTAACATTGTTAGGATCAGGCATCCCACGTATCGATATAAGGTTAATATCACAAGGGAACTGGTCTTTTAATGGAGCAATTAGTTTTTTTGTTGGTACAGATTTGCTTTTTACGAAGAAAGTTACTGCTGGGTTCTCAATATGTTGAGAAAGAATTTGTGATGTCAATGAAGGGAACGACATCTTATCTTTGTATTGTTTACTTGATAAGGAACTGTCTTCAAAGTTTTCCAACATTAGGAAGAAATGGCTCGGTGTAGGGCGTGTATCCAGGACCCCCTCCCCCATACCTCTATTATCATCATATGTAAGGCGTCTATCGAGCATAATCTCCAATTCTCCATTGGAGAGAGTTGCGACGCCAAGCGCGCATGTGCCCAAAACACTCAATCTATGGTGGGGGTCTTGTATGTACACAGCAGATGTCATTGGATAATAGTTCTCTTGTATAAAACTAAAGTGACCCAAGCGGGTATTTCTTCGCATCATTTGAAATCCGTTGGAATCTGTATACATGGTCAAATCATTATGAATTCCAGTATTAAAGCGCATAATCAGTTCTTCATCCCGACTTTCGGCCATATTTACAATATTATAGATTTCAAGGCCAGCTCCTGTAACTGTAGTTGTGTTATACAGACGTACACAATGTAACACGCGTTTATAGACTACTTGTACTTCAGTTACAATAGGCCCACTAATAACCCTAAACATGGGTTGCGTTTCAAATTTTGATGACTTAGCGTGTCCAGTTGGGAAAAATATGTAAGCTCCACTACCTCTGGATTCATATGCAGCAAAGTCCATAGCCACCTTAGTGGTATTTTTGTTATTCTTATTGTGTATACTTTGTAGGAGTCCATTCTGTGTGGAAAACATCACCTTGTATTGAGGATTCTCAACAAATATCATGTGTGGACTGGGGTCACCACGCCCCGCTTTAAAATGGCGGATATCTTTATAGTTCATGTTTTTCTTGTTGTTGAAGAATTTCACCTCAGCGGGGAAATTATATTGGTTTTCTGACCCCCTTCTGTTTGAAATAAAGTAGGTTTTGGAGGCTAGTGGTGGGATATCGATAAAGAAGACCAGCTCAAATTCATCGTATTTTATTGTGTGAACATCCTTCCATAATGGATTTATCTGTGAGACTACAATGTGTCCTTCACTGTCCTTGACCTCCAAGTTGTTAGTCTTCACTACCACTCGAACACAGTCATTGCGTTGCAATGCCAACGGATTGAAGATAACAATAGGAGTTCCACTGACAGATACATCCAATACGTGGGAATCTTTATCATCTATCGGGGTTTTAAACATTCCCAGTTTATCTAGTGTCAATATGAAAGGATTCTTTTTATCTTTGGCATTTTTATCATCCTCGGTTTTTACGGTATCGGCAAATAAGAATTTTCCTGTTCGTATTAATGTTTTTTCAGCATCTTTTATCCCAAACATAAGAACATCTTCATATTCATGCGCAACATAGTTTTTCTCTGTACCGGTTATGGCATCGTGATGTTGAAACAGACCCAGACCACGGTGAGCAGCTTGAAGTGACTCCATATTATATTCAAGTGCTGGAAAAGGAGTGTTAGTTTTACTGGCATAGGCCACTGCTAACACATTCAAGATCTCAGCCGATCTGATCAGAGATGCTAATTGCCGACTAAGCATTTTATGAAAGGGCCTTGTTGTGAAATAACCAGTCCAGAACTCATCATTCTGGTCAGTATAAGGGTAGAAATCACCAGACAGAGTTGGAAAGCTAGCTTCATTTTTGTAGAAAGCCGACTTACGAACGGCGTTAAAATAAGTTTCTAGTGTTCCAAACTGGATTTGCATCTTGTATTTCTTATTTGCGTTGATATGTTTCATAAGTTTCTTGTAGTTAAAATACTGTTGGTCCCACTCTACGAACCTGTCATACCTGTAAAAAATAAAAAAGACACATTATGACATTGATCATAAAAGTCTCAAACCCAGACAGTAACAGCTGTTCTAATGTAATATACATCATATTGAGTTTCATTTCACAATGTTAGATTTATGTTTACATGTACCTATTGGGTAGATGCAAAAATGAGTCAGACCTGCCTTGGATTTAAAAGATGGTTATGTTGCTTGATATGGAATGACAAGAAAAGGTGTAATATCAAAAGGAAATTCATGAAAATAACAAATAAACCTCAAACCAACCGCAGGGAGAGCAGACAGTATATAATTATTCTCTACAGACTGCTATTAAACTGAATAGGGTCTACAATTGGTTTATTAGCCTCAAGAATATATAATTGTGCTATTTTACCTTGGTCCTTTCTATATCATTCTTACCATCTTCTTGAATGCCATAAGCAAGATGACTAAGATGATGAATTCAAAATATCTATTGATTTATTATAATAGTGAACGAAGAAAACTTATACTGTATATTAAAGCTAAAGTACTGTATTAAAAAACAAGTAAAAGAATGTAAATAAAAAAATATTAACTAATCAATTGTCACTCACCTGAAGTCATCTCCCAGGGGAACCAATACAACATTGTGACGCATCAATGAGTTCTTTTTTCTGTACTGGTCTACTATCATATTGGCACTTTTCTCAATGTTGGCCTTATCAATTGGAACTGATCGACTTTCTGAGTATTCACCTGGGATTTTTCGGAAGTCAAAACGCAGACAAACAAAAGGTCCAGGGCCACAACTGTGTTTGATACTATACAGTTTGTATGGCATAATTTGACACATCATATCATTTGTTCCTTTTTGGTCCCAACGCTGCCGCCAACGGAACTCTAGGTTGCGATTCTCAGCCATTTGGTATTTCACCTCACGATGGATTCTCAAAGCGATCATGTTCTCCATCCCAGCCTTTTTTAGAAGATATGGGATAGAGCCTGAGTGGCCAAAGGGATCAATAGCCCAACTGTTTTTCGGTTTGACTCCAATGTTGTCAATTAGCCACTGATGACCTGTAATCATCTCATCAATGATGCTGTAGTAGTGGGTGGTAGCTTCATCAGGCATAACCCAGCCTCCTAGTGTCAACTCCAGCTGGCCACGCTTCACCAACTCCTTAAATTTAGCCTTTTTATCATCTGGTTGTTCACGCCACCAACGCTCAAGGAAAACTGTTTCTGTCCATATAAATGACATGTCTGGGTATTTTGTCAGTTTGCTGACTGCATTGTCAAATATCAACATGACCTGGTCTCTGTAGTATTCTTCAACTGTCTTCAGCCATCCAGGATCTGTGTGAGAGTGCGGCATGATGATTACATTGATGATATCATCAGTGTCATTCTTCACTTCATTTACACGTTCCCGTGTTTGTTCTGACATGTTAAATGCCTTATTGAACAAATCTATTGTGTCTATGTCTGCTTCTGCAGGGGTCCGTTGTGCAAAATCACACTCAGATAAATCATCAATGACTTTCGCTTTTTGAACAGGGATAGGCCACACATGGGAATCAACCAAACGAGACTGTTTTATTTTTGACTTTGTAGTCCATGCATCCCCATCTCCATATAGAAGATATGTTATGACGATTCCAACAATAAGGACTGCCACAAGCACACGTTGCCAAAACTTCATTTTGGAAGTCAGTTCTCAAGACAAACGATGAGTTGACTTTAGCTGTAGATTGTAGTATTCTGCAGATTTTAAAACCTCATTGTTCTCAATTCTTTAATATGACTAAGAGCTCTCAACTTTTGCATCTGAAAATATTAAAATAGAAATATTAAATATTGCATAAAAATCCTATATGAATTTTCAATAATTAATTGAATTGAAATTCCAATATTCATTGTTCTCTATGTGCTTTTGTTGAAACATACTTAACAACATGCTGGATAACTGTAAATGGAACATACATTTCTAATACCACACATCTACATGTCATTGTGTTCGCCTAAGTAAGGTTTATTCAAATAAGGCTCTTTTGTATGTGCTACTTGTTTGCTATATTCAGTATATAAATCAATAAGTAATTGATCAAAGCTACAGTGTAAAATGAATGATTTTTTAATTTTCCAAGCTCAGCGATGTAGCAGGATAAAAACATTTAATAACAAACATGTGCAGCCAGATAAACACCTGGTTAGCGAGCAAAAAACCTGCTATAAAATTCAGTATAATGCTCGTCAACTGGACCACGAGGCCTTCTTTAATGGCTTTAATACACACAGGCCATTTATTGAATGACCATGTTTTTGAGGCTATATGCCAGGCTCAGATTGCATTAAAAGACAGAACAGAGGCTATACTACTATATAAGACAGTTTTCAATATCATTATTCCTGTTACCTGATCCTTTCACAGATAGGTAACAGCTATGTAATTAAATTACAAACTAATCTAGACATCCAATCTTTCATTTATCATACTGTTTGTGTCGGATAACTGCTACATAATAATATATTTACCATGATAGTGCTGTAACTGCTGTGAACACTACATAGTACAGTAAAACTGTAGACTGTTCATCATTATATTTTTGAGTGCAAGCTCTTCCGAGTTAGACAGGAATAAACGGTTTCATGAGATAGATACTATACTACTAGCACGGTGACCAAGTGTTAACAGTGGAAATTGGCCCGGACGTGTTTTTTCAAACTCTTTAGACGTGTTTTTTTGAAAATTTGAGAGGTGGGTTGATAAATTTGGTTATAAAATTGCTTTCGCTTGACTTTATGTAAAAGTAAGTAATTTATATTGCTTTCCATACTATATATCCTAACTTCAGGTATCCCTAAACACGCTATTTGCATGAATCGTATGCTATAGTCTTGTTATATCGGAAAGTGAGCAATTCTGTCAGTCTTATACATATTTTTGCCTGAAAATCACTAGCCTGACTTGTATTCAATGAATACAGCGATTCATAAGGAAAGTACTCACAATATGTGTGAAAACCACAAGTGAGAAGAGCTTAAATAAGTAGCAATTGACCGAATAATTTTTTTTAGATTAAACTATTTAGACGTGTTCAAAAGATTTCGGTTAATGACATTGACTTGTTACTGGAAACATTTAGACGTGTAAAGATATTGAGGTTTAACGATTTGGAAGTGGAAAACAGCACAATTAACATTATTTATTTCCAAAAATGATCAGGATGTGGAAGAAGTTGTTGTCTGAGTAATACAATCTTAACTAGATTGGTAAATTGAGACTCCAGATTGATTTACTTGAGTAAGTAACTGAGTAGCAAGCTGAGTAAGTAGATGATTAAGTAATTGAGTAAGTAGCTGAGTAGGTAGCTGAGAAGGAAGCTGAGTAAGCAGCTGAGTAAGCAGCTGAGTAGGTAGCTGAGTAAGTAGCTGAGTAGTTAGCTGAGTCAGTAGCTGAGTAGGTAGCTGAGAAGTAGGTAGCTAAGTAGGTAGCCGAGTAAGTATGTAGGTAGGTAGGTAGGTAAGTAGGAATTTTTGACCGAAAGTCGGATTGAAATTTGATTTGCAGATTCAGATTCCTGAGTAAATTCTACGCTCGTGTCATAACTCATACATTGAATTTTGAGAACTTTTTGTGTTGACTTACTTTCCGGACGCCATTCCTCAAAATTGGTAAGAGTAATCAAAAAAAGACAGTGACATTAATAAAAGGGCTGTTTCTAAGCTACGTGATGAAAAAAGATAAAGGAATAATGACGAATAGTGACCCAGATAATTCACAGAATGTTAGAAATGTAAGATTTAACCCAGTTCTTGACCTTGGGTTTTCAGTGTCCAAATTTTATATTAAAGGAGCTTTGGAGGTCCTTGTCTGTTGTAGGCTTTCATTTATTTTATTTGTTTCCAGTCTTTATCTCGTATATTTACAATTCATAATTTTCTTGAGCTCCATAGATTTAACAGAGGGATATCATCATATCGATTTTTTTAAACTTCAAAACATCATAACTTCCGAACCGGAAATCAAATCGAAATTTTGTTTGCAGATTTAGATTCCTGGGAAAATTCTACCCTTATTTCATAAATCATACATTAAATTTGGAGATTTATTTTCTTTTGACCCACTTTTAGGACGCCATATCTCAAAAATGGGTCAAAATACTTTCTGACGGCAAAAGGCTATCACTATTAGCACACTCTTTTCTACCTGTATACAAAATTTTGAAACAAATCCTAAAAGTGTGGTGCCAGAATCGCAAAAATAAGGAAAAACTATGAATTTGACCTAGATTTTGACCTAGGCATTTTGGTGTCCAAATATTGAAATTAGGTAGCTTTTGAGGTCCCCTTCTTTTATAGGAATTCATTATCTTAAGCTGTACTCAGTCTATATCTCGTTTTTTACACTTCAAAAAAATCTTTTTTCCTTGACTTTCTATCAGGATACCATCAGATTGATTTTTCTCGAAATTTCAAATCGCCATAACTTCCGAACAGGGAGTCGGATCGAAATTTGGTTTGCAGATTCAGATTCCTGAGAAAATTCTACCCTTGTTTCATAGCTCATTTATTAAATTTGGTTAACTTTTTAGTTTGACCTACTTTCCGGACACCATATCTCAAAATCGGTAAGAATAATCAAAAAACGGATGGCACACTCTAAATTTGTTTTTTTCTAAGCTACATGATGAAAAAAAGATGAAGGAGTAACAACAACGAAGATAATTCACAGAATGTTGATTTGACCTAAATTTGACCTAGTTCTTGACCTTTGACCTAGATAAAAATTTGACCTAATTTCCCATAATCCCAGATACATTCCCTAGTTGATCATGTAAGCAGCTTAAAGTAAGTTCTTCTAGTTGGTGAGAAATCTTGTAAGGAGGAAGAATAAGAAGAAAAATAATAATAAGAAAACTGGCAAAAGCAATAGACTCCATATTTTCAATCTGGAGTCTGATTATAAATTATTAACAAAAATTAAATGTACGACATACATATTGTAATATGTCAAGATTTATCTAGGGAATCATTACAGAATTTGATACTAAAATCAAAATGGTTAGAATCAGACACGCAAGGTTAATGCAAGTGAGGTTTGCCTCGTCGCTGGTCGATTTGAAAATTTGACTAGTCACATTTTTTAATTGCCCTATCGCTCATTTAAAAACATGACGTTGCTATTTTTCAATTTGCCTCAAATAAGTTTTAAAACGTCCCAATTGGCCTAAATCTCTTTCCCCTGTCATGAACGTGAATAAATTTATTGAAAATGAGAAGAAATGTTTAGTTTGCGATGCACTAAATGCATATATATGATCACCTAATGTAATGAATAACTCAACCATTATCTCGTACTCAAAATCTATTGGGTTTGCTGCGGGATATTTAACAATTTGATTCGTTGTTATTCCCTAATTTGCCTCGCACAATGCAAATATCTGCCTCAAATTATTTTTGACACTTTCCATTTGATTTTCATTCAATCATATAGGTATAAAACACTGCATATGCTGCTATCGTTGTTTGAGTAACCTATGAACTGTGCTGTAACATAATGTGCTTTAGCGAATTAAATTACAACATCTGATGATCTTGTCAAATCATACATCTCTCTTTTAACTTCTAGCAGAAACACGAGATAGTAAGAATTTAAAAGAATTTGAAATTACAAAATGTGTGAAAAGTGATGCATTACAAACACTCATCTACTAAATACTAATGCGATTATTTTCAGAAGCACAGACAAATTATTAAGCAACAAAATGTGTGAACTGTGAACACTATTACAAGACAATTCAAAGTCATTAATTTTATCACGTCTAAACGTTAACTGTACGATTCCAAATCGTTAACATGGTTTTTATAAGACACGTCAATGACGTTATATTGTCCCTTCTCCATCGTTAACTCCACTTTCTACATTTAGTCATTTATGGCAATTTTAATATAAAGATAGTTAAAATATTAACACAATCTTCAGAGTAGTAGAAGCAGCTGGACCGAAATTTGGCCAAATATCGGGAAACCATGACACCTCTAATCAGCACTATACAGGGTGTCTCAAAAAATGTACCTAAAAGTATATCAAGAGCACAGATAAACCAATCAGTATTTTCAGACATTTTTTGTATGGTCATGTAGCCAAAACATGAAAGTTTTCTCCCCAATACACCATTTTTGTTTCAGTCTTGTCTTTTTGATGCTTTAACCCTTTACCTTTTACATCACATAATCGATGTAACCTCATATTTTGATGACAGCCTGTATCCTTACTGCTACATTGTTCATCGCATTTGATAATAATTCCGGTGGAGTGTTTTGGATTTCTCTTTGGATTTTTCCCTTAAGTTGTTCTAGGTCTTTTTGCTTGGAATGAGCATTAAAACACTCCTTCAAATAGCCACAGAGAAAGATGTTTGAGGATGACGATGGCAGAACAAACACAGATAATCAGGTCAATTATCGACAAATGATCCAGGAGTTACGTTCCAGAGTTAGGCAGGCTAGCCTGGAGACCAAATGATATCCAAATGAAAACAGAGTGGTCTAAAACTGATACACACAACAAAGGCTACACTAGAATCCCAACCAATGCAGTTTCTTGAACCTCTGACCTCTCTTTATAAGGGGGCTATAAGACATTGTGAGGGCCTCCCCATTCACCATATCTGACGGCCCATACTTTTTTCTCTGAGACTATTTGAAGGACCATTTTTATGCTAAACCCAAGCTAAGAGACCTAGAACAAGACCAGCATCCGAAAAGAAATCAAAATATTCCAAAAGAAATATAAAATGTGATGGACAATGTAGTAGTAAGGATGCAGACTGTCATCGAAATATGAGGTTACATTGAATGTGTGGTGTAAAAGGTAACGGGTCAAAGTATCAAAAACGCAAAACTGACTGTGTATAGGGGAAAAAACGTTCATCTTTTATCTACAAGACCATGAAAAAAAGTCTGAAAATATTGATTGGTTTGTCTATGCTGTTGATATACTTTTGGGTACATTTTTTTGAGACACCCTATATACACATGATGTACAGTACTGTATCGCATCAGCATGGATTGTGGGAAGTACTACTATTAGATTATATCCACCAGGTTATGATGGTAAAAATTCCTCTTTCATATATTCATGGCTACTTCGCATGCATCTCGTATGTGTTGCGTGATCTGTTTGTTCCAATCGCGAAATTAGTTGCTTCTGACTTTTGTAGAGTCTACCAGAGGGGGAGAAACACCAGGGTCCAAAGATGACATACGCTTATAATGTAAATCTGTATTGAGATGACATTGTCGCTGATTGGTCAAAAGTCGACAAACAAATGACGTCATCAATGGCGGTTTCAAAATTTTCGAAATACGCTTCGAATAATATTATGTTATTTTCTGGCGTGTTAACCAATATCATAGCTTCTCATTTCACATCAAGATAAAGAAAGGTGTACGGAATGTGCCTGTATCAATTAAAACATCCCATTGAAGTGTAGTATTTGATAACTTCCGATGAAAATTCGAACGGACGAAGGTGGTATGCAAGAGACGTAATTATGTCTGTCATCTTTAAACACTGGGGCTGGGGATAAATATTCAGACTGTAAGTCACCTATTGTAAAATGTGGTGTTGTATAAATGTTACAAGTAAGTTTGTTTAATGATAAAATGATTACCTTATAAAGAACTTACAATATTATTTTTTCGTATATTGTCCTCTTACTGAAGATATTCATAAAATGTACAGACGCTTCTTGTAGCGAAGCCATTGATTAGGTCAAGCCATTTTGGCAATGCCAATTCTCACGATAAACGAGATTTAGCCAGTGACGTCAGTCTATTTGTAAACAATAACACGTGGAGCGGACGGAGCAACATTACGGATAAATTCCATTTGTGCGGGAATTTATTAGATCTAGTCATTTATTATCATTATCCCGATTAATTTTCTTCATTTATAGTTAATAGAGCGGAAATATTCATGAAGAAGGCCGAGGTAATCAAGTGGTCATGTGTTGTCAAAGTTCAAAAATTTGCATTTCTCGTTTGGATCTCGTGAACTCAAACGTCCTTGACATTGATTTCGCGATATACTTATGAACACATCCTGAAGATTTGGTGAGTCTGAACATTTCATTATTTTATATCAACTTGTACCCGCCTTATACAAATATTTTTGCTTCTAGTTTAAGATGAACATCTCTTCAACATATTCACCAATTTTCAAGGTGAACATTCTTGTAATAAACGAGAAGTTTATGTGCAAAAAATATCACAGCGATTTCCACAGGAAATATATCAATCATAACAGACCGAATATTATATTCGGTCTGTTGGATACATACTAGGGCTTTCCCTCCTCTTAGAGTCTACAGTATTATTTGGCCAGAATTAGCCTTGAAGAAGGCATTATCATTTGTTGATTTTTAAAATTTGGATATTTGTTTCCAAAAACGCTTTACATTTGGAAACAAATATCCAAATTTTAAAAATCAACAAATGATAAAGCCTTCTTCAAGGCTAGGCCAGAATAGAAAGATTGAGGAATGAATTATTTTTTTGTCTGACTGCCAATATTGGATAATCATGTGTAAAGATGAGTATTATTTTTTATGAAAAATTAAAATATCCATTTTTTCTGAAAATTACCTTCATGACCTCTTGATCCTTTCTCATCAGACATTACACCTGAACAGTACAAGTTTCTATGTGGAAACGTTAAAACATATATATAATTTTACTTACCTAGACTAATGGATTGATTTGCACTCAATGTCTAAGGATATGATGCTGAATTTTGATGAAAATGTTGGAAAAAATATTTCATCCTTTTACATATTTTTCTGACAAGAACTAATAATCTGTAGCTAAGTATGTCTCTCAAGGTCGCTATATTGAAATATATTTTATACAATATTCATCAAATTTGATGTTTGATCTTTATTCAATAATACTAAATATACCTCAAATATATTTTCTGTATGTTCAAAGTCTAAAACCTACCATTATGTATGTAATATCTTTTTGGGTAAATTTCGCTACAGCGACTTCAAAATTTGAAAAACAGTGCTTCTGATTGAATGGCAGGAAATATCAAAGACTGGTCTTCATTTGTAAAAGGTAGGCTTGTTACATTACATAATTACTATTTAATTATTGATTTACTGATTTGAACAACAATATTCACCAAAACAATGAAAGATTTAACAGAAAATTGACTTTCTGAAGGTCCATGAAATTGAATATCAACCATCTTTTGATTCTCCAAAATGGCCTTCCAACTCAACATATTAGCCATCCAACCAACCATGGGCTTTCAACTTAGAATTGAAAGCTCATGAACCAACCAATCAAGCAAGCAATCGACCAACTAATCTGCCAAATCCAACTTGCAACATGCCAAGAGCAACCAATCCAGCAATATAGAAACCAACCTGCCATCCAACCAAGCAGCAAAGCGGGGTTTGTGTAAAAAACCTGGTGACCTAACAGTTCCTACCAGGGTTAGGAATTTTATTTTTATTTTATGCCTTTAAACACCCAACTGACTTCCAACTCAACATACCAGTCATACAACCAATCAAGCAAACAACCAACCAAGCAACCAGCAAATCTACCAATAAACCAACCGCCAAAACAAAGAAACATCGATATTCTGTCAATCACTAGGCAATAAATCAAGCAACTAATGTTGTATTGTACATCGTATGTTAATTGTCAGTATAAAACGGCAAAGATTGTTTCAATTTACGCGTCTGTAACATATAAAAAATCTTCAAGACATCTAGTAGAAATCGCCATCGCAGAAAACAATCACCCTGTCAATCACTCAGATAATAAATCAAGCGACTAACAGGCCCATAGCCAGGATTTGCCAAGGGGGGGTTCATTTTTCAAAATTTTCCAGGGGGGGTTCACATTTGACAATTTTGGCCCAAATATGGCTAAAATCACTTGAGAAGTGCTCAAAATGGTGAAAAACTGCATGGTTTTGAAAGAATTTTTGGCCAGGCGGGGGGGGGGGGGGGGGGTTCGCCCGAACCCTGCGAACCCCCCCTGGCTACGGGCCTGACTAATGTCATCGTACATGTAAACTGTGTAAAATGTAAACTACTTTGGACTTCCAAATTCAGTCCATTGCATGTTCATTCAGTGGATATCTTGTGTAACCACGTAACCATGTTCTGATTTTGATATTAAAGTAGCAGATTATTTCTCTTGCAGATTCTTGGTAAAAATGATAACCTTTAAATTATAATATTAGTTGTAATATCGAATGGTGGTCTACACGGGAAGCTATGTTTATTTAGTGCTCGACATGTCAGTTGGCTACAATGTTAGAGGAAAATGTGCAACTTTGAAAATTGGTAACCCTGCTAGGAATGTTAGGTACCCGGTCACCTGGCCATCTGGTTAAGTCACCCATTTTTTACACAAACCCCAACAGAGCAACCAAGCAAAGCACCAAGAGAAACAGCAATTTGGTTGCTTGCTTTGTTGGCCTGCTGGTTGCTTGGTTTGATTGGTATGTTGGTCGCTGCTTTAGTTATTTGGTTGCTTGCTTTGTTGTCCGGTTAGATGGTTAGTTAGCTTGTTGTTCAGTTGCTTGATTGCAGATTGCTTGGCTTGAGTAGATGATTAGCCAGTTAGATTTCTGCTTGATTGTATGGGGTTGATTAATCATGGATGGGTGATCGGTTGGTCAGTTCTTTGCTTAGTTTGTTTGTTAAGCTCTTGGTTGCTTTGATATTTGGTTGGTCAGCTATTCTTGGTGTGTTGCTTGTTTTGATATGCTTATTAGTTTTATAATTGATAAGTTGGTTGTTGATTAATTAATTAAATGCTTACATTGTAGTTATTTGCTTGATTGATGAGTTGGAAGTGTGATTTGTCTATCAGTTGCTTGTTTAGTTATAGGGTTGGTTGCGTTGTTGATTGGATAGCTTGTTAGTTGGTCAGGTGGTTGGTTGGCTGATTTGTTGGTTAGTTGCTTGATTAGTTGCATGTTTAGGTGATTGTTTGATAAGTTGCTTGGTTTGTTCTTTGGTTGATTTGCTTGTTGATTGGTTGCTTTCTTGGTTGATTAGTTTGTTTATTGGTTGGTTGCTTGAGTGGTTGGATGGCTGGTATGTTGAATGGAGTTCAGTGGGGAGGATGGTTGTTTGCTTGGATTGTTGATTGGCTAATTGGTTGGCATCCAGAGCAGTGCTAGTGCCCTAGGTGAGAATCTGTCTTATGTTGAAAACTGGTTCAGACCAACTAGTTTTGAAAATATTTATTATGGATATCTCATAAACTATATGTATTTATTGTTAAATTAACTCTTTATTAATGTTAAGCCCTAGATAGATTAATGCAAAATGTAGATGTATTTTGGGGCATAAAATAAAAGTTGATTCCTAACCCTGCTGGGAATGTTAGGTACCCAGTCACCGAGCTACCCAGTTACCCGACTACCCAGTTTTTCACACAAACCCTGATGCCTTTATGGTCCTTAAAATTGAGATAACGGGTACTTAAATGCATTTTTTGTTGTTGTTTTAGATGGCCTATTAGATTCAGGACTGTTCAGCGGTGTAGGACTTATCACCAAACAAAGCAAACCCACATATACATATGGATCTCTAACTGACATAGAACAGGTAAAACATTTGGCAAATTTTGGACTGATATACAGACAATGTCACACAATCTCTTAGTGCAGGGTTTTCAAAGATCACTCCTTTAGTCCAATTATCTGTTAATATCCTGCAAATACTGAAAAACCAATCGTAAAAAGTCCATATGAGTGTATCAGTTAGGTAGTGCAACATAATAATTTAAATTCCTCAAAACATTTAATTAGTAACCTACTGTATATTAACATATTTCTTTTTGAGCTCTCGGTAACTACCTTGGGTGAATTTCTTCACCCTAGGTAACTATTGCTACCTTTTTCAAGATCCATGTGTAAAAATATCTAAGGGACCTTTGACCACTCCCTATAAATCTGTTGCCACCTGCAAATATTTTTGATAAAATCTTGTAGGGCTTAACTTATGTCAAGCATATTTATGTGATGTAACTCAGTATAAATGGTATACATCAGTCTAGAAACTGAATGCTTTTTGAATCATCTAATATAACAATAGAAATCCCATAGTGCAGCTATACTGTAGAATACCACTTTTACACCATCGGTCTTTCAATCTCATGGAATACTTCCTATGACAATGAAGTCTAAGAAAAGTATATTACTTTCAGAGAGTATAAGGATACGTTCAACAACTAAGAAACACAGATGATGGTATCATGGCAACTATTACTAAACCACCTGAGAAAAAATCAAGCCCTAACGCCATCATCGTAAATCAGCGTCAGAAAGGAAATCCAATACTGAAGCACATCAGGAATGTCCCTTGGGAATATGGAGAAATCATCCCAGATTATGTCATGGGCCAAGCAACATGTGCCTTGTTTCTTAGTTTACGTTACCACCAGTTGCATCCTAATTATATTCATGATAGATTAAGGCAGCTTGGTAGGAGCTACGCATTGCGAGTGTTGTTAGTCCAAGTCGATGTAAAGGACCCACACTTTATATTGAAAGACTTAGCAGAAATGTGTCTATTAGCAGACTGCACTCTTATATTAGCATTCAATGTAGAGGAAGCAGGGCGATACATAGAAACATACAAAGCATATGAGAATAAACCGCCTGATGCTATTATGGAACGTTCAAATGACGATTATTTTTCTACTCTTCAGGAGGTACTTACAAGTGTCAAATCGGTGAATAAGACTGATGTGATTGCTTTGATAACACGCTTCAAGACAATGGATGGGGTGATTCATGCTTCAGAGGAAGAACTAGCTATGTGCCCAGGGTTTGGACCTCAGAAAGCTAAGAGACTATATACAACATTGCACCAACCATTTAAAACATCATCCTAGTTCAAAATCTGATGTTGGACATTTTGAATCTGAATCTTTAGATATCAAAAATGATATGTGCTGTACAAGTCAGTGATCTTCTTTTATGAAATTATTTTCCACAATCAAATTTCAAAATAATATGTAATGATTCTTCACAATTGTCTAATAAATATTTAATTTTATAAAATTACATTTGTCCAGTGCATTTCACCTTTAATTAGAGTGTCAATAAACTAGAATTGTACAGAATTGTAACCTGCCTACTGTAAATCAAGGAAGTTTTACACCCAAGAGTCATTAAAATAAATCATTGATAAAGATTTGTATAATTTTTTTTTATATTCAATTTTTTGTTGTTACATAGTTATGCTTCATAATCAAGCAAAAGAGGGTGTTACAAACAATGCTTTTTTTACTTCAAGTTAGAAAACACTATGATCCCCATAATGGGGTATAGGAGAATAGGGATTTAAGAGGATGTATTTACCTCAAAACTCAAAATTACAGAGATTTTTCATTTTTGCACACTGGTTACTTTAACTGTAGCTCATTAAAAGAAAATAAAAGGCATAGGTTTCCAACTTGGTTTTATATCTTTCCCATAAAGTGTGAATGTGTTCTTCCTTATACTGTATTGCATTTATTGAGATTTTATTAAAGTGTGCACATTTGTAATTTTCATTAAGTTACAATCAGGTTTACTTTAAGGAGACAGTCCTGTACTACTCATTTCATATTTTCAGTCCTGTTGGAAGCAGTTTTGTGACTTATTCCAACTTTGGAGCAGCACAAATGAGCAAGTTACTTCAAAGAATCAGTTATCATTGACTTTTAAAGACAGCAAACATGTCAGCTATAAAATCTACAAGAAAACATTCTGCAGGTAAGGCTAATCTGCGATTACCACAATTATTTTGTGAAACCCCTTGGACTTTCAAGAATTGACACGGTCATTTTTCATTTATTTAGTTTTTTTTATTTCCAAATGACAGATACTGGTATTCAAATAACATAATACAATACTAGCCATAGCAACAGGTAACATTTACAATTTTCTAATCAATATTTCAAAGTTAAATAAAAACTCCAATTTTGGATGGTCTACCTTTTTTTATATTTGCTAATAACATTATGGGCCACTAAAATAACTAGATTAATTTTTTGACGGGTCAGTTTATCATATGTCCAAAAAATATTGGAGGGAGTGAAACTTTATTATGTCACCACCATAAGTGGTAATATATTGTTACAATCTCCATCTTTTTTGTGGATGGTGTTCGGCGATCAGTGTTTGGTGTCTGTAACAAATGGCAAGTTGTGGCATTTTGTATGTAAATGTCATTTTACATTTTGAGAGAAGAGTGAAACATTTTAAGGGAGTCAATCTGAAATGTAAAAATGTTTTGAGACAAAAGTGAAAGAAATGAAGCTGATTCAAAAAAACGTAAACAATTATTGGTGAATAAGATTGAGAATCTTGGCATTCACTGTAAAATTGATAACTCCATTTAAACAACGGCCAACAGGCTTTTAAAATTATTTAACAAGTAGTATTACACATGCAGGTGAGATGCTTTCTAAAATACATCTAGTTCATACTCTACCTGCTTTCATCCAACAATTGATATCAAAGATTTTTTCATTAAAGTTCTATGTGTATCTGGCAATGTTTTCCATGAACTACAACTATTTAATACCTTGAAACCTTCACATAAATATTGAAACATCTGTTTTTAATAACATATTTCATGATAATGACATCACATTAAGGCTAAACTAAATAAAAACATGGTTAGCGTATATTTCTTTATCTTTGTCACATAGTAATGTTACAAAGTCTAAAGTCTATTATATTCATATTAGTTTAATCAATGTGATGTTTGGAAAGTAAAAACATCTATTTTGACAGTAATATTAGGAATATGGTATATAATTTTATGAAGATACAGCTACCTTACATGCGAGTATTTACATAACTTGTGTATTAATAAGAGCTAAACAGATGTGGTCTTTCCTATAAAACAGTGAGTCCATGCACCCACATGAATGCAAGTTGTATGATTTATGATTAATAGTTATTCAATGAATTGTAGTTGAATGCAAGGAAAATGTCAATGGCTACTAAAAATTAATGAATAGAAAATGTAATATCAATAGCTTTGAGTATATTTTAACACTATTTTTTTATTAAATAGGGTAGATATTTTTGTGCATCCACATGATGTACCCTCATTGATTTGAACTGCTGCAAAGTGACAATTGAGTTGACAAGTGATGATTTTAGAAGTCACAATTGTCTGTGGAGCTGTTTCAATTTTTTTTAAATTTTTTTATTTCAAAGAAAAAATATGTCAAAGGAATTGCAAAAAACAATTACAATATAGTTACATGGTAAACGTACATTTTACAATACATGTTTCAAATTTTATATGGGTCTCTCTCACATCAACATTGCATATATGGCCTCACAGTCATGAATTACATGCCCAGTTTCCTGTTTCCTGGACCCATAATTTCAAGGATTAGATTTTTGCAATCATTTCATTTTGAAAAAGTGAAGATCATACTCTCAACTTATCTATATGACCATCAACTTGTAGCAGTTAATGATCCTGTATGTAGTATAATCACAGGTATCTCAAATTGTTAATGCTTTTAAATCAAATAGCACATGTTTTAATCGTAATAAATGTATTCTTTTGTTCCAGTGTGTATGCAACATCAGAGAGGAATCAAGAGGGACTGGTTGTCTGCAATCTTCCATATGGTATACTCATTGTCACCCATTCACAGCCACAACCTGGTGTTAAAGCTATAAAACTTATTGAACAATTCTGTGACCAACTAAGAAGGTGATGCATAGTGGGAATTTTATTGAGGGCTGTATTGCGGTTGGAATATGGACCAGGAATGCATAAAGCTGGATTTTAATCTTAAATGAACAAATGTTGGCTAGCGTAAATTGAGCCTTTGTCTACGCCTCTCTTTGATTTTCCCAGACTTAAAACACATGCAAACTTGGTAAACTATGACCACTCTAAGTGAGGTATTACACTATGTGAGTCATGTTACATATTCATTAGGGAGCATTCAAAATATCAATGTCAGAAACTTAACTGTATTTGCACAGTTAGGGAGAGGGGGTTAATAACCTTAAAAGTTAGTTATCCGACATTGAATAATGACATTGTTAGTCTCCAACTTTATTGTGGACAATGTTTCACCAATATAAAATGCGCACAATATTTACAAGTTAGGGAGCACGTCAAAAGATCAATGTTGCCAAATAAGCTATATATTATCAGTTCGGGGGGATGTCTGAAACCCAAAAAATAAGCTTCCCGACATTGATTGCAGGGAATTGCATCAGTCATTTTTTTGTCCTACAATCCTCTTTGCACGCTTCCATATTGAAAATATTTCAGTTGTTCAAATTTTCTTTTTCACTATTATGGCACAGCCAATATATAAAACCCAATCTAATGAATATGAAATACTCATCAACAAGGTATGAGATGATATTTTTTGTTAAAAATTGTGTGTGTCAACATTTTCCATATAAAGTTAACAGGGGGAGGTGGGGGGGGGGTGTCTGGGACTTAGCTGATAATGTATAGCTTTTTGTGCTACATTGAACTGTTGACGTGCTCCCTTACAGAGTATTGTTTTGAATTTACTGTTTTCAAAGGATGTTATTTCAGTGCAATATTTCTACTTAACCAGAATAATACTAAGAACCTTTTACTTAAGAATAACGGAAGCATATTATATAATTTAATTCATTTTATTTCTGAAAATTCAACATCAAATATCAGAATACAACTTAAAAACAATTATATTCAAAAATCATCTGTAAATCACAACGTCATATATAAATGTACATCTTATTACATCTTTATTTGCATTGAACAAACAATATTCCTGTTTCTCTCTTACACAATGTAACATGAATCTATCCAGTGTACAACAAGAATAAAAAGCATATGTATTAGTACACATGTCTTTGTAAAATCTTTTTTTACCATTTAAGGCACCAGAACACTATTTGGCAACGGATACATCAAAATGACAGACAACACTTAATATTCATTTATACAAGACACTTTCTTGACATTGCTTTTCAAGTGCAAAGAACTTGTTATGATTTGGTGAACTAAATTCAACATTTTTTCCCCCTTAAACCAATTACAAAAAATTCTCAATTTAATTAGAAATAAAATTTTATATAATTGTTTTAGTAAGCCCAAACCACATTGTCTTTTGTTCTTTTCTACCAATTTTTAGAATGAACTGAACCATTTAAAAAATAAAGACCCCTTAAAATATATACAGGGTGGGCCAAAAAAAACGCCACTTTTTTTTCAAGACACTATAACTTTTTTATTTTCCAACCTACATGCACCAGAATTTGCAGTTATTTAGTTCCAGTAGTTCTTAGTAAGAAAATAATGCAATTGGTCCCTCAACTTTAAGTATATTTTGTTTTAAAAGAGGTGTTCAATAGGTCCGCCACCCTCTTTGACGATAGCTTTCAATCTTGGGCGCCATGCTGATATTGCGGTATCAATAAAACGCTGGCTGAGGTCCTTCCAACTGGTCTTGATTGCCAGCTTAAGTTGGGCTATATTTGAAATTTGGTGCTTATACACCATCTCCTGAAGACCTCCCCATACCCTATAATCACAGGGGTTTACATCAGGACTGTTAGTTTATAATTCATGATCCATGGCTAGATAACAACCTCAAGTTTCATTTGCTATGCAAATTATGATTTTGTATCAAAAATTAAAAAAGTTATAGCATTTTGAAAAAAAAGTGGCATTTTTTTTGGCCCACCCTGTAGAATTAAAATACACCTATTATTTCAACTTTAAGAAGCTTAAAAATCAACCTAACCTTCCTTGAATAATTTCCTTCCATTGGAAGAACTAAGTACATTGTGTATAGCGGGATGTCATTTTGTTCCAACGAGGGTTGGATAAATATTTCATTCCATTCCAAACATATGGTAGCAACAACAAAGGACAGTGGCGGATGGGTATTCTAAAAATTATTTACAAAAAAATATTTTTCAACTTATATTGTTGCATTGACGATACGTAATGTTTTCTGATTTTTTTCTATACTGGTTGAGAGAAAAGATGTTGAATGAGTTCACCAAATCATAACCACTCCTTTGCAATGATATATGAACTACAATCAGGGACATTCAGTGCCTCCCCATTTTAAATCATTTAAAGAAGATACTATTAGTATAAGTATTTTCATCAGGGGTTTAATTAAGACCCAGGGTGTCCATTGCCAGGTTACTTTTGACATGGGCATCAGAGAATATGGATGGAGAAAATAATATTATGCAATTCATCAATAATATCATTTGACCAGCTGCTCTCAGAACATTAGCTCGGACCCTGATTTCAATCCAAATGAGGCACAGTTGGATGGGTTAACCTTATATATGTCAAGCCATAAGGTTCTTTGGCAGTCATAAGCATTCAGTACACAAGAAACAATAAATACATTAACAATGAAATTATCTTCAAAACTATACAATATTCAACCACATTATGATGCAGTGTCTTGTATTTATCAAGTTTGACCTCCTGTCTCAACTCAATAATGCTGTTCGATAAATAAAACATTGCCCATAATATAGAGGCTAAAACAGTAATTCAGTTTATGTGTATAACAGACTAAATAAATGTAGTAAGACTGCCTATAAGTGCTTACAAGTGAATTATGCACATTGCATACTATACAGGTTCATTTTAAAATCACTGTTCAGATATTATATGCATTAAAATTAATTATATTTAAACCTTAACGACTCAACTATACAATTCAATAAATATATGAAAAAATATCTTACAGGTAACAGTAGTCCAATCCACAGGGCACCTGCAGATAAGTTTATAATGTAAAGGCTAATGAAAGCTGCTGCCTTTTACATGCTTAGTTTTTCAAAATATGCTGTTAATGGATTCATTTTTAAATATCAATTTTCAGCACCATTTTTAGTCAATAGAACATGAGCAAGGTAATGATTTCTTTGCAGAAGTTTATGAACAAACAAGCTTTATATCCCATTGATTATTTACCATATCATTGTAGTTCCTTTTTTGGCATAAATCTGAATTTAATGTTGGTGGTTGTTGCTCTAATCTACCAATTGCACACTAGTGACAATTATAAGTAATTATTGTAACCCCCTCACACCCTAGCTGTCATGGTAACACAGGAATGCCAAATTTTGAATTTTGATCAAAACTATGACTCATTAAAAGTTTCAGATTTACTACCAGAGCAACTTAACTTTTGCACCAAATCACTCTGTTGGGTAAGGTCTTGTTTGAGTGTATGGAACAGTTCATCATTAGAATGTATTCCGATGTTATTAACAATTCCATTGATTGTCCTTTTTGGTGGGGAAGCATCTTTTGGGGAACTTATGCTGCTTTTGGAAGCTTTGATTATACTTCTTGTGCCACCTATTATCAGGCAAGTGGCTCCATCTTTAGTATTATCTGAGGTGAGATCAGAGTCCTCTATAGTGTTCTTTGATAAGCATTTAACGCCACCTATCATGTGTTTCATTGAGAATTCAGATTCCCCCATTGATGGCACGGCTGTTTTGGAAGACTGGAGCTTCAGCTGCAGAAATTTAAGTAACTCATGATTGAAGTTAGGGACCTCGTCAAAATCTGGAAACACAAATACCAAGTATGCATGGAGGTTTACCTTAGATATAAGAACATTCTTTCTATAACTCATTATAGGTAGCTGTAAGTGAATCTCTTTTCAACTGATTTGTACAGCAGTACAATCACAAGAAAATACAACATAATGACGTCTATAGAACAAGAAAGATTTAAATTCTGTACTTCAATTCCATTTTATAACTTCATGTTATTACAAACGCAGCACCTAGCATGTGAAACACCTGAGTGTTGACCAATCCCTACCTGGGAATATGTTGATATCTATGATTGCATATCTGCCTGTAGTCATGTCCTGCACAATATCAACTCCTATCAACTCTAGGCCAAGGTGTGTCTGTACATGGCGACATATTCTCCTGATCTCATCTTCACATACAGCCATCTTGGGTTGGATGACATCATCAAGCTACAATAAATATAGATTATCGATCATATGTATGTCCCCTTGTAATACACGATTCAGTCATATGTGTGTTAACAATGATTTGGCTCTTTCATAATAAAGGTGAATATCGGGCCTTAAATGACAAAAATCTCACACTTTATGAACTACATTATTTTAAGAACAATCAGAGATTTTTAAGTTTGTATTTCTATTTACTTCACAAAACTCGTTTGCTGGAGAGCAGTTTCCAAATCAATTTTAACAGATCTGAAATCAACCTGGGTGAAATAGAAGGTCTTAATGCTAGCTACATAGATTGGTAACATACCTCATTGAGAAAGCAGGCAGAGTAGGGCTTAGACACATCGTGACTGTTGAAAAATATTGTATCTTTATCTGGAACCAAAAATATTAATGCACATTTTCAAATAATTTTTAGGAATGATGAACATCACTTATTTTATTTATCTGAAACTAAAAATATCAATCCACATTTTCAAATACATAAAATGTAGTTTTTATTCTCTTATTCTAAAACATCATCATCGTCCATGAATGAGTGATCTCTAAATTATGGATGTGAAGAGTTCTTACTGAAGTTTTTCAACATTTTAAAGCTTTTTGTCCTCTTATAATTGTTTTAGGAAATCACTCACCTGTATTCAAGAAGTTTTTTAGAGAAGGTCGTTGAACAATATGTATGAGATCACCGATAATGAAGACTTTTTGCAGCACTGCATTGTGGTTAATAAAGCTCTGCACGACGCAGGGAGTCTGGATGTCTTTGAGACCCATGTCATTGAAGATAATGGACATCTGTTTGGGTGGAAAATATGTATTAGAAAAAAGAATGTCAAATAAAAATGCACTATACAAAGACCTGTGTATGAAATCTAAAGCAATGTTGACTTATAAAATACTGTCTCTCATTAATCCTATCATGGGCATTCACCATTAAATCAAATTGATTCCTCTGAACAAGAAGGAAGGTTAACCTGGAAACCCCATGGACATGAATTCTTTTTTCAGAAAAAAAACATGGCATGTCCACTTACCATAAGTATATGTTGTTATCAACAGTGTAACTTTAAAGGCTCTGACAGTCACCTCATCTCTGACAAATATGACACAACATCAATTAGACTCCATAATAAAAGAAAAAATTGTTTGAATAATGACATATGTGAACTAACCTTATGTGAACTTGGTCCCTGGGCCACAAGAGGTTTACAGACTGGAAGGAAAAAACAATGATAAGCATGTTAAACTAAAAACTCCTATTTTAATGCATACACTTACATTTTCATTTATTTGAACTAGACTACAATGATTTCTTTCAAACAGAAATATGTAGAAATCAAAATGACAGAAGTCTGAATTTCTGCATACTACCAGACTATGACACTTAAAAGATCTTGATATGCTATTGATACAGCCGTATAGTGTATATCACAGACACTGCATTAACATGACAAAATGTCACCACCAAGTTGGTCACAATATTGCTAGTTTAAATCTTTAGTGAAAAAATACATTTTGACCTTTTTTGACCTTGACAAAGGTCATTAAAGGTTAAATCTGAAGTCAAATTTGAATTTCTGACAACTTGTAGATGATTTTGAAAAAAAGTTGGTCAATTTGAAATAAGTTGAAAAAAGATCTTTTTGACCTTAAGAAGGTCAAATCTTAAATCTAAAGTCAAATTTGAGCTTTTAACACACTTGTAGATGATTTTGAAAAAGCATGTTGAAAAATACCTTTTAGAAGATCATTGAAGGTCAAATCTCAAATCTAAAGTCAGATTTAAACTTCTAAGAACTTGTAGATAATTTTGAAAAAAATTGAAGTCAGTCTTAACAGTACTTGTTAAGTTATTGGAAGTTGTAAAAAATTGTTACAGATGCCAACTGCAGACCACCAACCGCTGTCAAAAGGTTGGCGGTGACATAATAAGACAAGTGCTTGTGGATGTTTCAATTGAGAGTCAGTGGGTGAAACGTGTACTCACTACAAGGAAATGTAAGGCCGCTAGCTTGCATGAGTTGTCTATTGGTGGAGATATCATTAGTATCCAGTTCCACATAGGCAGGTACCACAACACTCAGACCTGAAAAAGCAATATTGTTATAATCCATAATACATGTAAGGTGTGTCCAATTCCAGCCAATCCGAACACAGTATTTCACATGACCTCAGTGCATGAAATAATCAATCACGCATTTGTTGTATATGGTTACTAAGGTGAGGAGATTGTAATTGATGTTTTGCCAATACTTGACCCTTGAAAAAAAAGAGAAAATATGTTCTTTTAGTGATTTTTGTATATTTAAGGTGATTTTGTAGAAAATATTTTGCAATGTGTGAAAAGAATTGAAGCCCAAGATTCAGTGCATTGTGGCTGCTTCATTCCACTCAGATGTTGTTTCCTTTACATTGCATTCCCACTGTACAGTCATACAAAGATTTGGAAACAACCTTCATGGTATGATTCAGCAAACAATGCACTGAGTCCAGGGCTTAAATCCTTAACTCAAAACATGCATTGTAGGCAATGCAGTGCAACTCATTCTTTTCTTACCTTCTTCCTGTGCATGGCACTCTTCTATGAGCCTATAGTGGTTGTTTCTACTGAGAAGTCTCTGCACATTCTCTAGTGGATCTATTGCAATGGTTCTTGGATTTGACATCAAGTAGCTCTGGAAGAAATAAAATTTTCTTTCAATGAAATCAAAACAATATCATGCTTTAATATTTTATTTCTATCACTATAAACACTACAAAATGAGTGAGATTTACAAATTTTGTGCTGTTTTTAACACTTTTAACATAATACACTTAATATAAACACTAGTTCATCGTTATGCATCCTGACACAAATTCTACGGAAAACATATATGAGCCTGGCCATAGGAAAACTGCTCTTATCACAAAAATCAAAATTGTTCTACAGAGCCAAAATTGTGCCCAAGATTAAGAGGGAAATGTGCTAAATTCAAATCCGACATTTTGGTCTATGATGCAAGGAAAAATTGTTAAAACATAAGTCATGGCTCATTTGAACGGTCTCTTTGTGCTTTTTAAGATAAACAAAAAATAAGAATATTGAAAAAATCTGTGATAAGGCCCCTTTTCCTGTGGCCTGGCTCATATATAGATGAGAGATTGAATAGGGGTAATCCAATCCCCCCTCAATCCGATATTAATTTATTTCGATTATTTTTTGTATAACGCATGGAAACTAACTTTAAAAAGTGAACAATGTCATTAATATTCAGTCATTCCAGATAGTAATGCCCCAATCACATTTTTTCTGTCGCCGTGTATTTTCTCTTAAATAGCCCCGTGCCTGTAGTGTTAATCATTATGGTTGTATAGGATGGTCCAGTGCCTAATATTGTCACTAAAAGTTTGGCTCCATTTGTCCACATATGTGTTGTCACAATCAGTTAAAGTCAGAAATTCTTAAATTACGTTATTGTCGCCAAGAAGCATTTTTAGGTATATGGAAGAAAACAGACTAAGTTTATTTATCACAATCCGTATTATATATTTTCACGGGTAACAATGATGTGTAAGAAATATTCATGCGAAGTTTCAAATCGAAATACTAACAAGAACCTCTTCTTTTTCACGTTATAATAATGTCGCCAGATTCTTGAAAGTTACTGCCTGTTGCATGTATACCTGATATGGAGCTTATACCAATGTGACTTTTACCTTAAAACCAACATCAAATACTAGCATACATATAAAATATTCATAAAATATACAGAATGTCAATGTATTTACCAAGATATATCATTTGTGATTTGTCAAAAAATATTTTTTGAAACTTATGGATAAGGACTTTAAACTACGTTACCAAATATCCTGCATAATCAAAGAACGAAGGCACTGTTTTCCACATATATTGTACCACAGCCTTGGATGACTTGATGTGAGACCCTACTCTGTCGGTTAGTACTGAATTAATAATTGATTCGCATTAAAATGTCAGAAATATTAAATAACGTTACCTTAAACTACGTGAGCCTTTTTTACGAAACAATCCTATTTTGACTTGTTATTTAACTACAAGCTCAATGACAATGGGTCACATGGTTAGTTTTGGTGCGCCATGGCGCCATGTTGACTCAAAGCTCTGTATTATCTCTGACAATCGACTACAATCCATCAAAATAATTGAAAATATGTAAATAAATACCTAACTTCATTCACATTCTCAGTAAAAAAACATTTAAGGATTTTTTGGATTATAATTTTGAAGCACATCATTCATTAGAAACATATTATTTGTGGTGCAAGAACAAAATTTTCAATTTGAAATATATTTGGTGAAATTCGATATTGAATGTTGGATAAATTACGTTATGTTCGGTAACGTGATTTAAAACGATTGTTAATCATTTTCTGACTTGATTTAGAGTTTCAAATAGGGGAACATTCTTTCAGAAAATGGGTAAATCCATATCAGTGATTCAAAAAGCCCATATTGAATAGAAAATAGAAAAGATTTGGACAAGTACAGAGAGAAAGGGCACGTGTTAAAGAAATGGTGAAACAGAAACCTTTTTGAATTTTGAATTCCTGTTGATTTTATTTTCTTGTACAAAATAAAGTATGAAGGCATGTAAAATTTTTAGGAAAGTATCGTCACAATGTTTTCCTTTATTGAGTCTGGTAAGAGGTCAATTTTAACTCCAGGAAATGCTGAAATTTCATGAAAACATTCAAATGGACGTCTTTTCAATTTTCCAATGTTTTCTCAAAGTTTCTGTACAACACTTGAATTACAATGGAACTTTTACCAAGTTTATTAAAAGAAGATAATGTGATAATGTTTTCCTGAAAAACAAGGAAATGCACACATGCCATCATACTTTATTTTCAACAGAAAATAACATGTGCAGGTCTATCAATTTTTTCAAAAATGTTTTTCTTACACCATCAGCTTAAGCGCTACCACACACCCAGAGTAGAGCTCCCCCTTGAAAAGGTTTGTTTCTTGCTTTGCCTTGTGAAGTGCAAAAATGAACACCAGAGTAAGAGAACTGACGCAGACGAACCCTTTGATAATGAACCAGCTGTTATGTACATGATTGACAATGATACTGCTGTACATGATGGTGCTTGGTACATTGGAAAAGTAGTTAATGTGGATGGCGTGCTATGAAACATCATTTATGATTACTAGTAACAGACGGCGTATTTTCAGTGGCCTTCACTAGAACATGTACTCTGGGTAGCTAGAACGTGTACTCTGGGTAGAACATGCAAACGTTCTTTCCCAAATAGTGGATTTGATTCCCAAGTAAGTGATTGCAAAAATGTTCAAGATTACCTGAACTGATGATGAACTTTTTGCCTCCAAAAATTGAATCAAGAGACAATGACATCTGATATGTGGTTTTGGAAAGATATGATTTGAAAATACGTTTTATTGTAAACATTTACTAGTTCACGTTGACAATACTGTTTTAGCGATGTCTCTAGAGATGTTGAATTAAGTGATTAAGTTGTTATAAGAAGTTTAAGTTTTACATAGACCTTGAACAATATTTGCTCTCGTTATCTAATGACGACTGTACAGTTTTTTAACAAGCGTTACCAAAATTTGCTGATTCAGTGCTAGGATAAGGGGTCTATACCAAGTACATTTAGCACCATTATTATTCACAATATGTAATGATTGGTCTGTTTTTTTCATTGTAATGTCTTCTTGATAAGATTTAATGACACATGCATCTGATGTTCCAAGATGTTAATCTACGTTACCATTCGTTTAAATATAGTACGCAAATGCTATATTTTACATGAACATAGTGTGTTTTCATAAAAATGAGTTTCTCTTATATATAAAACGGAGCAAATTAATTCTTTGGAAACCACTATATTGTGCAACTGTTGAATTGAAAATGTCAGCTCCCAGCAATTAATCTACGTTACAATATAGGTATGTTCAATGCTTGAGTTTTTTTACAAATAGATAACCATGGCAGTATCCAATATTAGTGTTTAACAATGCAGAGATATACTCCTTTGCTCTGCTAAAAAGTTTTAAACTGAGGGAATGGTCACAAAAGATTCACACTAAATGATTGAATGACTGACAAACATTATGGAAATTACAATTTTAAGGACAAAACTAAAAAATATTTGTAATTGAGCAAAAAAAGTTCAAAAGCCAACTATCATTAATCCTCTTGATAAGTATCGGTACCCTAATGTCTGTACTTTAAGGTAGAAAAACATTTTATTTGGTAGCACTGTCATAAATTAAGAAGTATTCAAATCAATTAAGATGGTGCCTATAACGTAATTTAAAGTGGCACAAAAACTTAAGATGTGTACCACATATTTCAAATCAAAATTACTACGAAACCAAGAGAGTTTAAAAGCCAATTTTTTGGTAATATGCTGTAGACATATAACCTCATAAAATAACAAGGTATGACGTGAAACGGAGAAACTTTATTTTTATCATTTTCCGAAAACCAATTGGGGCATTACTGGAATGACTGATTGTGATAATAACATCCATTATACCTATTTATCACGGGTCGCGTAGACCATTGTTGCCCGATTTATAGCTAAAACATTGACTTTTGCTAGTTGGTGATGATACGCCTTTTTTAATAGGTCTCATATCTTAGAAGGGTATCAGTTCAAAAAAATACTAGATGACCTAACGTATTTTGCCATGCACTGTGCCTATTCATTTGACAATACAGTTGTAAATTTTCTCTTGAAAAAATAAATCTTCCAAATTTGTTGAGTTTTCTTTCAGAAATCGCCTAATCCCCTAACCCCCCTCCATCCATTTTGTATGATCATCGGGCGTGAGTTTGTCAACTTGTGATTCTAATATTGACAAAATGAAGAACAAGTTAAAACTGATTGTTTTCACAACAAAAATCAAACATTTATAAATCATATTATAATATTAAATTTCTAAAAATTTACAAATTTTTTACCTGCACATTCTGTATCCTGTTCCTTGCTTGATCATCTCCAGTATCAGCTTTAGCAAGGACATCATTAAGCTTATGTAGGATCAGATCATAAGGTCCCTGGTCTTCAAGGTTGATGTCCAAGTCAATCTGGATAGACAGAAAGCTGAATTACAATTTAAGTACTAATTTACTTATTACTATTTCAGGATCAGAAAGTAAAAAGAGAAATATTTCAGACAGATCTATTGGTTAATGAAAACACAGAATTAAATCCTGCGCTAAGGGGTGATGTAAAAAGTCTACCCCTAGTGGGGATTGAACACACAACCCCTCGCTTTCAGGGTGATTACTCTACCACTAAGCTATAGGACCAACTGACTCTTCCATATCAACACTGCATAATAGCATTACTGCCATTACTAACTTACGCGCCCAGTTTACTGGACCCAATATTAGTTTTACCTGTCTTTCAAGGTTTTCAATCACTCTATTCATTATGTCAAGTGGTATTTCCCACGAGCCATTCTCCTCAGGAGAAAGTAATGGTTCATGAAAAGACCGAATTAAATCCTACACTTAGGGCTGATGTGAGAGTCAGTCTTTTTCATTTCTTAGTGGAGACATCAGAAGTGGTTTCATTTAAAACAATAGCACTATGATATGAATGCAATGAAAATGTACACATTTTTCAATGATTGCACTTACTTGATGTTTTTAATGTATCTTACAATAATCAACACAATACTCTTCTTATAAAAAATTAAAGTACAATTTAAGCAAAGTATTAAAAACTTAAGAGCCCTTATCTATTACTGTTCAAAGAAAGAAGAATGGGATTGGTTTGCTACATTAGATGAAGTAGTCTTAAGTAAATGTTTAGTCAAAAGTTCAATTAGTATAAAAAAAATCAAGTAGCAATGAATAATTCAGTACTTTTAAGAATTATTTAATATCTGTACTTATTTCATCAGTCCTTCTTAATCTAAAGCTTGTGAGAAACTCAGATTTAGTATTAGGCAAAGAGTGTTTTTGGCCAGTGAATTTATCAAGTAGTCTATGTCTATGTCAATAATCTGCAAAAGGCTAATAAGCCCATATAAAGCAGATATATAATTTAACAGTGATAGAATTTGAATAGAATATAATTTAAAACCTTAACATTTAAAAATAGATCTATGGTTTACAACTCATTTTACCTGGGGAGACTGTCAGGCTACCGCGTTGACATCACCCCCTTTTACCAGTAGTGCAGGCTTGTTGCTGTGCACTGGGGACCCTTTACATTAAAACATAGATCTATATTAAAAACACACCTATTTAATTGCAGTTATTGACATAGGCATAGTATGATGATTTAAAACTACTTAGACTGTCACAGTCTAAGATGTCACCAGGTAGAGAGTTCCATTTAGCTATTGTCCTAGGGAAATAGCTAAATTTGTATGCATCCGTTCTAGCTGATGGTTGTATGAACTTAGAAGGATGATACAACCTAGTGTTGGTATTGATCTGTTGGCGGAAGTATGAAGGCACGTCGATGGCTGCTAGGTTCTGCTTTCCTTTGTAGAAAAGGAAAACTCTAGCAGCCTCTCGACGCTCCTTCAGTGGCTCCCACTGTAGGTCTTGAAGAGCTTTGGTGACGCAGCCTGGTTCCCTTGAGTGACATTTGGTTACAAACCTGGCTGCTCTTCTCTGTACCTGTTCCAACATATCAATATCTTTTTGTCGGTATGGATCCCATGCCGAGCTGGCATACTCTAAATTAGGCCGGACTAGTGACTTATACGCCTGAGCCTTCACTTTTTCAGGGCATTGATGGAGGTTGCGCCTGAGAAATCCAAGCACCTTATTGGCTTTGGATACAATAGTTTGAATATGTGTAGTCCAGCGTAAGTTATTTGTGATGTCAATTCCTAGGTATGGGATGTGTGTTACCGACTTAAGGTTTTCCCCTAGCATGGTGTAATTGTGCATGATAGGGGATTTACCTTTGTGAATATTTAGCACATAGCATTTTGATGGATGGAATTTCATTTGCCATGTTGATGCCCGGGAGACCAGTTTATCAAGATTCTCCTGTAGTGTTAATGCATCTTGCTTGCTTTCGACTGTCATGAATAAAAGGCTGTCGTCGGCAAAAAGCTTAAGACTGGCTGAGGATGATAGGTTATTGCCCATATCATTGATATAAACAAGGAAACAGAGTGGTCCAAGAACTGTTCCTTGAGGAACTCCTGATTTTACTGGAGTTTTTGAACTTGATTCACCATCGAGCACTACCTGTTGTGATCTTCCCACAAGCCAGGATCTGAACCAGTTCAAGTTATTATTGCGAATTCCATAATAGTCGAGTTTGAGCAAGAGGCGTTCGTGAGCCACCGTGTCAAACGCTTTGGAAAAGTCTAATACCAACATGTCTGTTTGTTTATTGTTGTCGAGGGCCCGAGCTATATTCTCTATTGTATTGACAAGTTGTGTTTCACATGAGTGCTTTGACCTGAATCCATGTTGGAATTTTACTAGAATTTCATAGAGGTCAAAGTGGGCCATAACATGATGGAATATAATATGTTCCATTATTTTACATGGAACTGACGTCAGAGATACAGGCCTGTAATTCACAGCCTCATCTCTTCGTCCCTTTTTGTAGATAGCAGTAACATTGGCATGTTCCCAGTCCAAAGGCACTAAGCCTGCATCGATAGACTGTTGAAAAATTATTTGAAGGAATGGTGATATGCTGTCACTGCATTCCTTCAGGACCCTAGTCGGAATAAGATCGGGTCCAGTGGCTTTTGATGGATTTAGGCCAGTTAGCAATTTGTGAATTCCTTTTGTCGAAATTTTGATATTTGGCATTTCAGGAATTTGACTAGGTACCATTGTCGGTAGAGTGGCATCCTCATCTGTGAATACAGAATTGTATTGGTCATTGAGGATGTTTGCTTTCTGGGCGGCGTCTGTTATTTCGTCGCCATCTTTGTTACGCAGCACACTGATACCTGATGCATCTTTGCGTTTAGACTTTATGTAGCTCCAGAAGCGTTTGGTAATGCCTTTGTGCTGAACATTCTCATTTATGATTTCGCTTTCATCAATGTCAAGCAGATCGTTGATGTAGCGCTGATGTTCTTTACGAATTTCACTATGGATTAATTTCCGTAGTGATTTGTATTTATGCCAATGATGAGGTTCATTTGAACGTTTGGCAACATTATATCGTCTTTGTTTCTGTCGGATCATTCTCAGTATCCTGGTGGTAATCCAGGGTACTTTGAATTTCCCACTTAGAGTTTTACTTGGAATATGCTCATTGATTGACGATATTAATGTAGATTTGAAGGAGGACCAGTTGTCTTCAACTGATCTACTTTCACAGTTCTCTTTGAATTCGCTGAACTTAGATCGTAGAGTCTCTTTAAGTCCAGTCCATTCTGCCCGCTTGTATATGTGGACCTTACGAGGCTTCAGGTAGGTAGTCAGGACTCAATTTGTTTTTGTTCTTCCTGGTCACATTATAAGGCCTAGGGTTTGTGTACACAAGAAAACAAGAACTGTGCAGTGTGGGTCATATCTACTCAACAGTAGCCCCAGGCGGATGTAAATATTTAGAGCTGAGTGTAAAATTGAAGTGACTTGCCACATTGTCAAGCATGAAAAACATAAACATTCGCCATTGTTGAATATTATAGAACTAAGTCAATTTTAAGACTATTATTCACAAAAAACTGTGAGTATACATATCATCAGAGGCAACAATGTGGCCATGCTGAATTCTGCCTATTAACATAATTAAAGAGGGATGTGGCGATAGGAAAGCACAATCAAGACCCCCTGGACTTTTTTGCTTGTTGAGCCGTATTACATATTCAAATTATTTACTTCGAAATTAATTATCTGAAACTTGAATAAACCGGGGAAATCAATATGTTATCTGATTGGTCGTTAAATTTGTTTTATCAGTATGGTTATGTGACTAACACAACTCCGTAAATGACAATTCTAAAAGAAATTATAAGCCAGCTTTGAATCTGATTGGCTGCCTGGCTCAAGTCACGTGCCGAGTTTGCTGGTGGTCGTGTGTACATGTCATTTGATAGGGTTTCCCTCGATTGCCGCTATCGAACACAATTGAGTTCGATTCTGACAGTTGGTTGTTCTGTTAATTTTCTCAATAAATCGGCAATACTTTACCCATTCTTGGTCTCAAAATACATCTAAGGTATGTAAGATATCATATAAGCAATTATAATGGGATATCACTGATTGTCCCGGGGAATAACATAAGGTGTAGTCTGGCTTCAATTACATACCATATTTGTTCTAATACACACACAGTGCATCTCCCAAATTCTCCTGGAGATGTCTCATATTGCAAAATACAGGCGATTTTTGAATGGTACACACGAGGGGTGATCCAAAAGTCTTGGACGCCTCGCTCTAACTTTGCTATTTTCTAATATAATTACATGAAAGTTTCAGAGAGTAAAGATCAACGTCTTAACAACTTTGTGTATAAGTTTCAACAGAAAATAATATATTTCAGCTACTTTTCTAAATGTTTTTTAATACCGGGTCCCTGCCACCCGGAACGGTATTTAAATATAGTAAATCACGTCACAACTGTTATAATATGGCAAATACTTTAGGTGCAGGTGCACAACCTAACACCAGTCATGATATGAGAGAATTTCCGATTTTCAGTCTAAGTGCCATCTGCCATCATCATCTTCACATATTAAGACCTACTTTTCAACATATTTTCCACAAATTTGAACTCATCTTTCATACCGCTTTACCAATGAATGGAAGTCATTTATGAAACCGCCATTGCTTATGTGAAACAAATGCTGCTGGAGTGCCACTCTAAACCTCATACCCTCCTTTTTTCTGGAGAAAATGAAAAAAATCACACGGAGCCATATCTAGACTGTATCGTGCATATGGTAGCTGCTCAAGGTCAACAATAGTGAAAATATCTTGTACTATTCTTTGTTCCACTTTGATTTCTTTCATGTTCTGCATTTCAGCAGCCATCTTGCAGCAAAAATGATACCAGAATGAGGGTTGCTTGTCTGATGTCATTTTCTTAGAATTTGACATATACGGTCATTGCCATATGTGACATCATAACTAAAACACAATTAATTGGTTGAGTATTAACAAAGGAAAGGTAAACTAATATGGTTTAACATTCAAAATTCAAAACAAGGCACAGACGTGAACAATATCGTACCTAAAACACAGCATTGTGGTCTTGTTGACCAAGAAAGGAAGATGGCCGCAGAAAAGTTAATCAGCTCTAGAACTTATCACTGTGTAACATATGTAAAAATTTGAACGGTTTGGCTGGAAACCTGTAGACAAGTCTTGAAAAGTGAAGATTTTAGGACGGAAAATCCAAAATGGCCACCTTAAAATTTACCCAGAATGCCCAAAAACCAATCAGTTCTTGACGTTGATATGTAGAAACATCCCTGAAAATTTCAGATGAATCCCTCAAATGGTTTGGCTGAAAATCTGTAGACAAGTCTTGAAAGTGAAGATTTTACGACAGAAAATCCAAAATGGCCACCTTAAAATTTAACCAGAATGCCCAAAAACTAATCAGTTCTTGACGTTGATATGTAGAAACATGCCTGAAAATTTCAGTTGAATCCCTAAAAAGGTTTTGCTGGAAACCTGTAGACAAGTCTTGAAAGTAAAGATTTTAGGACGGAAAATCCAAAATGGCCACCTTAAGATTTGCACAGAATGCATAAAAACTAATCAGTTCTTGACGTTGATATGTAGAAACATCCCTGAAAATTTCAGATGAATCCCTCAAATGGTTTGGCTGGAAACCTGTAGACAAGTCTTGAAAGTGAAGATTTTAGGACGGAAAATCCAAAATGGCCATCTTAAGATTTACCCAGAATGCCCAAAAACTAATCAGTTCTTGATGTTGATATATAGAAACATCCCTGAAAATTTCAGATGAATCCCTCAAATGGATTGGCTGGAAACCTGTAGACAGGTCTTGAAAGTGAAGATTTTAGGACGGAAAATGCAAAATGGCCACCTTAAGATTTACCCAGAATGCCCAAAAACTAATCAGTTCTTGACGTTGATATGTAGAAACATCCCTGAAAATTTCAGATGAATCCCCCAAATGGTTTGGCTGGAAACCTGTAGACAAGTCTTGAAAGTGAAGATTTTAGGACGGAAAATCCAAAATGGCCACCTTAAAATTTAACCAGAATGTCCAAAAACTAATCAGTTCTTGATGTTGATATGTAGAAACATCCCTGAAAATTTCAGATGAATCCCTCAAATGGTTTGGCTGGAAACCTGTAGACAAGTCTTGAAAGTGAAGATTTTAGGACGGAAAATCCAAAATGGCCACCTTAAGATTTACCCAGAATGCCCAAAAACTAATCAGTTCTTGACGTTGATATGTAGAAACATCCCTGAAAATTTCAGATGAATCCCTCAAATGGTTTGGCTGGAAACCTGTAGACAAGTCTTGAAAGTGAAGATTTTAGGACGGAAAATCCAAAATGGCCATCTTAAGATTTACCCAGAATGCCCAAAAACTAATCAGTTCTTGACGTTGATATGTAGAAAGATCCCTGAATATTTCAGATGAATCCCTCAAATGGTTTGGCTGGAAACCTGTAGACAAGTCTTGAAAGTGAAGATTTTAGGACAGAAAATCCAAAATGGCCACCTTAAAATTAACCCAGAATGCCCAAAAAACTAATCAGTTGTTAACTTTGATATGTAGAAACATCCCTGTAAATTTAAAATGAATCCGTCAAATGGTTTGGCTGGAAACCTGTAGACAAGTCTTGAAAGTGAAGATTTTAGGACGGAAAATCCAAAATGGCCACCTTAAGATTTACCCAGAATGCCCAAAAACTAATCAGTTCTTAACTTTGATACGTAGAAACATTCCTGAAAATTTCAGATGAATCCGTCAAACGGTTTGGCTGGAAACCTGTAGACAAGTCTTGAAAGTGAAGATTTTAGGACGGAAAATCCAAAATGGCCACCTTAAAATTTACCCAGAATGCCCAAAAACTAATCAGTTCTTAACTTTGATACGTAGAAACATTCCTGAAAATTTCAGATGAATCTGTCAAATGGTTTGGCTGGAAACCTGTAGACAAGCTGAAAAGTGAGACGCCGCCCACCCGCCCGCCCGCATACTAACATACTATTAGTTATTAAGATTCCGCCAAGTCAATTTTTCGAATAAATCTTATTTTTTCTTGCTTCTGTTACTCAAGTTGCCAGTCTTACTTGGAAAAGTCGAGTGTGTGTTTATGGAGTATGTGCATCCATTAGTGAGAATATGGTGTGCTAGTCATACATGCATGATACTGTCGAGTGTGTGTTTATTGAGTATGTGCGTCCATTAGTGAGAATATGGTGTGCTAGTCATACATGCATGATACTGTCGAGTGTGTGTTTATGGAGTATGTGCGTCCATTAGTGAGAATATGGTGTGCTAGTGAAACACACATGATACTGTCGAGTGTTTGTTTATGGAGTATGTGCGTCCATTAGTGAGAATATAATGTGCTAGTGAAACACACATGATACTGTCGAGTGTGTGTTTATGGAGTATGTGCGTCCATTAGTGAGAATATGGTGTGCTAGTGAAACACACATGATACTGTCGAGTGTGTGTTTATGGAGTATGTGCGTCCATTAGTATGAATATGGTGTGCTAGTGAAACACACATGATACTGTACTTACCAGAGAGACATCAATCCCTGCATCCCTAAAAATAAAAAATAAACATGCCATATACACGACCTGTTAAATTATTATAAATGATTAGAAAAATGTAACAATTTGTGACAGACAGCAACAGCTGATGCTAGTCACAGAATAAGTTGACAGTGTATTTATTACTTTGTTTTTATTTCAGGCATAGTCATAATCCTTTTAATAAATAAAAGTGAGATACAGATGGGCATCATTTACAAATGGTGAATTAAATAATATGTAATCACTTCTTAGAAACAGTAACAAACATCCTGAAATGGAAGTGTGACGTTAATAACATCTCATCAAACTATCAAATGTGGTTTAAGATATGCATTTCTCTGAATCAATAACTGAGCAGTATCAGACTATTTTATTTACAGACAGAAAAAGGGCAATTGATAAAATGCAACCAATTCAAACATCCATATCTTGGATTTGAGAATTTTTTTCTATCGAAAAACAACCTTTTTATTATAGATGAGTTTCCTTCCCTTCGGTGTACCAATCAATTCTCGGGAAAACCAGATTCACCAAAGTTAAGAATTCCCTTAGTTTCTTTCCCAATGAGATAATTCATTATATTCATGTTTTCACCCACCCTAATATGAAGTCAATTTTGTCTCCTGAATATGAAGAAAATATGTCAACTGGGTAAGTGATTTTCTGGTCAGACAGTTGGATAGAAGAATAGATGGACAGCCTCACTGTATCTCAATAAAACTTTATTCATTTTGATAATAATTAATTAATAATAGTGCTCTCCCCATGATTTTCTTGATTTTTTAACATATACATTTGGAATTTTGGACTTTTTGAGCATCACTTCAGGGTTTTTTTTGCAACATTTGAGGTTTTTCCAATTTTTATGCAACATTTTAGTATATATTTGGCTATTATTTGTACAATGTCCACTCACTCCTTACGCTCAGAAGGTAGTTCCACTCACCCACTCATGAGTAAAAGAGAGGTCCCTCTGTCTTACCTCTTTCAAAGGGTGGCAGCCTTTACACCCACTTCAGAATCATGACTGCTGATAGTGAAAAAATAATATCAGCTGCCCCTTTGTGAAAGTATGGAAGTCACCAGCTGCCTCTGTGCCAATCAAGACTTCTTTTTGTCAAGTAGAAGTTTTCTTTTGAGAATCAAAATTGGAGGATATCACGGAAATTTATGAAGTGCCAATCAACTCTCCTGAGATTTAGAAATGTGGACAGCCATTTGTTAGCAACTCCTAAAACCATTTCATTCAGAGCAAAGCTCTCATTCGAAAATCTTGTGAGATTCTGGACAGAACAATGTGACCTCCTTTAAAACCACTATTTTGATTTCCCTGTAGAAAACATCTACTCGACAGATAAAGAGAAGTCTTGATTGGTACAGAAAAGGCTGATAACTTACACATTTTCACAAACTGATGACAGTGATGTAGTAAACATTTGGAAATTGAACAGTTGACTTCAGTTTTTCACTTTCAGCTGTCATGATTCTAAAGCAGGTGATAGGAGGCGTGTAAAGTTTGTTCCAACAGATCAGTATTTAGAGCGAGACCCCGAGTAATTACCTCTGCCTCAATACTGCCAATTGGCCAGTCAAACATGCAAAATTAATTTGAAAATATTTTGCCTACCTTGATAGCCGCACAAAGTCATCAAACTTCAACTTGTTTCGTTTCTTTTCATTCATCCAGTATCCTACTCGTTTCATATTGCTCTCTTTGTCAGACAACTGTGTAAATTCAATGCAAATTGATTAAAATTCCTGGTAATTGTCACATTTCAAATGACATTTTCGGCTCACACATGTTCTTCGAGAGATGGCGCTACGAAATGATGAGACGACACAAAAGAATTTTCAGTCTAACACGTAGACCTTTATGTTGTCCTATTATGTTATCAATTTGAAGGTTAGTTTGACAGGATGTCTTATGTTGACATAAAATTAAAACCGGTGACATAATTGTCCAGAAGTAGGTGCCAAACAAGGTTTACAAACTTTGATCTTATAATCTATTTGGGGTGGTGAAATTTTTAATTCTCCGGAAGTTAAAATCAGGTGAATCCGAAAAGTTCTGAAAATCAATTTGCAGGTGTACATTGTAATAAAACGTAACAACTGAGGAGAATGCTACTACTTTAAAGTTGAATATAATGCTGTATTTATTTGTAAGTATTCAAAAATTATCTTTCAGCTCAGAAATCACTATTACACCTAAGCTTAAAACCACGGACATCTAATACGTTCTTCGAATTGCCCTGGAACTATATTTATACCAGGACTGGCATCCAGATCCAAGTATTTTTTAAGACCGCCGACTCTCGTTGGGCTATTTATCCCTATTGACTCAGTTGTTCATATAAATTTACGTACCTTAGATGCTTTGTAATCGACGTAGATAGAAAATATTGTTTCCTAAATTGTTCTGGAAAGCGATAATTATAACTAAATGTACTTTGAACAGGTCGACTGACAAAAAAGCCGGGCTTCTGACACGTCTCGTTCCCGCTCTCAAACAAAACGTGAAGAATGTGACGTCACTTCCGAATCATAGCATTCAAAATAAGTAGCGTTTAAACTCAATACCATAAGTAATATATCGGTGGTCTAGGGGGAGAATCCTCGCTTAGCACGCTGGAGGCCCGGGTTCGAATCCCATACCCGCTCTTTTGTTTTTTTTCGAGGTCGTTATCTTCATCGTCTAGTTTACGAATACCAAATGTCGATGTGATGTTTTAATTGATAAATACGAATTCCTTACACATTTCGTTATCTTATTGTGAAATAGCAAACTAAGAGATATCTTTACTCGCTAGGAATTAACATAATATTATTTGAAGCGATTTTAGAAAATCTTGAAACCGCCATCTTGGTAATATTGATGACGTGATCACCATCGGTCAAGGTCAGGTCAAAAGTCATCCATCTTGCCATTTGCCCGGCGTTCTCTTACCAGTCGACAAAAAACGATGAAATCACGTTGAAAATAAAATATACACTTTAAAATTGAGGCTGATCGAATATGACAAGACTCCATTGAATACAGCTGTGCAATTTACAGTCACCAAGATGAGCTAATTTCGGAGAGATTCGGGAATTAAAAAAGGTAAGCACTTCCGGTTTCCCAACTTAAAAGTATTTGAAGTCCCAGAATTTCGCCAGAAACATTCTCTCTGACTGTGCTTAAAACCTAAGTAAAAAATGAATAGGTGTGAACACCTTGATGTTTGCTTACGTACTCATATCAAACAATATTCTTATTATACATAAATTGACATTCCGAAATAATGAAATTTCTTTTTGGAAGAAAATTCAATAAGTTTTACATCCATGTCTGAAGCAAGAAAATATATATTCGTACATTTTTAAATTACGTTCGTATTTGATATAAAGGGAAGTAAACGATTGAAATTCACTCTATTTGGTTACAAAAGAAAGATACAAAATTTCAAATTACTTTACCTGTAAAAAATGAATAGGTGTGAACACCTTGATGTTTGCTTACGTACTGACGATAAAAGAAAACCCGCCAAAGGAAGAAAATTTTGGCGGGAATTGATTTGATTGGCTGTTATAGAATTAAGCCATTTTAACCTTGGGTAAAAATAGCCACCTTTACTATTAGGAATTTTCTTGGGGCCGTTATTGAGTTTAACCTCTTTGCTATTCTTTCCTTTGATGCAAGTTCTGGATCCATCGAAACCATTTTGCCGCGATAACGTGCAATTGATACTTGACAATAATATAAAAACACATAACATCAAGCGATTTAACACAAAATTATTGTGTTAAATGTTCATTTATACTCGTAAAATGAGGCTACACTTACCGATCTCTAAAATGACATTTCCGCATCCGTCATTGTGTCTGTTCGTCCGAGTGTCCCGGATCGTAAAATTAAACTACCAGCGAAACGAAATTGTTGTCAAATAGATTGATAATTATTATCGCGATAAATTGCATTAAAAGATAAATTTTGAGGATAGCAGGTATCTTTGATTGATTTATATAGCGCGTGTATACACGCAAAATAGTTATTAATTGCAAACCTTCTGTTTGTAAATGCAGTGCCGCGATGACGGTTAATTTCTGATACGATTTGCAATTTCGATGTTACCGAAACTGACCGACATTTTCGTTATATTCCAAACCTGTCTCCAATATTTCCGTAATTATGCATCAATAGGGTCTAAAGGGGATACGGGATATTGTGTATGTATTCATAAGGTATGTATGCATGCTTGAATCACATTCTTTGTGTAATATGACCATGGTTTCAGGGTTTAATTAGTTCCGCTTGTCGAAACCTGCTGAACGATTAAATTAACGCATCAAGGGCAAAATGATCATGGAGGTTAGACCTAGCCGGGGCCATAAGACATGTCAGATAAGAAACGAGGCCCAGGCTAGGTCTAATGTTGTTGGACTAAGCAAGGCAAGGCAGGAGATTCGTCCACAGTCGACTTTGTGTAAAAAATAGAAACATTTATACATGTCTTAACTTTTGTATATTCTAGTTTGTTTTGTAGTTCAGCTATCATATCTGTGGCCTCTTAGGGGAGGCATCAAAAGTTCGATGTCGGATCGGAAACTAAATAAATCTAGTTTTGACTATGACCCCCCCTCCCCCCCAAAACTAAATACCATGAAAGTTGATCGCTGACTTCCGGTTCGAGAATTTGAAAAATTATTGCTAAACATGATCTACTTTTTGTTAATCCTATCATAATTTGCGGCTTTTAACAACTATTGATAGAAAAGAATCCATTGGAATGATCTTGACGAAGAAAGCATCAGGTAAAATCTTAAACCATTCCAAGGCATTCTGAGTCGAAATTGCCAAAAATTTGAAATGTTGAAATTTGTCGGATAGCAAACTGAAATGGGTTTGAACCCCCTCCCCCCCTAACTAGATTTATTTAGTTTTCTATCCGACATCGAACTTTTGATGCCTCCCCTTATATCTGTGGCCATGTTATTTTCGGAAAAATTAACATAAAGTGGGGGACAAAACTAAACCTCAACCATCAAAAGTTGTCACAATGAGCTAAATTCTAAGTTTTGTGTCTCCAACTCTCCCAAGTGATGGAAAAATAATTCCCGTTCACTTTAGTAGCACAATAAATGAATCCAAAGCTTCATACCTGCAAAAAGGCTGCAAATGATGGATAAATCCCCACCAAATCGAAATAATGTTTTTATGAATCTGCATGTTTATGATCCAAGGAGGATTGACTCCCACAATGCAATATCAGTTAACCTTTTTTACTCATGACAGGTTTCAAAATGGCGGAGTGGCATTTTGAAAGCTGGCACATGTCATGTTGCATTCTGGGAGCCTATCCTCCCTTGCAGCATAATCGGGCTCCAAAATCACCTCAAAATTTGAAGAGTCAGCATTAACATGTGAATATCCACTTCAACTTTTTAAGTTCTTATTTGTCATAATAGACACAAATTCCACTATATTTGGACTTACTAGGACGGAGAAAATAGAGCACTGAATACACCGAGGTAAGAATTTATTATATGTGCGACAGCATGTAATTTTCATAGCTATAGCAATTCTTTAAGTCTCCCACTGTAGCTGAACAGTGAAACTCCCTAAATTACAAAAGGCCATAGCTTTACTACACATTAATATTATATATAACTATCTGAAATATACAAAAGTTAGGACAAGTACATATGTTTCTATTTTTTATATACTGTTGCAATATGGTCATTTGATTGCTTATTTTTTAAATTCAAAGTAGTTCCAAACATTTAAAACTTTACTGTAGACCTATCAATCTTCATTATTCAGTTTTAGACTTAAAGGTGTCATTACAGTAATTCATTGAAAAATATTGAAAATATTCACAACATTCAAGTCCTGAGGTATATATCGCTATTTTCGAGCGAATTAGCCAATATAATGACTAAAATATTTTTCAGTTTCTGTCCAACTGTCAAAAAATCAATTTTTAGAAAAAGTTCAAATCCCTCAATCAAATCATTTCGTCTACTTACTCATATTTAAATGACTTATTTTTTGAAGTCAAATGTGTGCCTATTCGCCTAGTCAGTAGGCAGATTCTCGAAATTGGATCCAAATGCAGTAAGAAACTCAGTCATTTTCTTGACAAAAGTTTCTTCTCACCCTCTCACGCGGTCCTAACTTCGACCGTTAATATGAATTTTTGACCTACCAGGTGCTTGAAAATCAAGGATTGCGAGTCTCATACTGCACCGTTTTTCTTCAAACTTATACCATTAAAAGCAGAACAAAATTGCCTTTCTGTCGGTGCATTACTTTATTGTAAAGAGTCCCTCATTCTAGCAGCGTTTTGGTCCCCAGCTGTTAGAAGGCCTTCTTACAACTGGGGACCAAAATGCTGCTGGAAGTAGGGACTCTGTTGAAGAGAATAATGTACCATCAGAAAGGGATTTGTGTTATACTTTGAATGGAACAAGTTTGAAGAAAAACGGTGCAGTATGAGACTCGTAATCCTTGATTTTCAAACATCCGGTAGGTCAAAAATTCAAATTAACGGTCGAAGTTAGGACCGCATGCCTCTGTTCAAGTGACGTCAAGAGTTCCAAGAATTTGCCAGAATTCCATGAATGAACTATAGTAAAATGTTTGAAGGGGTGATAAATATCCAAAATTATAAATAAACAGATTCAAATGTGATAATCCAGTTTACAAACAATTCTAAACAACAGTAAATTCGCACAATGTAATAAATGTAATAAACCTTAAGGTCAAGGTGCACTTTGATGAAATTTCATGACCATGTGCTATTTTCAGATAAACATAACTCATTCCACACATCATCTACATCTTCCATTCTTGCACAAAAGATGCATTAGTGTACCTAGGCTATTAATTGAGGGCTAATAATTCTTCAGAATATTTGAATAACTAGAATATTCAGTGGTTTACTTTTCAAAATTGCAAAAAAATCCAAAGTGCACCCTGTGTTAAGTGCAGTTACTCTTTTGACTTCCGGTTTGGACTCCCGTTTTTGTTTGGTCATAACCACTGAATTGGTGTACATGTATATTTAAGAAATATAGACCGAAGAGCTGGGGTAATATTGTCGAGTACACCTCGGGCTAGGCACAAACATTTTCTGAACCCTGAATGACCTAAGGGAGTAAGGGGTTCGAAAGCTTTTGTACCTAGCTCTAAGGGGTGTATTGGGCGATATTACACCTGTTCTGAGGTCTATATTATGATTCTAACATGAAAACTTGTGACTACTAAAATTTAATTTGCTTCCAAAGAGACTAAAATACATGCATAGGTTAAATTAAAATCATAAAAAATGCATTTCCTTTAAAAATTCGTAAACACTTTTCTCAAATTTTTTTATTTGGTCCTTCCCCCATCTTTTGAATGATATCATTTTTTTGACGAGTTGATATCAAATATCAATTGAGTGAAGTGAATGAGCGAATGCTTGTTATTGCATAGACAATAACATAATAATCGTGAGATAAATATTTATATATACATGTATATGTATACATTTCTTTATTGCAACCATAAATTAATCACATATATATTTTTTTTTTGTGATCATATGTAAACGATTTGCATTTGTGGATTCACGAACAAAGTAATCGCATCTAAAAATCAATAGCTTCACAATGTTAACATGTCCCAGCTGGCAATATTAAAATATTAAAACTCTATTGAGTTTCATTGTGACCGATAAAATCAATGAATCCAATTTCATAAAATGGGGTGATAAATTAGAATCCACAGGTCTTTGCCATTATATTTATGAATAAAAAGATCTACTCAAATCATATATAAGAAGAACTATGATCTCCCCATACAGTTTGCTAAATCCTTATTTCTGTTGTTTTGGTCATATCAATTTTTTGCCAACGAAGAAACAGATTTTCGATAGGGGAAATTTTAAATTCTGTATTGAGTGCTGATCACAGTACATTTAGTTTGTACATGGGACACACCATCCTCCAAAGCAGGTGTCCAGAATCCGTACCTCCTTCTTCCCCCCTGCTATAAGCAGTTAGCATTCCCCGATTGAGAACTTGCAATTTGATTGGCTGTCGCAACACTGCGACAGCAATCATGTATACGTCATCAGCGCATAATTGGATCACGTGATTCAGTTTAATCGGGCGCGTCCAACTTGGTTATAGCAGGGGGTAAAAAGAAAGAAGATATTCTGGATTTTGAAGCCCTGTGATCGGAGGATGGGGACACACAGCAAGGAAAAATAAACACAGTGTTTCTACTAACAGACACTAAGCTACTCCAGATGTTTTGTTAAGTGACAGATTTGACATGGGTTTAATCTTTAGTTTTCTTCATAAAAGCATATTTTGATACAACTATACATGTATTGTGATGTTTGATAATGGAAATCTATGGTTACATGTAACTAAATCCAATGTATTTGTATTAAATGCATTTTTGTAAGGTTTCTACAGGTTGATTGTCTGGTTTGCATGCTCAAGATCACAAGTACCATTTTCCCCTATACATGTACTATAAAATTATGAGAATACACGTAGGATGTCAAATTGAAAGATTACATGCAACATTTTACACTCTATCATTTGCTCCCTTATTGACATTTGTTTGGGTCACTCTGTATTTCTTATGTGGCTTATTATATTATTTAGAAATAAGCTTTAGTGTTAGAAGCACAAAGTCAAGAATTGTGCATCAATTTTGGAGTTACGTAAGTAAGTTATTGGGTACATGTAGTGTTTTGCCTGTATGTTTAAACTGATGTACAATGTAAGGAATAATATAATGGTACATCATGTGATATTCAGATAATATCATGTTATCATTAGAGCTTGTGAAAATAATTGAGAAAATAGCTAGACAGTATTTGCTTTAACTATGAGGGATACACCTGTAAAACAAGTCTTCTGTTATAATGAAAATTAATCACATGATATTCTAATTTTAATGATAACATAATTTTTGCTGTGTTTCATGATGATTGATGCAGTTCCAAGGACAGATTCACTTGGCATCGGGCTAGACTCCCAGTAGTTGAGGCCAGGAGGTGGCAGCACCAACCAAATCACAGGAGGTAGGACCAAGCACCCACAATGCAGTTCAGACAGCGCATGGCCTGGTTAATGGTCATCATATTTCTTGCTGGGACATGTGGAATTGTTTATTACATATTTGATGTTAGCGAACAATTCAATCAGTTTGCCTTGGACCATGTGCAAAAGTATCATCAAGGAATACAAGAAGATGAATCGGAACTCTCATACTTTAGATCATTCATGCGTCACCTCACAGACATTCCATTGCCGTTATGGATGCTATTATTCTCATTACCCTACCTCCAGGTCTTCTGTATGTTATTAGCATGCACGAAACCTGAACCCCGTTTCTCACTCGCATTCCTATGGCCTATTTATTTCTACATCAAGTGTCGCTACCTTTGGTGCGGACAGAACTCTTTTGATAAAGCAGTTAATTCAACGAAACTGAATGGACACACTTTGATATTGGAAACCTAGCATTTGCTAAGCAAGCTGTTATATTTTGTAGCTTGAATGTCTTCAACATAAGGTTCTAAGGAATATAGTCTTACACACAACCCCGTGAAATACATAAGTTTGAGATGACCCACTTACTATATCCTTTGCAAGAGTGATGAACTTTTTTGTACTCTTTAGATGAGTAATTACTAGTGAGGTTTCGTACAAAGGGATATAGCTAAAATTATCCGCAACCACATCTCGTTTTAATTGAACAACTACGCATAAATCTGGTGAATGTGTTACATTACTTTAGATACTGTACCTTGGGCTAAAAATATATGCGAAACCTCTCTATTGTCTCTGAACTTGCTGCTCATAGTAGGATTGCTTAGCCAGGATCTTAGGGTGGCTTTGTGAAGCTTCGTGATTGGTTAAACATCAAATCATAAAATGAAGATAGAGGAGTTAGTGTGCTAGTGACAATCCATGGTATTCATTTATATGGAGCAATACCGTTATTGAATTTTCTTGGGGTGATGCGTAAGACTGTATAACAAATGAACAAGAGCCTTGATAACTGAATTGTACAATCATGGATATATGCACATAGGGAATTCTGCTGTATTTTATGTGATAATGATCTAGAGATAGCTTAAAAATTATCTCAAAGTAAAACAGAGTGAAAATCTTGAATACAATGAAACTAACAGAGCAAGTCTGATTATTGTTATAAATCATGAAGAATAATATAAATGGATTAGTATTTGAGCCATAAGGAACGATCAAATTGATTTATTACCCAAAATCCCCAGGCATCTATGACACAAGCATTATTTGGAAATGACTTTCAATACTTGGTTCACTCAGAATGGACAGTTTTACTGTTAAATGTAAGTTATGTTGACAGAGACTTATGGGCTGCAGAGACTGTCATAAATAATGGATTCCCATACCAATACTTTAACTAATGGCAAACACGTTGCATTGATAATTCAAGTAAGAATGGCTTATAATTTTGCACTTATGAGGGAGATCTGAACATGATTTTTATGTAAATGATAATATTGGAACTAGTTTAACTACCCATTCTAAAAACAAATGTCCAAAACTTCTCAATGTTGAACAAATGTGTTTCAACTTCATGCTGGGTAATGTTTAAGGTGCTTATGCTTTAATAAATGAGGGAGTAATAACTGGTTATATATAGACTCACCATTGTGAAATGATCTGTCTCGATTGATGAAGACTATCAACATGTATTACAGATAATCACATGCATTAACTAATGGTTTTGCATTAAAACACAATTTGTTTGCTAGTTGCATTAGTTTATTGGTGGTTGCAGTAGAATCTTTGAACATAAGGGCATATTTTTCACGAGGTTTTCTCTGCATACTATCTGATGCTAATTGGCTAACATTCACCAAGTCGAGATATAATAGGAAACTGTGAGATTTGAATTGGGATTGTGGGGTTTGAATTATTGTAATATTTGCATAATAATTAATGATAGCGTTTAATTGTGATACCATATGTTTGTGTATAGATTTTTGCACTTTTGAAATCTAAATATTTAACATTGTTTAAGCTATGTTTTAATTACTTGTTCAAATGACATTGGGGTCCATGTTAAAAAACATTCCTTCTAAAGATGTATATGTACAGTTTAAAAGATGTACAGTTTGGAAGATGTACAATTCAATGCAATAACTTATGACACTGTACAGTAAAACCTGAACATCTGAACACCTTTCATTTGAAAACGTTCTATGTGAACACTTTTTACAGTCCCACTCTATTAAACTGAATGCCTGCCTGTCTGAACACTTTCGGCCAGTCTTTGTGGTGTTCAGATTTTGCTGGTTTTACTGTACTCATGTATAATCATTTCATCATGGCATTATACCATTATTTTTAATATTCAAAAAATGAAAAAAAAATTGTAACCCATCAGAATGACAATTTGATGAGGGGTGATTAGATTTCTTAATAAGTATTGTATTTTTCAAGTGTATCAACTCATGATATTAAAACACTCACTTAAACTATCCCTCCATGAACTAGCGTAGATAAGTGAGAGTAAAGCTCACATTAAATATTTTTGTTTATAAAATAACATTAAATGTTAAAAATAATCTGCTTGTACATTAGAAAATGTACACGCAGTCATAGAATGTATATATTTTATTAAGGGGAGATGTAAAAAGTGGGTTTTTACTTGAGGACTGGGTTAACATAAGTAGTGTACTAGTGGTCTAAGCAAAACAATTCTGAACTTTTGCTATGTGCTGTAAAACTGTCTGATTGAACACCTCTCAGAAACAAACACATCTTGAAAAAAGAACTGATCAACTGGGATAACATTTTGACAATATGGAGGGTGTTCAGTATACACAGGTTTAACTGCATAAGATTAGTTTCTGTCATATATTAAATATTTGAAAACAAAATTAAAATAACAGAAATTATTCTCTTCCAATTCTGCATTCAGAATGCTAATGTTCTGTTCCTATCTCGGAAAAGGTTGAAATATTTTCACTGACCAAAAGACAGAATAAAATGTAAAAATGTGTACCTTTTTAACATATAAATGTTAGGGAACTGGAAATGTTGAAACTAAGTCATTATAAGGGTTACCCACTGTGCATTAAGAAACCTTTGATGACATATGATAATGTTATATGTTGATTTTAATGCAACGTCTCATTTAATAAATTCATAATAAAATTGAAAACTAGTAAATACTGATGTTATGGTTATGTATGAAATAATCATTTTGAAAGTGACAAAAAATTAGTACAAGGCTTAGCATGCAAAAATGTCACCACCTGTCATTTGTTACAGACACAGAATTTTGTTACAGATGTCATTTGTAACAGATGCAAACACTGTCCACAAAAAAGTTGGATACCATAATATATCACGTGACATAATAAACACTGGAAGCTCACAGTTTGAACTCACAACCTTTAAATTATGACAAGTTCACTAAACTTTCAGTGACAGTGCCCTCTAGACTGCTTGGTCAAATAAAAAAAGGTTCTTTCATCAGAGAAATTGACTAGAATGAATTGCTGTTTTTAGTCCTTTAAGTTGTAGAGCAGTTCCAAATTACATGTGTATGCACTGTTCCACAACTAGCTACTTTGACAGAATATCAATGTAACAAAATAGATGAACTTCCTCTACGAGTTTTCTGTTTTCTTGATTTAAACCTCCTTATAAGTCAAGCTGCAGATTATAATTCGGCACAAAACTAAAAAATATAGTCTAGTTTTAATAAGTTTCTTCGATTTAGAATTTGCTTTGTTAATGAAGTTGCAATTTATATATTTGGCCCCTCGCTTTTAAAATATTGATGAAAGTCCGTTATATTACCAATGTATGTTACTTTGACGACTTACGTCAATGTAACAAAAGCAATGGTCTAAATGCATCACACCTTTATTTAAAAATCAAATTATAAACCGAGAGCATTTCTAAAGGCTAGAGTATATTGTCTAACTTTGTGCCAAATGATAATCCACAACATGACTTATACGTAAGTTTTAATCGAGAAAACAAAAAACTCGTATCCAGGAAGTTCATCCATTTTGTTACATTGACGTTCCGTCAAAGTAACTAGTTGTGGAACAGTGGTATGGGCATATGGTAAAACATGTGCTCGAAAATGTGGTAATGACTATTGAAATTATCCTCCTTTCTTCATAAGAATCCTTCTATGATACAACAAAACAAGTATGATTCAGAATAGGAAGACTACTGTATTGATCAATAATATATATACACAATCAGTTCATGTACAAAATCTCATATTTACAAACATCTTTCATGTCTTCCTTCGAGACATGTACATTATATACATTTTTGTTGTTTATTTATTCTGTTTACATTTATTAGCAACATATCCCAATAACAAAAACACAAATAGTATTGAAATTCTTAAGATGTATTCAATATATTAATGTCCATCAAATAATACAATTATTAGTTTTTGTTAGTAACTCACTTATTTTCAATACAAAGATGGTATGCAAGATGGTTAAATAGAAACTGTAGTAGATTTGGTCAGAAATCAACCTTTCAGTTTGATAAAAAAGAGATTTGAATATTCTCTGAAATAAATGTTTATTCAGTCCTTTAGTATAGCAACATCTGCATGATAATCAAATATAAATACAAAAATACAATGATAGTAGAAAAACTAATCCACTACTCAACATTGCCATAAAATCTATTACTTCTAAGCCTATTGTTATTGGAATATTGAACACATTGATGATCAAATATCTAATACCAGCACAACATTGAGACATAACCTAATTTTACAAATATACCATCAAGTCAACAATCAGCCGTAAGGCAGTAGAGATAATCCTAAAACCTGATACACCTAATACATACTATGTTATAAAAAAATTTTGGCAAAAACATTTTAACTTAAAATGAAATCACTTATCGTCACATTCTTCTACAACAGAGAGTTTGTGTACATTTTACAGCAGTTAACACCCAGCCTGTCACATCATATGTTACACTCTGTCACCTCATAAAAAACAATTATGCCATTTACATTTTATACATCTGTACAGAAAATAAATACAGGAGAGAATTCTTGAGTACTGCACAGCAAAACTTGAAAACATGAACACCCCTTTTATGATACATGTGTATTAAAATGTGTTTGCCTTGTAGGTGTTCAATTTTACGAGTACAACTGTATTGAACATTATAGCTCATCGCAAGAGTGGACTCTCCATAACTTACACCTATATATACCCTAAAACCTAATAAATACTTTTGGCAAAAATGTTCAAACTTAAAATGAAATGCAATGTTGAATAAGGGTGATCTCTCTGTACAAAAACATTTATTCATTTGATTAAAATCTTCATTTCAATCAGATGCATGTGGTACACTGAAATCGATCACAAATGTGTCAAAATGTAGTGTGACAGATCAAATCTTATATTGCAGTTCAATTAAATACTCATTGTATGCTTTATGATATTGATCTTTCTGGATTCATGATATAAAATTCTACAATAACACTTTAATTGATAATTTTAATTTTGGTTGCAGTGACACAATTTGCTTTGTATTGGGATATGATTTTGGAATGTACAATATTGTAATTCAACGGACAACAGTAGCTTTCACCATTTTGACCTCAATGTTTACATTTTACACACCTTATGTTTACATTTTTACATTCTTTCACCATACCAGTACTAATCATGTGTTCTGTAAAACTTTATGTTTTTTTGTTTAATATAAATCAGTATTGAACTCTACAGAACATATTACACTTCATAATATAATTGTATTGCAAATGAAGGTGAATGATAGAAACCACCTTTATCCATTCAGGTAATATAATATCATCACTCAAACAGTGTCTACTTTCAACATAATACCCAATGATTTTAAATTGCATTGATATGATAAATTGGGATGGGATGGGTCCTCAATATGTTATCATTCAGTTGTATTTCCAAGGGGCTTGGTTGATTAGTTTTCACACTGACAAAACCAATTTCATATTCTTTTATTTCATGAAGTCTCATATCCCCCCTTCTTCTTCTTGTATAATTTGAGGTTATATAATATGAGGTTATATAATGGTTCATTCTGTATATCGTGTTTATACTCGAGTGAGTATATATATATTCACAAGTGAGCGTAGCGAACGAGTGGATATATTATATTCTCACGAGAGTATAAAATGCACGATATACAGATTGAACCATTATATAATCTTATTATGCCACTCTAAGTTCAATTACAGTTGATTCAAACACAATCATAACAATTATTAAAACCATAAAAATATCCCGTAGCCAACTCAGTAATGCCGATGTTGATCTCGATCCATTTATGACGTCACTTGATTCTAGCAAATCATGTGGGAACCATTTATGACGTCACTTGATTCTAGGAAATCACGTGTAGCAAACCATACACCTCGTTCTTCGGTCAATATTCATTAGTTCCCAGAATGCACTTCTACAGTGGTATACGCTGGAGTGTATACGGTGGAGTGTATACGATGACGATATACCACTCTCCACTGTATATCGTTGTTATAGACCCATGTTATACAACTGTAATTGGACTTAGAGTGGTATAATGGTTGATATATATCGTATATCGTGTTTATACTCAAGTGAGTATATGATATATTCACGAGTGACTGAAGGGAACGAGTGAATATAACTCACGAGAGTATAACGATATACAAAATCAACCATTATGTGATCTTATTATCCCACCCTAATCTTTAATCAATAAAATGTTAATCTAAATTCATCAGTTGTATATCAAGTCGAAGAGTTGTATACGCTGCCCAGGAGTTGTATACGCTATTCAGGATTTGTATATCGTTCTCAAGAGTTATATACGATGAGTGTTGGTTTTATATTGCAGTTATACAATGTTATTACACAATCATATAAAGCACTTAGGGTGGATAGTCAATATCATCCAATTTATGCAACGCTTTTTACACCCTCTCCCTTTCCCAATATGCTGGCCTGGTAATTAACTTTGCAAAAAAGTGACACATTAATATTTAATTCAGCCCCTTGTATACAACTGAGCCATTGAAACACATACTTAGCTCATTATTCAAATGGCTCAACTCAACAGTTCAGTCCACCTTATATGCCTTAATGTAACCTTGTGATGTTTAAATAATTAAAGTGATTATGTTTGGAATGATAGTTATGTGAGATCATTCCTTTCACTTTCTTTCATTGCTCAGTTTTAAAAGCCTTTATTAACTAGCCTTTAATTTTAGTTGTCCCCTGCAACGCTAAAACTCATGATAATGTACCCATTTGCCTGATCATTTTCTCTCATGTTGAATTGTGTTAGAGCTATATTCAGCTTCGAAAAAACGTACCATATGAAGCGCCAAATATGGTGCCATATATATATGGCTTAAAAGTAACATATACTGCAGAGATATGTAGATTTAACCCAAGTCAGTCTGACACACAGCCCAAGGACACAGATATCTCATGAGTCTGTGTATTAGACTGACAAAGTTTCAACCCTGAAACAGGGAGTAAAAAATACCCAACACGACATACCAAAAGCATCAGCATACCTTCCAAATATGCATATTATACAGTACATTTTTACAAAAGTTCTATTTTCTACATACTGCAATGTTTATACATCATAACGAATATTGCATATATGAATTGTGCACAAGAAGATTGTTAGCTTGCTTAATATGGATTAAGAATGTATTATTTCATTTAAGAATGTATACAGGCAGTGCAGTTTTATTTAGAGAAATTGTCTGAAAAGTAATTCAGTGTGCAAGCTCACATTTATCTCTCATCTGTACATACACACAGTGTACACAATTTGACTAGAGCACCACTTGCTTGGCCTAAACATTGACATACACAAACATGGAGATTTACATACATCAACAGAAACTCTTAGCATTTTGTATCTACATGCTCTATAATGTAGCTTAGATAAACAGATGCCAATTTCTGAAAATCTCATATTTTTCAATATTTTTCGTATATCCTATCTTAGCAACAAAGATTCAAAAGTGAAGTGATGTTCTTAAGTGGTTGAGTCTAACTGGCCCGTGTGCCTTTAATTGGCCTACATGACATATCTGGTCCTACATCCTCATATATGGGCCCTTCAACATAACTGACCATCATTTTCAGGAATTTATGATGATCACAAACATCCAATGTTTAAGTATCGCAGTCATAATCCCTTGAAACCTCATTCTCCATCTTCTCCTGAACGAGACTATAAACTCGTTGCGAAAGTTTCTCTGAATAGTTATGCATTAGAGGCATGACTGCTCCCAAAGCAGCCTCTACGATGCTTTCTTGTAGTTTCTTCATCTCCTCATCGGGTTTGATGTCATTGCGGGTCGTTTCGGTTGCTTTACCTGTTGCCATGGCGATTGATTCATGGACTTCCTCGAAAGCTTCTGATAGGACAGTCTTCATCTTGTTGGACTGTTCAGTGTTGTCTGAATTCTTCAACACCTGAAGACATAACAGGAATAAAAGATTTTATTTCATAAATATGGAAGAGTAGGAGGAAAAGACCTGGTAGTTATGGTTCACGTATCCAAATTGATAATTCAGCGAAAGTGAAACAAACATGAGAGGGCTTAAGTTGAATGTGAAGTATATGACTAATATTGCACAATTATAGCATTTTTGGGAATATTTCTCAGTACTATGTTGTGGTGTGTTATGACCCTCGATTGTTTAAATAATCAAAAACAGGTATTTTGGAAACAATTTACTGGCAATTGGTTTTAAAGTTCAAGGTCAATATTTTGAAGGGAAAACATACAACTTAAGGTATTTATCAACTTATCACAAAATTCATTTGAAGACATGTTTTGAAAAATGAATAAAACGTAGTATGATAAGCATAATGTGTATTGTAAAAGATTGATATTTAAGCAATGAAATCATCAATTAGATTATATACAGCTGCGTCTAGACATCTTATATTATCTACTAAACAATACTACAAAGCATCAAATACATGATCTTAAGGCAGTTTCTTAAACAATTGAGAAAAACAATTCCATTTAAATTCAATTGTATTTACCATTGCATCAACATCTAGAGAGATGAGGCATTAATATGCAAAATGTTACCACCTGTCATTTGTTACAGACTCAGGCAGGCAAACACCATTGAATAAAATGAATTGCATTATTCGATACCTTCAAGAAACGAGACCCTGAATTTGAATACATATCTGTGTGAAATAAATATGTTTGTCATAATGAATAAATGAATGATCGGTAATATGTAGCATGCAATTGTAATATCTAGAAACAATCATAACATGCAGTAAATGAAACATTCAAATACAAATCACAAAAGAAAATATCTAAACTAAATACCCCAAAAAAATATATCAATCTCTCCACAGTCCACCATAAAAATAAAAAACTGGGTGCTCCCTTTCCTTTTACTAGAGTGAAATTGAAGCAATATTTGATCCCTTAATGTGCTTTCAGGAAGGATGACTGACTTGTAAAAAAATATATTCTTTATCTTTTCTCTATTCATTAACCTCTAATAAATGAAATATTGAAATAATGATAAAATAAGAAATGAAAGATTTTTTAAGAATTTCTAAGACATTAAAAAAGTGCATAAATGATTGCATATAAAGCTGAACTTTGAAAGAAACCCAAAGTATAAGACAGAGAACAATTCAGGGGTACATTTCTCAAAATAATTTTTGCTAAGGAATTCCAAACCCATTGTTTCTACCAAGGAAATCATGATTTCAAAAGAGAACTTCACATTAGAAATATTTTTTAGAAATGCATCCCTGAGTTTGAATCTTGAATCTTTTATTATAAATAGACTTGCATATTGCCATTATGCGCAAACTAAAAATGATCAGACCAAGGCCCACCTTAACCTAAACTTCCACCTGTCACATGTCACATTGAATACAATATATAGATAGCAGCACCTGTCTTACCTTCTTCATTGTATTTGAATAGCTATCCTACAACACAATTGCCAACATAATGTGTTAAGCTGCTAACATAATCGACATATTAAGGCAAAATCTGTGAGAATTAGTTGTTGGTACATTTTTGAATGGCGGTATGTGATCATAATGTGAAACAGCTCTCTAAAGTGAATACCATAGAATGTGAACATTGTTATGATCCAAGAATGTTATAGTGACTATGAACACTTCACTTTGAACCTGTAATCGCCAAAATTGGACTTTTTCATGTTTAGTTGGTTTGAGAGAGGTGGATCTAATTTGGGCAATTGACTGAGTTCTCTATGGTAAGTCGTTTCTAAATGTGAATATTTCCAATCTGGCATACAGATAGGGCCAATGGGATGGCTATACAGTAAACCCTGTCTAAGTGGAGCACCTTTGATACCTCTAAAACGTGTTCTACTTGGGAGATTTCCCACTTACAGAGGCTCATTTTACATTAAGTCAATTCGTCTTGGAACTCTGAAAAGTGTGTCACTAACAGAGGTGTTCCACCTCTAGAGATGTTCCACTTTACAGGTTTCACTGTAATCATATTTCTTTTTAATGTACCCATACCAGGTATTCAAACTCAAACTATGCAGGATGGGCTCACATGCAAAATCCAATGATTGCATGCATGCATGATTATTGCAGAAATCCAGGGACCTAAATGCAGAAATCCAGGGACATAAATGTATGTGAAGTCTTGCACTAAGTCTCTGCCATGGGACCTACCACTCTATACTGTCAACCTCTCAACACATTGTTTTGGAATAAGGAGTTGGTTAAATTGAGACTTCATGCTGGACTATTAAATACATCCTCCAACCACAGAATATCTTCCCCTTTCCCAGAAGAGGGAGGAATGAGTTATGAAGCCCTGTATTTGGAGGATGATTATATAATGATAATTTCATGCCTGGTGATCGGAAGAAATGAACAGAAGGGGAGAGTAGATGATTTTTGCTAGAAAATTCAACAAATCTGGAAGAACGTTTACAAAAGAATTGCGAAATGAATAGGCAGACGACACGGAGAAATATGTTTGGTCTTCTAGGATTTTTTTGAACTGATGGGCTTCTAAAATCAGCTACTCCCCCTCTGTTCATTTCTTCCAATCACCAGGCATGAATTTTATAAGAAGAAATTTGAATTTCAAACTGTTTTAATAATCCATGAAGACACTATTACACAATGTGGTATAATGGTTTCATGAAGAAACTGTTGCTCACCTTGAAATACATGTTGGTTGCCTGGCTAACAACATCCTTCATGTTGTTTACCAGATGCTCACATGCTGCTACACTGGCTGAAAACACAAGATATTACCAATATGTAAAAAATACAATATTTTCAAAGTAGGGGGAATAACACAACATGAAAACTAAGGGAGTAATGAAAGGCACCATGGGTTCAGTACGTTTAAAGAGGTGTTATCACTATTATTGAAACCAAATCATGGCTGACAAGTCCCTGTTGAATTAATTTCTCACAATCAACAAACTTCTGATTATTCACAAACCATTCTGTGCATGGATCTAAAAAATGGAGTAAAATGATCACTGATGAACGAGCAAAACTGAATTAATTAAAATATTGCTTACCTTCCGTGTCTGGCTTGAGTTTGCCAACTTCTCTGTGTTCAGGGCTGCAACATACATTATGCATAATAGAATTCTTTACTACACAAGTATTATTTCACTTTGTTCAGAAATGGTAAATTTGTCATAATGATAATCACATAAACCAAAAGCAAAATAATGCATTCTGTTACTGAGTCTACTCTTTTTCCTTAAAAATCATATATTTTGGTCGAATTTCAATTTCTAAAATTTCGAATTTTCATTTCTAAAAAAAGTCAGACATGCTTGCTTTGCTTGACCCAAACATGTCAACTGCCATTAAACCAACTGTCAGAATTATAGACATTAGAGTGTTATAAATAAATGAATGTATGTGAATGTATGTAAATTAGAGAGCGAATGTGACAAAGGCTTCACATGAAACCTTCGTGTACAAACTTACATAGCTGGTGTTATCCAGATATCTGCATTCTCTGCACCCCATAAATTAGTTGATCTAGTAGTTCTACTGCTACAAGAGACCAAGCAAGCGATTAATTTACTACCCTGTGTTTAGATCATCTAGCAATATTTCCCTCTGACTACTGATCATGATTTATTTAACAGATTTGATGCTAATATAAGATCTTGGGTATCTCAAATGTAGCATTCATTGGAGTTTGAATGTGAAATGAATGTTAGCGACATAGAAGCGGAAAATGCAGTGTCAAGATTTTCTAGCTATGTTAATGTTCTGATTGGATAGAGACAAAATCAAAAAGTTTGAATAGTAATTTTCAAAATGAGTGTAAATGTCAAGTATAGAGATTTATTGAAGAAAATATGATGTTACTGAGAATATATCTAAATCTGGACAATCACAAAATGATCCAATTCAAAGCAATTTTAAAGCTTTAGGGTAGGCCAATTAAAATGCCTAACCCTTAACAGGTCCCAAAATGATCGTACTTCATCCACCCTAATGTTAGTATGTATTTTCTGCTTCTATGAAAAAATCTAGAAGAATAGGACTAAATCTAAATCTATTTTGATGAAAAAGCCAATACTACGACCAACTTCAAATTATAAAGGGTGTTCAGAAAGTAAAGTAAAAGAATATGGTTTTTGACAACTTTGGTAAAACCTTGACATCTGACATTTTCACAGAATGTACATCAGGGATTGTTCAATTCATACCAAACGCATTGTGGTGCTATTATCAGATGGGTTAAAATTATCTTACTTTCTGAACACCTTGTAATCATATAGCATTCCTTACTGATCTTGTACTTTTCCTTTGCCATCCTCCACTGTCTGAGTTGGCATTTTAGATGGAATATCAGGAGTTGGGCTTCTAGATGACGCTGGGGTTAATGAGCTTTGACTGGACACAGAGGGAGGACTGGACACTTGTGATAGTGGAGTGGACTCTCTGGAGATCTGTGACACTGGGGTTGAGCTTCTGGAAGCCTGTGACACTGGAGTGGAGCTCCTGGAAGTCTGTGACACTGGGGTAGAACTTCTGGAAAGTTGAGACATAGAATCTCCAGCAGCAAAAGACCTACTTCTGGTCAAGCTTCCTTCCCCTGATTTGGGTTGTACTTTATAAGCCTCAAGAGATTTCAGTTTATGTTTAGAAGCAGCTGTATCTACTCTGATCACAGTGATATGACGTTTACCATCTGGAGTTGATGCTCTTGGTGAACGCTGGGGCGATTCAGTCATTCTAACGCGATTCTGTATGGTGGATGCAGATATGGTGGCAGGTTTGTCTGTGCTTGTCTTTTTGATTATTTGCTTCACTGGTGAAACATTTGAGTCTGATTTGGTGTCATTTGAAGATGGAATATCTGGTTTTTCAGGTATATTATGCTCAGCAGTTCTGTCAATGATTGGTGGGCTTTGGACCCCGATGGGGGTAGAATATGGCCCTGGTTGACTTTCAATTCTGATGGGTGTCGAAGGTGGGCTTTGAACATTGTTGGGTGTTGAATCAAGTGTAGGTGGGCTTTCAACTCTGGTTGGTGTTGAATGTGAGGTCACAACTCTGGTGGGTGTCGAAGGTGGGCTTTGAACATTGTTCAGTGTTGAGTGTGATTTGGGAGGACTTTGAGCTCTGGTTGGTGTTGAATGTGAGCTCTGAACTCTGGTGGGTGTTGAAGGGGGTGTTTGAACATTACTTGGTGTTGAGTGTGACGTCGGTGGACTTAGAACTCTGGATGGTGTTGAAGGTGAGGCAAGGGTATTGGAATTAATTTCTCCTTTCCTCGGGGATGTTATTTTTGGAGATGTTGGAGAATAAGTTTTCTGATTGGTTGAGTGTCTAGTGGACTTGACATTTTGTGCAGCTGGTGATTTTTCTGAGTTATTAAGGAGTGTTGTTGGCCTTGTTGCAGTTGGACTTGATCTTGTGCTGATCTGTCGTGCAGCAGCTAGAGTAGTTTTAGTTATCCCAACTGTGTGTCTACGATCTGGCTCACGCTTACGTTTTTGAGCAACACTTTCTTTTCTTTCAGCTGCATCACCAGCTTCATTTGGACGTGCAGGTTTTTTAGGGCTTATCTTATCAGGTTTATCTGATGTCTTTGCCCTCCTTTGATCACCAATCACATTGAGTATATTATGTATAGTGGAGATAACATTCTTTTCAGCCACTCCTATCGTACTGGAACGTTTGGATGGTGATTGGCTGAGATCAGCTAGAGACATGGACATATTTTTCCTAAGATTGGACGAAGGTTCCTTAACAGGAAGGTCATCTGTATTGTTTTCAGCCTGCTGCCTGATTTTCTGTTGTGCAAGGTGAATCTCCAAGGGGTTTGGATTGCTAAGGTGTCTCTGTGACCTTGACCTAGGTCGAGTTTTTAGTGGTTCAGCTTTGGAGGCTTCTTGATCTTTTTGAGTGGTGGGCCGAGGAGGAAGCTTGTCATTTGATTTCCCTAGCAAAATATCCTTAGCTTCTGATAAACTTAGGTTCTTGTTAGATCGACTTCTGGAAGCATCAGCCGATCTCTTCAGGAAAAGATCTTGCTTGGAGCGTGCAACATTTGCATTTGGAGGTGGAGGCATGGCTAATCGATCACCACTATTCTGAAAAGGCTCAGTTGCTCCCTTAGTTTTAGAGTCCAGCAAACCACTAGTGGATGACTGAGAGCTATCACTCCCACTTCTTAAAATTTCACTGGCCCTTTCTCCAACTTTTAGTCCATCTGTACTGGGTAATTTCCTAGATGGTTTCTTAGATGGTTTAGTGAATACATCTTTAAATGACCCCTGTGACACATCCTCACTACTAGATGATAAATTATTAAGGTTTTCATTCTTCGGAAGTTCACTTCGACGGGATCGCAGTGAATATTTATGAATTCCTGTATTGGGATCAGATGTGGATTTGCTGCGTGCTTTCTGTTTTGTTTCTGGATCAGATACAGAATCAATATCAATATCCACCACTTTCATATCATCATCCTTTCCAGTGCCAATTTGAGATAAATCGGGAGTAGACATTGCATTGGATAATCTCGAGCTCAATCTAGTTGATCTAAGAGTACGCTTTTTTGGCAAGTTTTGTACTTTACGGGGGTCGCTTCCATTCCCACTCCCAGTCCCTACCTGGTCTAAGGACTGTACAGATCTTGCTCTGGAGAGGCCTGTGGTTGTCGTGGTGGGGGTGTTCTCCTTGGAGTTCTGACCTCTCTTGGCCCGCGATGTGGATGTCTGCCTCATATAAGAAGGCACAGGCTTGTCTGACACGGAGGTAGGGGTCATACTGGTTGGTCCTAAAGAGCGCCTGTTCAGATTTGCCTTGGAAACTGAAAAACATGTGGAAATGTTTATTAACAGATGAACAAAATATTCAGATTTTGTTATAGCAGATTTTGTAATTTATGAAATAGTGTCATTTGTTCCGGTAAAGATTAAAAGGTGGATTGGATCGAGTGGATTGGATTCATGTAAAAGGTGGATTGGATTGGCTATCTTCAAAATATGGATTTTCCTATAAAAAATTCTATTGATCTCCCTTTAGGAAGATTGGTGCTCTCTTCACTTGCACAATGTCAAATTATAGATGTAATATTATTTTGCTTGGGTGGGCTAGAAGGATGACCTGGTACCCGCTTTCTGATACACGATCTTATTCATTCCAAGTGTAATTTGAGACATTTCATAAATCATAAGGCAGACTGGTTTGAAGATCCATAACATCTGTTTTCAATCCAAACTGAACATACCAGAAATGTTTTGTGAACATTCACAAATTAATTTGAATGACAGGTTTTCTTTTTCTAAAGATCTATGTCTTACAAAAGTTGATTTACAAGGGAAAGCAGTTAAATACTTAAGAGTGTCCATGAACTAATTGGAGTATGTATTTGTCATTGCTTTGTTCTGATTTCTCAAAAGGGACCTGTAATACTGTAGAGGGAAATTGTTTAGAGGGAGATCAACAGAAATTTTTTTATAAGAAATTCCACATTTTGAAGATTCCCGATCCAATCCACCTTTTACATGAATCCAATCCACTCGATCCAATCCACCTTTTAATCTCTACCTTTGTTCCTGGTGGGAAATATTTACTTTTTTGGACTAAAATTCTTTAGTACTCAGATTTTGTCTTACATTATACTATATGCTGTATTAAGAAGTCCTTAAATGAGAGCATGCTGTATATGCAAACATGTTGATAATAATAATCCTATAAATAGATCTTTCTACGTCCATGCACTAACCAATCAATTGCAAATATACAGTGTACATTAATAAAAATGATTATGTTGAAAGATGAAACAAAAGAGATTATATGGTGAATTATTAAAGTAGTCAGAAGAGGGAATTTAGGCTGATTTGTTTGGTCAAAAGTCATTCCACTCTGCCCAACTTGTTTTAAAAACAGATTTTAATGATTATTTTCAAACATTAGACTGATAATGTCTTAGAAATTGTACAGATGTTAATATTATTGATCACTGTTGAGTTCTTTATAGCCCACCATCCACCTGACCTAGAAGCAATTAATTTAACAGTGCAGATGAATGTAAACCATTCTCCAATAGCATCAATTTCTCTCTTCCAAAACAGAGAATTTGATCTGCCAACCGCAGAGGTAAAACTGCCATGGGAGAATGAGTGGGGAGAATGAGTGAAGATGTGCACAACCAAAAATCAGAGCCATCAGAGCAATAACAAACTCATAATTCTTGAAATTCTGAAAAGATATGTTTAATATTATTAAGGCATTAACATGACAAAATGTCACCACCTAGTTGCTCACAATATTATGGACCAATCTTAAGTCAGATTTTAATTTCTGAGAACTTGTAGATGATTTTGAAAACATAAATTGTTAAATTTGAAGCAAGATGAAAAAATACCTTTTTGACCTTGAGAATGTCATTGAAGGTCAAATTTTTTTTGACCTTGAGAATGTCATTGAAGGTCAAATTTATTGTCAGATATGAGAACTTGTAGACGATTTTGAAAAAAGTTGGTCATTTGAAACAAGTTCAAAAAATACCTTTTTGACCTTTTTTGACCTTGAGAAGGACATTGAAGGTCAAATCTCAAATCTAAAGTCAGATTTGAACTTCTGATAACTTGGAGATGATTTTGAAAAAAATTGTCAATTTGAAGCAAGTTGAAAAATGACCTTTTTGACCTTGAAAAGGTCATTGAAGGTTAAATCTTAAATATAAAGTCAGATTTGAACTTCTGAAAACATGTAAATGATTTTGAAAAAAATGAAGTCAGTCTAAACAGTATTTGTTAAGTTATTGGAAGTTGTAAGAATTTGTTACAGACGCCGATTGCCAACCACCAACTGCCACCCACCATAAATAACCATAACAATGTCACCACTTTTTGGTGGTGACATAATAATGTGGTTTATTTGTCAAGCCTAACCCTTCACCTTAACTGGGGACAAAAAGCAAATTAGATGCTTGGTTACAAGCAAGAAATAATATTGAGAAAACAATATTATAAGTCTAGTAATAGACATGAATAACAATATGAGTGAAAGTATATGAACCCATCACCATCCTGGACTCTAAAAGCAAATAGCTACCAGGGGTAATTGCCATTGGACTATCAGGCAATTGCAGGCTAGCAGGCGATTTAAGGCTAGAATGAGTTTTATCGCTACCAAATCTTGTGGTGCCCGATAGGACATTTGAAGAGGACCCGCGGCGATTGAATTCTGATTTAGCCTCTTCCCTAGCTGGTTCAATGTCCTGTCGTGATAGGTCCATCTGAGATGACGACCATGTTTTCCTTGTGAGGCGGGGAGATGGTGCTACATAACATAGTATGTACAACATGTAGGGAAATAAGTGCAAAACCACTGAATATAAGCAATCACAAATTGGAGACAGTTTTCATTACATAGTGACTGATAATGAATCTGACTGGTTCAAATAGCTGTTCATCAGTTATCATATAATGCCAGTCAGATTATTACAGATCTATCTAAAAGTTCAGAGTTATCTGTGTATGCAAAGAAAACTCTCTATTGAATAAAATAGACCTTTACTATACATTGTTTAGCTGTTCATGCAAAATTCTACATAACTGAAAAACAAAATAATAAAATAACATTTAAGCTTCGATTGAAACATAATCATGTGTGAATAGGTAAAGAGGTAATAGTGAGGTTCACATATTTATTTAAAAAGGCCTAACTCTCAGAAAAGTATTAGCATTGCTGATTTAAGATTAATCTCTCTGATGTAAAATCACCAAAATCAGAATGATACTCTCTGTAAACTGAGACAGGCCTTTTTAAACCTATTCCAGGATCCAAGCTAGTATTGATACATTCCTTGTGCACACTCTGGATAAACACGTCATATATCGGGTGTCCCAAAACAAAGTGAAACACTTTTTCACAAGTATTTTCTCAGCAATAGATGAACCAGATGTTTTGAAAATTTTTACTAAGGAACTGTAGAGTATCATCAACAAGTCAGTATTGACAAATTAAAAACAGTATGTCAAAATATCAAACATCAATGGAAAAGTCTAAACAAAGTTGTTTTTCCCAGGAGATATGCTTTGTGTATTTCTTCCGATGATGTTGCCTCCCATGACACAATTATCCCGCCCTTTAATGCATGTTCGATGAAGTGCATTTTTTGCAGATAACTCCATTTACATTTATATGACTCCACTCCTTGCCCAGATTCTTCTTCCACCCCATCCTTTCTCCTTGAAACCGTTTTCAATGTTAGACTGGAAGCCTATCAAAGGCAATGTTAATTCTTCCAAACTGTTGACAGAATAGATTTTGGATACAGACAACAATGAAAATGTCAATATACCTGACACCCAGACAACCTATTTCTAGACTTAAACTGATTCACAGATGCCACAACCTTACACCTCGCATAAACATGATGAAGGTCTCATTGCTCTGATATTGGTTTTTTGACATGCTGCTCAATTTGTCAAAACTTGCATTCTGTGTAATCAATCTCTTTAATATTCACAAGCTTTGCCAATGATACCCTTAGGATACTCTATACAAATTTTCAATTTGATTAATCCATAGCTGATAACATACTTGTCTTAAAGCAGTTCACTTTTTTGGGACACCATATATTTTATACCTGTTGCTTTTGACAAGCTAGCTCGTCTCTGACACACATCTTTTCTATTTGGTCCTGAATATATGCATAATACTAAATCAAATTTGTCATTTGAGAAGCACCCCAGTCTCCATATCATTTATAGTCTAAATTCAATTTAAAAAAATAATATCAGGAAGACAAGGGCGATTCTCAGGTTATCATATGTGAGCTATGTTGATCAAAAGGTATACCACTTGTACTTGTACACGCAAAAGGTATACCACTTGTATATGTACACTCAAAAGGTATACCACTTGTATATGTACACTCAAAAGGTATACCACTTGTACTTGTACACTCATTAATATTTCTGTACATGCCCAAATATGCATGAAGGAATCAAGAAAGGAAAGAGAAAATATATGTACAACATTCATTAAATAAAAAATCCTCCTTACAGGCATATATACAGGGTGGCACAAAAATGTAACACTCTTTTTGGAATAACTTCATTTTTTGGAACAGTTCTCAAGACATGTGATTTTATTGCATCACCCTGTAGATGAATATGTCATAAGACATTACTGCTGAACTTCGCTACTATTGGTGAATATAGGAAGAAGAAACAAAGAACCTTAATCATCAAAAGTATGTAACTAATCCAAGAAATATCTCAAAATAAATAAATAAAAAAAAAATTACCTGATTTCACTAGATGTCCATCTGTCGATTGGCGCTTGCTTACATCTTTGTTGATATGGTCCCTATTTCTGAGCTTTACTGGGAATTCTTCAGCCTGAAATGAAATGCCATGAAACACATTTTGAATGTTAATGACTATTTTTTACCTTCAGTTCCTCTAATCATAATTTAAAATCCAATATAAAATAGTTATCATATTATTAAACCAATATCAAAGAAATATCAATTATTAAAACAGATTTAGGAACTTACAGTTCTGTATCGCAACAAAAATATTTTCAGGGTACAGAAATAAAATTCTAATCAAGAAGTCTCTAGTTACTTTCACAAGACAAGAACATTATGTCTCTCTCAATTGTATTCAATTTTCAGCCCAGTTTTGATAAGAGTTAGGAGGGTTTTAATATGGTAGAAATTAGTGTATGTGGATTATCTTACATTGTCCCCAGGAGTGTGTGTAGAATCCTCACTGCCACCTTTTGGTGCCCACTGTAACTATTATTAGAGAAGCAGGTTAGCTATTAGTTGAATGTTACAGTAAAATATTCCCAACAGGTTGCTTCTGAAAAACTGGACTTTGCTCATAAAAATCTCAGAGAAGTTTGGACATGAAAGGGAAATGTTTTCTTGTATGTCATAAGGTATTTCTACTAGACCCTTTTCATGTCTCATCTTAAATTTTTTCTATGTATGGAAGGATGAATAGATGAACAACATTTCTACATTCCAACTCAAACCCCTCAATAATAACCTTTGCCTTACTTACCTGTCTTGTAACTGATGGTGCAATTTAGTGCTGCCAAATGTTGGTATCATGTTTCCCCATGAATGAGTCAAGAACATTAACCATGTTTAACCAGATAGAGTGTTCAAACAGATTATTTTAATGTGAAAAATAATGCTCTCTAGTGTGAGGAAATTTTTCAGAAATTGTTCCTTGAAAGTGTTAGAAGTGGAGTGGGACAATTTCTTACATCTTTGAGTTGTAGAATTTGATTCTGAACAGTTGATCTCTAAACAGGTAAAAAGCAAAGATATCACTAATATGAGGGATACATCAAACCCATATATGGTCATTTCATACACCAATTCATTTACTCTTCTAAATTCATATTTTTGAGTGTGTGGATGTTATACATTAAGCAACTATATTATAACATGTTACTAGTATTCTGTTACATATTGTATCGATCATCTACATTGTTATGTACATTACTGTTAAATAGTCTGCATTAAAACTTACAAAGCGTTCAATGTTCTAGAATATCAAAAATAAAGTGAATTACACAAAGTATTAATCAATTTACATCTGAAGGGTATGGTAAGTAAGCAATGTATTTTCACACAAAAATTTTTTTTTTGTTATGATCAAGACATTATACAAAAATTAAAATTGTATATTTGAGGAACTATCATATAATGAGCTACATATATCCACTTGTTAACAAGATGCATGAATTGAGGTACACTGAACTTACAGCAGCTAGACGTTCTCTGGCCTCTGCTTCAACTCTGGCCTGTTCTACCCTCTTAGCTTCTGCCTCCTGCAAATGCAATATTAGATAGTTAGAAAATCTTTAAAGAAGACATACAGTGATAAATATCTCACTTTGTAAGAGCAAAATGGTAAAAAATCTTAAGTTTGTTTTGTTATGGTGCACAATGGAACATCTTTTTGAGATTTTTTCCACTAAAGCTACAAAATATTGCCTCATATGTAGCCAAAATATTAATATTAAATGATATGTAATGAATAAATTAAATGCTTAAATGTATACATCGTACCTCTTCGTTGCCTCTCTGTACAGCTTGGTTATACAAGTTCCTGGAAATATGGTAGATTTATGTCACACATACAAATAAATAAGAATACACCTTGGATATGAACACTGCTGGGAGCATCTTATAGACATGCTTTGAGAGGTGTTCACATCTAATAGGTGTTCTAGTAAGGACTGTGAGCTTACTTCGAAGGTGTTCACTAGGGGTTCTGATAACATGGCAGTTCATAGAGTAACTGGAACATGTGACTAAAGAGGTGTTCACATTTCCAGTGCCTTGCTTTAGAGGTGTTCATGTAAACTAGTTTTACTGTATATAGTAATGTCATGGTTCATATTTAATTAAAGGTATTTAATTCTATAACTGCATAATATATTCAAATTATTCTTAGCAGATGCAGATATGGGGATATATACAATTTCTATGCCCCTTCAATGAAACATAATATAAAACATTACTGTCAATACAAGTATGAATATTTCAAAAATGTAAAATTTTATTTATCTCTAAATGGTGCATTTTAAAAAAAGCCATTAAACAGCAGCAAATGTTGCAATATTTTTTTCTTGGCCATTTGACAAACTACCCAGATTTTTTATTGGTGTGTATGGTACTAACCATAACAAAATAAACAATGCTACTGTCTATTGGTGGTCTATTATCATTGAAGGAGCACACAATTTAATTTAAAGTTTTAGAAAAAGATTATTCTATAACATTATCTAATAACTATATGTTCATGTATATAATAAACAACAACAGGAAAATACTGTACTGTGAACATGCAAAATAGATGTGTATGAAATATGAAACATATACAATAGAAACATATACAATAGAAATGTGCAGAACAAACACAACACAACACAATGTGGAATCTAGACTATGTGCTCATATAATTGTATACTGAATAAAACTTATTATAACAATTTTTCTATCATTACATGTCAATACTGTATGGATACATGAGGCTATACAGGGGTCCGTTTCTATTATTACAACATAGTATGCATAGTTGAAACTATGTAGGAGCCTGTTTCTAAAATTACATGATAACATGTATAGCAACTATGCAGGGGCCCATTTCTATTATTACAACATAATATTATAGATGAGGCTATACAGGGGCCCGTTTCTTACCTTCTGATCATGGTTGATTGAGCATTATTGGGGACGATGTTACTACTGGAAAAACCAAAAGCTTCATACAAGCTAGATATCAACAACAGTAATTTGACAGCTTCAGTCAGATACATATTTCAACTTTATTATTCATAAATATTTATAAATTGTTTAATATGTTGAATATGTTTCATATATTCAACATATTTCATATATTTGACATATTTCACATATTCAAAATATTCCAGATGTTTACATATCTCATCTCAGGTGACCCTATGTAAATGACTGATGCTTTAACCCTACAAATGATCCCTTGACATACCAGGGTCTGTTTCACAAAAGTTTGTTGAATACATTGTTGTTTCATGCAGATCATTTTAGAACACTTTTTAAATATCAACGAAGGTACTCAACATCTTTAATTTAGAAACAGACTGAAGCGTATTATCCAAAATATCAGCATTCGTGTATAAAGCAAAATGTGTTGATTCCAAGCATGTAAAAAACTTAATAAAATGTATCAATGATTTATTTAAGCATGCATTTGTGTTTGGAAGTGATCATAACTTTATTTTATCATGCATTTTGTGCAGATTTTAAGTAAAATACTATAATAATTAGTATATTTTAATGATAAAAATTTAATAAATAAAACATGCAAAATAATAATAAAATTGTAAAATAATGTTAGTACAACAATAAGAATGAGTTATATTAATATATACCTGTTTTTTCGACTGAGTATAAAATTATCAAAAGTCATTTTTAGTAGAGATTATCAAAATACATGCCATATTTAACTTTGTCAAATTATTTATGATAACTATCTCTTTTACACAATGTGAAAATATTTTAGTCATTATTAGTATTTTAATTTTTTAGTAAAATGATTAAAACATAACTACGAGGGGGGATTCATAAGTAGTGGGACTTTTCTGAGGCAGCAAGTCCCTGTGTACATATCTCAACCAAATATGGCACATGAACGGACTAGGATATAAGGCATTGTTTGGTGAAATTTCAATTTAATTCATTTTGTTCCCTAGCAACAACGGTTGCTATGGTAACCAAAAGTAGGGGTTAACGGAGCAGTTAAAAAATGTAGGGCTTGATCAACATAAATATGGTCATAAATATCTCAAAATGACAGTTATTTTCAAATATTTGCTTTCATATTGTCTCAAGCATTGTAGTCATGACAACTGTAACATATATTTCATCATCATGGTATTGTGATGTCACACAAAGCAGTGACGCCAGGACACTGCCATTTTCAGTCCTTCTTGGACGGAGCAAAATTTGATTAAAATAGCAATGAAAAAGCAAGAATCACGTATAAACATCCGTGCTGTTATTAAATTTAATGCTTTGAAGAAGTTTTCAGTATTAAAGACCTATAGAGGTTTGTTGGAAGTCTATGGGAAAGAAGAAGTAAAAAAATCTACATTATATAGGTGGTATTCTTTATATGTATTCTGAATATGCTGTAGGAGCCGAGATGACAAATCTTCGAAAATATGGATTTGAGGGTGCATCTAGAATGGTTGAGGAGATGCCAAAAATGCATTGATTGTCATGGCGAATACTTTGAGAAAGAGTGAGATTGCACCAGAAGGATTAGGAATCAATAGTCTTGCACAGAATTGATGTGCTCCACAAAGGACTCGCTAAAAGTCACGGATTAGATCACGTCTTGAATATCAGTTCAGACTAGTACTTGTATTTAACTAGCAATTAGTGACAAACAATGTGCTCCGTGGACCCTGTTGTGACGTCATGATTGGAACTCTCACTTTACTGAAGTTGGGTGTAACTTTTTGAAATTTTTAAACATTGATTATCGCATGTTTGTGGTTCTGTGTTCCAAGTTTGAATAAAATCTGGTTCATATAAGGGAAGTTATGGCATTTGTCCCACTACTTATGAATCCCCCCTCGTATATATACAGAATACATGTTGTCAATGAATACTTTAGTATGAGGTTACTAAAATATATCGTTAATTCTAAAAATTAATTGATTAATAAATGTGACTACTGATTAGTATTCAACCTTTTGTAAAATTCGTATTAGAATATCTATTAATTACATATTATATATTATCCTTCAATCCTCATGTAATATTATTATTAAAAATAAATTTTCTACGTCACTGAATTGCATTCATCAAGTTAGTCAAACTAAACTATAAAAATGTAATAGTCTTGTCATCGCAAATACACGCTGCGGAATTAATAATGCATGATATAGGAAATCGTAAAATCCTCAAATGTAAAAAGCAAGTGCAGAGATACTAGACATGAATACTACATAATTTAGTTTAACGAACACACATACATGTAAAAGAAATAAGAGATTAATAAAAAGCATGTGCAACTTAAATTAAAATAAAGCTCAGCAATAAACATGAGATAGAAATTTGAAACAAAATGTAAAATTGAACAAGTTAGTAATAGATAGATGCATACAATAAATGGTTTATATGTACATAAGAATAGAATAATACGAGGGTTGATCCAAAAGTTCCGAACCGTTTGCTCTAAAAATCGTAATACTTGATGAAAATTGTTCATATTTGGCCACAACCACCCCACATATAGTAGTTTCATTTTGTGTAAAAATAAGCAATAAATTTGACCAGCAACATAGGTATCTGGTTACCATAGTAACATGACAACAGGGTGAGTGGAGCAAGAGTACGACATATTTTTACAGGTAGAAAAAAGTTGATTCTAAAAGAGTGTTACAGGGTACTAAATTTCAAATGAGTCAGTCATGCCTGCCTATTAACCAATCATTTTTTCAATTTGTCCATATTTCATTGTTAGGTCTTTATTTAATTTCGCAAAATAGTCTCTCATCCCCTTATATACACTTTGTATATCTGCTGGCCCTTTGATCAAACACATCTTTAAATTCACCATCACCTGTCTCAGAAAGCCACTTAAGAACAGCAAGGCAGACTTCATTTAATGTTCAAAAGCTTGTCTTGTCTTGTAATTTGTACTTCAGGTCACTATAAAGATAAACGTCAGAGGGAGGCAGATATAGTGAGAAAGATGCAAGGGTAAGCCAAGGCATGTGCATATTTTCATTGACGTTTGAGTAAGTATTGAGGTATGGAATTGCGCATTGTCAAAATTGGACTGGATTTTATGCTTTAATTTGACTGCTTTTGGCGCAAGGCATTCTTCTGGTCAATGACATCACAGTTGCCAACTATAGCTTGTATGATATCAGATCACACATATAGCATTGGTCTAACGAAAGAATAGCATTACTAACAAATTTGAAATACATTTGGTACCCTGTATACACCCTTCAAGTGTCAACTTTTTTCCAACTCTACAATGTGTCCTTCTCTTGCTCCACATACCCTGTTGTCATGTTGCTATGGTAACCAGATACCTATGTTACTTGTCAAATTAATTGTTTATTTTTACACAAAATGGAACTACAATATATGGGGTGGCTGAGGCCAAATATGAACAATATCCATAAAATATTAAGATTTTTAGAGCAAACGGTTCGGAACTTTTGGATCAACCCTCGTATAACAAAAGGTACAGCTATGTTCTATGTTCTAGGAAACTAACATCTAAAATATACACAATTCTAATAAAAGAATACTAATAAAATACTTTATGCCTGAAATCTATAACTAAATCAAATTCAAATCTTTTTACTTAAAAGAAAAGGCCGCAATAATTCTGATTCTCCATCACAGACAAATGTTTAATTTACTGAATATCCGCGAATCAAAAATCAAATTATAATGGCCTTATAGCTGATATGCACCTGCTTAGGTTGATCAACTACGATAGATCACGTAACATACCTTAGATGTGTGGCTTGAGAACGGGAGAGGAACCGTGAGGATATGCTCAGTCTGTGGTTAGGATATGAGGGCTCAAGGGACTCTATCTTGTTCCCAAACTGTTCCTGACCCAAGTTAGGTTCCCCAGCAGTACTTAAACTTTCAAAGTTTGTTTTCAGGAACTGAAATATTAAATCATAACGTATACAGTACAGTACAGTGTAATATTACAAAGAAATCGGAACATTTTCAAGGAGGGTCTGCAAATTTTTCAGTGTTTATATATTAATAAGATAAAATAATACATAAGGGTTATTAACAGACTGGGAGGTATTAGATACAGGGTTTATCCCAAAGAAAACAAGGCATTAACATGCAAAATGTCACCACATGCCATTTGTTACTGACGCTGAATGTCAACCGCAAAAGGTTGAATAATGTCCAAAAAATAATTGGAGATATAACAATAATGCCACAACATCCAATGGTGACAAATAAAAAGTATATTTATTACCTGAGGGGTAAACCCTTAGCCTGATAGTACTCTAAAAAACTAACAATACCTTATTGATTTTTTCACTACATAAATGTTATATTCATTATATACATGTACACATACATACATACATGTATACATATTCCCACATGTTATCTTCCTATAATATCTGTTAGTATGAATGAATAAACACAAGGAGCACACGCGTCTTGAACTCGCAACCTCGTGGTTATGGAGCCAAATTGGCTAGCTTGAACGTGCTGGCGCTCAAGCCCTCTCGGCCAACTCGACAACCCCAATGTGAGATACAATAGAGGTCTAATGGCATTACCTGTCCAGGTGTGCCTGACTCCATGGGTGTGTTTGGGTCGGATGAACCAGGGGACATCATGTCATCCATCTCTTCATCAGATTCCTGGGTATTTTCAGAATCTAAAGCAAAATACAACAATGATTGATGTTGGATGATACCAATATATCAAAATGTCCCTAAAAACCTGTATTTAACTAACTAAGTGTATTTGTGGGAGGAGGTGTGAGTGTTCGACTATTTTGAAGGAAAAAATAAGTATAAAAACCAAAAAAAACAATATATTATGTTCAGTTTAATTTTGGGGAATTAGGTGGTCTGAATCTGAAATGATATTTATCACACTTTTGGGATCAAATATTAATCAGATATTGTTTAGAAATCATTGTACATTAGATTTATTTCTGTCCATACATATTTCTAAATGATTTTTGTCATGTCATAATTATCGTGCACTCTTTTCACCACAACACTCCACCAATTTATTCAACCCCATTACGACTTATTCAACCCCATTACGATTTATTCAACCCCATAACAATTTATTCTTCCTCTGAAGATGTCAACATCAAAATAACAGTTCATTGTCAACTAAAATTGCAAAAAGTTACCATGGTATTGTTACGAGACAAAGCGATAGGTTGCAATGTGCCCTCACCTTTTGCTAAGAATTCATACCATTGTAGTAGTCATTTTGATTATTGTGTTGTTAACTTGTTACTGAGGAAACAAACTTGAACCAACAGATGCATGGATGTAAAGATAAATAGTCCAACAGATGAAGGCGAGATGGAAAAGGATATACACAAAGATAATCCAAATATGTGTGCACACAGATCAACATAGATATAAATTAACATACAGATGATCAACATAAATATGCATCCAGTCTGACGATTGAATATGCCCCAAGTTTTAGTAGTGGATAAAAGCAATGTATAGTAATATAGCATTAGTGAAACACAAAAATTTTGTACACCTGTCCGTATTATTTCAACAACAAACAAGAACTTGGATTATATCGTATATATTATAAAATATATACAATCATATCAATAGCCTGTCAACATTAACTAAACAGCACACAAGAACATATGAACATATACAATCATATCATGGAAAAACTCAGCGTTATAACAGACAAAACTCAGGCAAAGAGATTCTCATTAACACATGAAAAAATGGAACTGAAAACCATGAACCTTGAATGTTGTGTATGATAGCACCACATGCAGATTCTGAAAGGGTAACAAAATCAACCAACCATGGTATTCCCTAAATACACCACCCAAACTTACCTCTCCTGAACCATCCTGTATATGGAAGAATCAAGTGTTATTAAAATTATTGGTGATTAAACATCAAGATAACACAAATCATTAATTAAAATAAAAATTAAAAGATATCTTATGAAGTCTATAACATATATTTCAATGAATGGCTTAATTTCAAAATCATTTTAATTTAAGAGACAAATCAAAATGAGGCTGAGAATTCAAAAAGAGGCTAGCAGACAACACTCACCCCCATCATCATTCTTTAAACCTTCCCTCTGTCTCCCTCCAATGGATTCAGTTACTGTGAAACTACTAAAATGTTAAATGAATGAAGCATGTTTTACAAGGAATAAAATAAAGAATTAAGTATTTTTTCCAAACAAACAAAATAGTTTCTACATTATAAGCATTGCATGATACAGAACTAAATGATAAACTGGACATTTGAACAGGCATCTATTACTCTAATGATTTCCAAGTTTTTTGCCTTTAAAATATTTCAGTTATATTTTCAAATATTGATCGTTGTGCTAAGTACGTTTTGACTCACTTCTGTGTGCCATCAGATATGCTGACCCTGCTAGGAGGGTAGTAGATGACTTCTTCAGTTTCATCATCATCTGCATCTTCCTCTTGTGTAGCATATGCTGACCTGAATGTAATAGAGCTGTCCGACTGAAAGAATATAAAAAACAATAAAATATAACAAGGCATTAACATACAAAATATCACCGCATGCCATTTGTTACAGACACTGACCAGCAAATGGTGTTACAGACACCAAATACCAACTGACATAAACTGGTATAAATGGAGGACTAAAACAATATATCACCACTTCTAGTGGTAATATAACAAGTACTAGAGGTACTATGTAGTATGCTCTTTTATAATATGGTAAATCATCTCAGCTTGATGAACAAATCTGTTACCTTCAACTTTTTATTCATCCATTGACCTTCATGTTATCAACTTCTAAGTGAACACTTCCAAACACGAGTCTCAAAAATGTTTACCGAAATGAGTTTTTACCACAGGATTATACTAATAAGGACTTTCTTTTATCTTACCATAATTTTTTTGCAGCATTAGCATATGTAATGATTGCTTCAAGTTGGAATTATACTCAGTCTTAAATGTAATAACAACTGAGGTAACTGAATTCCATGTGAGATAATCCTGAGATAATCCTAATCAAAGCTTAATTTTATTGATGGATGGATTGAGATTCATGCTGATCTTATCAACGCTCCAATAAAGTTCATCTATTTCTGCACCATTATCATGGCTTTTGTTTTTAAAACATCCAGGGAAATGGCAATGAATTGTGCTCTCACTATTGCATATTCCATAAGTGTTTCTCGTCACTATTTTGCTTTTGCTTATATACATTCTTACATTTCCTGTCTTATAAGGTTGTTACTAAATGTGATCTTAAATATTCCATGTGCTATATATACAAGTATTATAGGTTTTTCTCTAGTATTAATTTTTCTGCAACATATCCTGGTATCTATAAACCTGATATGTGTTTAATGAAAAGTAGTTTTCCAGAGGTTGTCCCAACCACGAGGTTGCCTTGAGTGTCCAATTTAACACAATCAAGTGTATCTCTTGGATTACCTAAGTTATCTGAAAGATCTTTAGACTCAAGTAAATACCTCTTAAACTTGCCACTTGGGTCAACCATATGAACTCTCCTATTGAAAGAATCGGCTATGATCACATTGTCTTCGTCATCAATACAAACATCATTTGGACATCTCAGTTGTTCATATCCAGTGCCCTCTGTGCCATAGGAAAAGACAATTTTACCATTTTTCTCGATACCGGTGATGCATTCTTTAGCTTTGTTGGGCAAAAATATGATTCCCTTGCTATTGGCTGCAGCATTTCCAAACGGTTCATAGCTCAATCGTGCCTTTGATTTCACTGAGGCATTATCATAGTCCAAATGAAAAACAAACTGTACACCACTAAAGTGTTCCCCATAAACCACTATCTCACCAGCTGGATTCATAAGCTCATACCAGGGAAATATTATCTGAGGTGTGTGTATGGTTCTCTGCAAATCCATATTTTCGTCAAAGATTCTGAGACAATTTCTGAATCAAACAGCATAGCAGTTATCGTTAACACTAAACACATTCAAGAATGGTCCATGCACAGAATACTTTTTTATATGTGTTTCATTGTTATATAGCACAAGTAATCGCCTTTTGCCTCCATGTAACAATACTAAATAAGTATTTTCCGCAAATGCCATTCCCCTCAAAGTAAAGTTGGTTTTAATGTATCTAGTAGTTTGGCAATCTTCTAATTGTATAGACTTATGTATCCTACCAGTGTGCAAAGTAGGACATTGACTATACAATGCCTTGGTGTTTTCACAAGGATTCTGAAGTTTCAATGCAGCCCCTATTTCCATCTTCCTTTGGTGAAAGGCGGTCAGACAAGGGCCAATCTTAGTGGTGTCTCCTTCAGGCTGAACTGTCCAAACTTGTAACTGTTCACGAATATCAATTATTGACTGAACAATATCAACTGGATGATCATATTTTTCTTTCCTTGATAAAGCACCGCTTAATATTTCTGTGCTTTGACCCTGTAGCTCCAATCGGACTTGTACATCATTCAATTTCTCCATGTTTTCTTGATGGCTCCATTCAGCAGCAATCTCCAGCTGGTTAAAGTGAATGTCCAACTCATGATGCTTGGCTCTACGGTCTGCCTGTAACTTTTGAAGTACATCTTCATTATTTTCAGTGTGATTTTGACTTGTAGTTTCAGCCAACTGCACATGACTGACATACAGTTCCCTCCGCTGTTCCACTAACACCATCAAAGATGACAACTGCTCGGCTGCGACTTGTTCTATCTTCAGAAACTTGTGACTTGCACGTTTACCAATACAGCACGGCCTACATGTTGGAGTTTTATCTATACTACAGAAGAACTTCAATGGATGTCCATGGTTGGGGCATGCTATGATCCTCTGTGAGTACAACTCCAAAGCAAGTTGAGCATCTTTTTTTCTATCCCCAGTCAGATCATAGAGGCGATGATAGGTTAACCGGGTGTGTTCCTTTCTACAGGGGTGACACAGGTTTTTAGCACATTCAACACATCTAGCAGCTGCTGGTAAACGTTGGCCATCCTTCATACAGTTGTCACAACTAAATGGAACCTTATCCCCCTTTCTTTTGCTTTTCTGGTGAACATCTACCAAGTTCTGAAGGGTGAAATTTTTCCTACATGAATCCTCTAGGTTTTCTGTGCGGACAGCTGCCTTGCATATTGGACATGGAAATTGAGATTTGTACTCATTTCGGGTAATCCAAGTTTTCAAACAGTCTGCACAGAATGTGTGTAGACATTTAAGAGATGTGGGAGTCCTTAATATATCCAAACATATAGAGCATGTTATAATATCCACATATTCCTCATCTGAAGGCATAGCCATTGCCATTGTGAGCACTTGGTAACTGAGTGATTCTGTATAGCTGTAGATCTGTATAGAAATATTTACAACCCTCACAAATTGTTTCACCACGAAGCAATTCCTTTAGTGCAAATCTGCCTCATTAGATTAGTTGAACACACTGAACAAACCATGTTAGCTATTGAACAATTAACTCAATTAACTGTTCATAATATGCTTTAGTTGGGGTTTCACGATAATTGGAGTTTAAATCTATTGTATTCACAGTATCAATCTAGACATTTTTTGGCAGGATTTTGCTTCTGCTTGTTACTGCATCTGTTCAGTTTTAAAAGTTTCTCACTGGGAATGTTATGCATAGCTGGTTATGTTGACCTATTTATAGCATAGCTGGTTATGTTGACCTAGTTATCGCACATTCTGATTTATCAGATTCTCTTTTTATCTAACGTTTTTGGTGAGAGGTATTCCAGAGAAGGATAATACTTGCTGTGGATCCTACAATGGTTATAGCATAGATGAGATATAAATATTGCAGCCTGTAGTACTTGCAGTATGTCTAAGCTGGGTCATTTAATTGGCTAAATTTGGACTGAAGATCACCTGCATTCATTTTCTGGTATGCACTCCTTTTTTCCACATTGATCTCAAGGCTACCCTCTGGCCCTCCCTATTATACGAAGATTTTGAAACAGTTGTTTCAGGATATCAATATTTTGATGTAGGTTGGGGAGGGGGGGTATTTCAGTTATAATATGTTCCAGAATAAATTGTTAAGAAAATAAATTATCAGAATGTCAAATAAATAATACCATGGGTATTGGGCTTACATGGTGAACATGTAAACTGAAAGTGCCAAAGATTTTTGAGCAACCAAAATGGCCACAATTTTGAAATGAGGTGACCTTCTAAGACACCACCTATTGGACAATTGAAGACTTTATATGGACACATTTTAGAGGTGAAACCACCTGAATTGTCCTGGAGGATTACACATGACCCAACAATGTGTTGGCAGATGACGGATGTGAACTGCCTATTTTGTATTCATAGGTAATTATAGGCTTATTATTGGCTCTATTGAATTATTTCTCAAAGAATTGTTCGCCATGTATATGTTATACAAAATGTTAACTTATATACATCACTTGATCATCACAGACAGATAGACAAGAAAACAGATAGATGGACTTACAAATGTGTGATCACCATGTGAGCTTATTGACATTCACAGCCAGTTGGGTTAGTTTTTGTCAAAAACAGTGATTTCAAGCTCAAAAGGGAAAATTCCCAATTCAAATCAATTTCTAAACACGAGAGGTTTAATTTACTGCATACTATATTTAAATAATAAAAGATTGAATTTAATATTGACCAACTGCACTTGTGCGCTACCTATGAACATTACAAACATTTCACAGAAGCCCATTTAACAGTTGATATACATATACATGTATAATCCTAAGGCAAATGCTTATTTACATGTATCTGCATGCACATTAATCATAACATTACCAACATTAATCATCACTATTATGAATTATTATGAATACACTAGTCACACTTATATTTGAAGGTTAATTTATATGTCATTTTTGATGTCCAAGCAAAGTAATATACAGAACTACACTAAAGAAAAACTTTCATCCTACTCTGAACTACATTCTTTTACTTTTGTACATTTTGAATTTTTATAAGCTTATAATTAACATAAAAAGATAATTCTTTCAGTCAAAATGTAATATTATTATAATATGTAATGTTACTAGATTGCAAGTTAATCTGGGTTGTATGTAGGACTATCCAGCATATATAAGATCACACTTACATCAAAGCTGCTCCCACGCTGTAACTTCCTCTCCAGTTGTTCTCGTGATTGGGGTGGGAAAAACTCATCATCTTCATCATCACCTTCGTTATCTACATCACTTATGATTGGAACATTCTGAAAGTTCAAATAGTATTGCAAATTAGTAATATCATTCAATCCGGAAGCCTATCAACAGAGGTTTTAAAACCTGCCACTATTGTTGAGGGACAGACAGACAGACAGACAGACGGACAAGTGAGTGATTGCAAAAGCTCACCGTGTGAGCTAAAAACCATTGTAATTTTCAAAGACTGATATTGTGTTTGTTTTAAAGAGGGTAACATAACCACATAAAGTAAGCCTTCATTTTCAAATGACAGAAACAAATGTCTCAATTTACAATAATAATATTTTCTGTATTATTTTGCCTTGAATGTGGTATCACCCATGTATAGCATTACTTTAAGATAGTAGAGATCTATGAAGTACTTACTGATGCTCTGTGGTCCCTTGAAATGATCATGGTATCACGACGTATGTCAGAGATGTGTTGTTCTGGTTCAATTGTATAGCGTCTTCTCTCTACAAGTACATGGATAATATAGTATTGCATATATAAAAAGAATCAGTGCGAGTTGTATTGAGTGTTTATCCAGAATAGAGATTCTGGTGTTAAGTTTGGTTATAAAATAAGACTGGTTGCTTGAAGACTGAACTTGAATACAATCATAACCAACAAGGCATGAACATGCAAAATTTCAACAACTGCCATTCTGTTACAAATGCCGAAAATGCCGATTGCCAACTACCGAACACCATCCACAAATAAGTTGAAGACTATAACACCACTTGTGGTGATTACATAATAAATCATAGATGCTAGAGAGCATTTCACTTTACACATAAACCTCTTTTGTTATAATCAAGTCGGTTGTGCCTTGCAGATAAAAATAGATTACATGTAGAATTTAAAATCTTTTAAGATAATCCCATAAATAAAAAATATCCCAACATACCAAGAGCACTCATAGGGTTCACCATAGGATTGTCATCCATGACAGATTTCACTGTCAAAACTCCCTCATTTTCAAGCCTCTGGGCCCAGGCTCCCCGGGCTGGCACAGCACCAGGAACATTCTCCTCAGGCTCTTGAAACTGCTCTGCTTGGATCTGAATACCAAAGAATAAATCATGAATTACAAGGCATTAACATGCAAAATGTCACCACCTGCCATTTTGTTACAGAAACTGAATGTTGACTGCTTAACACCGTTGACAAAAAAGTATAACAATGTCAACACTTAGTGTGGTGAAATAACAAAAATGAACTCTTCTTTTTGCATTAAACAAAATATACTCAAGTATAATATCAAAGGACACAATGTTCTGAAGTAAGCAGCAGATATGATATTAAGGTTACCTGTTTTTTAGCCCAGGATGGCAGATCCCCCACCTCCAACTGGAAGTCTGGTTTGGGTGAGGTCTCATGTGGAATGGGAGAGGGCTCCTTCAGGGTCTGCACTGGGAAGTCTTCAGGTTCTGGGGACCTGCCTAGTCTCTCAAGCACATTGGGGACAGTCACAAATGTCTCTCTCCTGTAAGTATACGACTCGATCATTTCTATTTTCATTATTTATATTTGGGTCAAAACATACAAAACATGTGCTATACCAATTTATAAAGAAACACATTTCCCAGACAGACATTATTTGTACGCAGCAGTTTCTAAAATTTCAAAATGCATTATCAATAAATAAAAGACATCAAGCGGTTTTACACCAATTGAACGAATCATATCTGTTAAGCATACATAATATTTATACACCTGTATGTTAAAGATAATGAATTAGGAAAATCTAGTTAGAATATTGAAGATAAATAAAACTTATGTATTGAATCTATATTTTCATGTGAGACTGAGCAGATAAGCTTCATAAATGTTAGAGAACTTAAACATGAACATGTAATCATTATTATTACTCCCGCAGAATACTATCCCCCTCTCAAGGGCTTTTCAATTGTTTTTTCCAAGGACCTGATTACAACTGCTTCCTAAATAGCTTTTTTCCTCAATCGGGTGAGTGAATATGTACATGTTCACATACAAGTTCATAACCTCCCTATTGTTCAATTGGTGTAATTGAACATATGTTCTACCATAAATTATATATACATGTACTATTGTTGTGGCTTATACCTAATCATTGAATATACAAACAAATAAAGGGTATACTTATAAATTAAACATACTTAGGGTTTTCAGTCTTGACGTCAAATGTTGCCTGGCCCATATCAGATCTTCTATTCAGCATTTGATTGGTCACTTCTGGAGCCAATCGCCACACAAATATACACCTATGAACAGATGTACTTAAAACAATAACAGAAACCATACAAGAACACAAATGTGTACAAAATGTCCCCACCTATGGGTGATCTCGTCAAATGGTTATCCTAAAAATGAGTAGACAAGACTTTACCGACACAATTTGAGGACGGAAAATCCAAAATGGCCACCTTAAAATTTATCAAGAATGCCAAAAAATTAGTCAGTTCTAGATTTTCATACTAAGAACCACCCCTGAAAATTTGAAATTGATCCGTCACACAGTTAACCAGAAAACATGTAAACAAGACTTTACAGACAAGATTTGAGGACAGAAAATCCAAAATGGCTGCCTTGACATTTATCCAGAATGCCAAAAACTAATCTGTTCTAGATTTTCATACTAAGAATCATCCCTGAAAATTTGAAATTGATCTACCAAACAGTTCACCTGGAAATGTGTAGACAAGACTTTACAGACGAGATTTTAAGACAGATAATCCAAAATGGCTGCCTTGACATTTACCCAGAATGCCCAAAAACTAATGAGTTCTAGATTTTCATACTAAGAATCATCCCTGAAAATTTGAAATTGATCTACCTAACGGTTCACCTAAAAACGCGTAGACAAGACTTTACGGGCAAGATTTTAAGACGGAAAATCCAAAATGGCTGCCTTGACATTTATCCAGAATGCCAAAAACTAATCAGATCTAGATTTCTATACTGAGAATCATCCCTGAAAATTTGAAATTGATCTACCAAATGGTTCACCTGAAAATGCGTAGACAAAACTTTACGGGCAAGATTTTAAGACGGAAAATCCAAAATGGCTGCCTTGACATTTAACCAGAATGCCAAAAAACTAATCAGATCTCAATTTTCATACTGAGAATCATCCCTGAAAATTTGAAATTGATCTACCAAACGGTTCACCTGAAAATGGGTAGACAAGACTTTACAGACAAGATTTTAGGAGGGAAAATCCAAAATGGCTGCCTTGACATTTACCCAGAATGCCCAAAAACTAATCAGATCTGGATTCTTATACTAAGAATCATCCCTGAAAATTTGAAATTGATCTACCGAACGGTTCACCTGAAAACGCGCAGACAAGACTTTACAGACAAGATTTTAGGATGGAAAAATCCAAAATGGCCGACAATAAAAAAGTGATTATGAGTTTTTGCTGAAATCTTTTTACAAAATTATCACATATAACTACTGTTAACAATAACATAGGCTTTTACAACAAAGTACACCTGAAATTATTTATAAAGCTACTAAAAAGTTAAAGTATGAAAACTGAAAAACACCATTCAATATGATACAAAGTATTATCGTGCGCTGACTTTTCTTAAAACATTCAAAATGGCTGACATGACTGAGCTAACAGGTCCAAAACCTAATAAGATCTAGAATGAAGTGAGCTGAACAAGATGTTAAAGTTTTAAAAGCAACTGTGAAGCCGTTTTTCTTAAAGTTTGCAGACAAGGATTTCAGCATTTGACTTCAAAATGGCCGACAGGAAGTAGGTATCGAGTTAATTTTTTTTCATCCACATCTGTATGCACTCATAAGTTATCCCTGAAAATTTGAAGGTGATATCTGTAGCGGTTTTGGAGAAAACTGCCGGACGTACGGACAGACAGACGGACAGACAGACAGACAGACGGACGGACAGACAGACGGACAGACGGACGCGCCTAGGCCGACAATATGGCCCCACACTATGTGGTGGGGACATAACAATGTAGTGTATTAAACTATACAACTTTACAAAAGGTAGAGCTTATTTGTAAATAATCACCTTATGTACCACACATACAAAATAAGGCATTAATATGACAAAATGTCACCACTCGTTAAGTTATTGAAAATTGTTACAGAAGCTGAACTCTGAACACTGACCACCAAACACCATCACGAAAAGTTGGAGACCACAACATTGTCACCACTTTTGGTAAAATATCTCATTTAAAACAAACTTACCCATCCCCCGACACAGATATCAGATGGCGTAAATCATTGCTGAATTTCACCCCTGTAGCTATCTCTGAATGCCCGAACATTGAGGCTGCAATCTCTCCAGAATAAAAGTCATAGACACACAGACTTTTGTCTGAGCAGCTTGTCGCAGCAAACATTCCAGTTGGGTCAATTGAGACTTTAATGAGCGTGCCGTCATCAGCAAGTGCTCCTTTATAACACTTCTTCTGTTTACCTGTCTTGATGTTATAAATTCTAAAACGAAAAATGTTTTTGAAGTTATGTTTAAAATAGACATGGATAGCATAAATAAAATGTATGAAGTGATTTAGAAAGGTAGGCAAAGCGGAATGAGTAATCTGTCAAGTTGAATTTTTAAATGTTGGAGTCTTGCCTCAAACCTCTCATCTCCTCTTCACCCAGATTGTGTACAGTGGAATCTGAACTCTTGCTGATCTGAACACTTTTGGTCTGTGCCAGAGGCATTCGAATTAAACAGGTTTTACGATATATCTTAATGGGGGAATACGAATGGCTTGATGAACTTTGATTTTTCCATATATAGGCTTGTGAAAACCTTCAATTTCACCTACCTGAGTTTTCTGTCTTGACAGGCAGTAGTAACAAACTTGTGTGTTGGGTCTATATCCATGTCATACAAAGTATTCTTTCCCACAAGGTGTTCTTGGAGAACAAACTGGAAGTCTGGGTTCTGAAAGTATTTCCATAGGTGTTCATACAAATTCCGTTTTTGTATTTCTTTCAACCGATTCAGTTCTCTGAATTGTTACCATGGTGACAGATATGGTCAAAATCGGTTTAAACTTATAACATGTCCAATCATCCATATGTATTCAATGTAAAAGTTTTAAGGCTATCTGATAATTACTTATAAGTTTGCAAATTGTAACAAAAGTGTAAGAATCTTGTTACAGATGCGAAACACCAATGTCAGTCACAAAATTGTGGAGACCATAACAATATACCACAATTGAATTGTAATGACATAATAAACTACACATTTTTATTTTTTAGTTGTAATATGTTAACCCTGGCTTACATGTAATTACATGTAGTAAATCTATCCTTTATGTTGATGGTGGACAATTACCTAAATTTATTTAGAAATCATTGACATATATTCATGCTTAATATATATTAATATATGCTACTAATAATGTTTTACCATTTGAGCATGTCTGAAGAGAATTGATTTATCAGCACCACAACTGAGCAATTTTATCTGGCCTTCATTCTCTGAGAATCTAACAGCAGTAATGGAAGAGGAATGGTCATCTAGGGTCTGAATAAGTCCATAATCTTGCTCCACATCAAAGACATGAAGCAAGCGGTCCCTACTGGCAGATGCTAAGAAATTAGCGCCCTTTGTCTGCTTGGTATATTCCAGACATAGGACCTCCGAATCATGAGCTTCGACATAGGCCATCTGCTCCATGAACTGCAAATTGTGAACCCTGTAGAAACAAATGTGAATCAATGACCAATTTTTTTTAGTAGTAGTGCAGTTACTTATTTTTTTTATATGTTTGATATATTTAATAAAAGTCTTAACATTTTCATACCTTATATTTCCACATCTGTCCCCAGAGGCGAGTTGTTGCCCAGAGGGTGAGATCTTGAGGGTCCTCACCCCCACCTTAGCCTCAGCAGCATCTGTCTTGTCTGTTGTACCCGCAACATTGCTGTTCTCATCACACAAATGCTCTCTATTACCATCCAGGTACACTATCTTTACAAGCTCCTAATAATAGGAAAAATAGGAAATTTAAGCAATAAATTTTGAAGCAGATTTGGCACTGACATACAGTAGTACATAGCATTATTATCCGTGTAAAATCATCTTGAAGCTTTTAACAATACATTTGCATTCTTATAGTACCCTGTTCTAAAAACATCCTCGATTAGAAAACATGATGTAGAAGTGGCAAATGTATTTTATCCATCTCAATGAAAATTGGTTAGAAATCTTTAAGTGACCAGTTCAATATTCTGATATTGTTTCAGAGCATAAGTACATTTCTGGTCTTACACACCAACCTCATCCCTCACTCATCTAACATGTCATTGAACATTCACTGATTTTTCTCAAATTAAAATGCATTTACTATTTCATTAACCATATCTTTTAGAAAGAGGAATTAACAATAACTCCAGATTGCCTTACATTGCTGTATATATTTCTCCTGTAAGCGGTGTCTGTTTGCATATTTGACTCTAAGTTCCAGATTCTTATGGTGTTATCCCCAGAGGCTGTAATGAATGACCCTTTCGGTAATGCATCATGTCCTTCCTTTATATCTGGATAGGTCTGGAATACAACATAGAAAACAAGCCATTAACATGCAAAAGTAAATGTCACCACTTGCCATTTGTTACAAACACTGACCACCAAATGCCAAACACCAAATGATGATCACCAAACACTTTTTACCACATAAAAACCACTGAATATGTGAAATGAAAGCCAATCACATTTTATTTTAAATAAAAAGCATTAACAAGAGTTTGTTGGGCGATATTAAAAGTTTTTCAAGATGAGATAGAGTTAAAATGTTGCAAGCAATCTTGCAGTGCTCTGAACTATTGATATTACAATATTAACATTCACTCCGCAATTTCAAGCTCATAACATATTATTCAATGTATTATTACCATTATGGACATACTCACATCAATATCCCATATACACTGACTGTGATACAGGAAGGACCAGACCTTCCCAATCTTCTTGACATCTGTAACATCCCACATATAGAGACTATGGTCACTGTATACACATGTCACTTTATTGCTCACATCATCGAATGCTATTGCAACAGTCTGTGGAAACTTAGCATTGTCAGGGTACTCCACTAAATGTCTCGGTTCCAACCCTTGTGAGACATCGACTCCGAGGTAATGTGGGCGTGGCATAGTAGCCACGAAGTGAAGATTATATGAATCGAAAATCCTCACTATACCATCGGAACAACCTATGTATATAGCATCTTCTCCCACTGACATACAAAATGCTTGGGACGTCCTTAATTCAACCCATTTATCAAGGAGCCTTTGTTCATTAAACTCACATAGTAATCCGCTTTGAGTTATCACATATAACACCTCACTGTTTTGCCCCTTCCCATATGCTCCATCCATGAAGCAGTTATTCCTTTGTTCCCCAAGGATACCATTTCTACCAACAAGTGGCAATGTTTCTCCTTTGATTTTAGATTTACTCGATTCAAGGTACCAGAATCTGACATGACGGTTTCCAATTGTTGCGAATTGTTGTCCATTTTCACTAAAGGCAACACCCTTTACTTTAGAGGATACCTTGTTAGAGCAAACTTTACGGTTGACTTTCCATTCGAATACATTAACTCCCATGTCATGTTGGGTCCCAATGGAGACTATGTAGCGTAAGTTTGGGGAGAAGGCCTGGAAATGAAAACCATGCGTATGCAGGCAATATATTTTCAGAAAATCATGTTAATATTTTCTTTTGCATTAATAGAAATGTGTTAGAGAGAATGAAATGATAAATATTGATGGGTGTAGTCCTTTTATTCAGAATTACAGGAAATGCTCCTTTAACTCTAAAATGTACAAATAGGCAGAATTCTTATACAATTAGGACATGAACTAAAAATGAGTTTGTAAAATATGAAGCTAGTATGAATAAAATGACAAAGAGTGATTATCTCACCACACAGCTGATCCCGAACTTGTGTCCCATAAACTCCGCCAGCTGTGTTTTCTCCACGACGTCCCACACCCTGACACATGGCAAGTGACCATACTGGAATTGTCATAAAAATTATAATTACACACATTCATACTTAAAGAGAGAAGGTAGAATATTGAAAAATAAAATTACTGTAGACATTTACATATTTCTAATCATCTGTGAACTGATATTGTTGGTTCATTTTTCAAAATGTATAGATTTTGAAAGATATAAGCCACAAAGCATCACGCCTCTTACCTCTCCAGTGACGATATATTTGCCATCTGAGGAAAATGACAGACATGTCAGTGTTTTGCGACTTGTGTTGAATATGTGACTCTGTTTGTTCTTCTTGGGGTGAAATAGAACTATCACACACCTGAAAGTACATGGGAATATGGGATTAAGCAACATTATTAATACTATTAATATGGGATTAATAATGAATGGATTCTTATATAGATGGCAGTATAATACTACTAACACAATCATATTATTATATACTCATATATAAAATTGAAAGGCAAAATACTACGCCTCTAGAAGAATACTATTTTGAGGTGAAACAGCTTTTATCAAAAATTCAACCAGACCATGATCTAATAAGGTATACTTCTATGAGTTTGTCTCAGCTGCTTTAACGCTATAGCCCCAAACATATCTATTTTCTACTCCCAAAACCCTCAAGGTGTTTGTGTCAAGATACCCGGACACATATTTCAAAATACGTATTTGTATGTCTCAATAACAATGATTATTTTTAGAGGCGTTTCATTCAATTCCATCATGCAATCTCTTTGGCATGAATATACACCAAGGAATGCATTCTTTATAAACTATTGCATGTTTAAAGATCTTTGAAGCAAGGCCTCTAATTTAAATATTTTCAGTTTTTGTCTCATATCCTATTAACACCCATGTTTTCTATGTCTACCCTACACATTTGTTTCACTTAGCTTCTTAAAAGATAGCTTCATGTACATATTCTTTAGTTTACTGTACAGTGTAGGGATGGTCTAAGCTATTATGCATTTTGCAAGTGTCTTTACATTTCATAATTATAACTTTGATTCAAAATGCATCACAACTTATAATGCCCATCAATACCGACGACTATGTAAAAGGCAACAATAACATCCATACAACTGAACTCATGAATCATTCATCCAATTGGGAACACTTTTTATAAGGTTCATTATTCAAGATTACATTAATAAAACCAGACAGGCATACTTAGCCGCCACTGCCCTTCTTTCAGAAGAAAATACCAACAAGTCAAGACAGCAAAACAGCTCAAGTGCAGATACTGTTAAACCAGTGTATTCCTTCAGTCATGTACCTTGATAGATCAAGATGGCAAGTGCATGGGAGACCTGGGAATTGGATTTGATTTGGTCACAATTGCAGTGAAACCTGTATATCTGAACACCTCTCTAAATGTGAACACTTTTTCTCAGTCCCAAATTAACTTTCTCTCACTGACTTACATGTTTAGAAAACCTTGAATTGTGAACACTAAATAATATGAACAATTTTGGCCAGTCCCTCAGGTATTCTCATTAGACAGGTTTTACTGTACTTAATTCAGGTGATTCATTCCAATGCTTGGGCTGGGCCAAAGACCCAAAACTTTAGAAATGTGGAGTGAAAAAAGGGAATCATCTAATGCATATACATGTATAGTATGCTCCTATAGGTATACCCAGAATGATATTTTGCGAGTGTGAATTGAGTAAAATGCTAATTCTGTAATTCTATAGCAGTCCTGGAATCTTACATAGAAGATATACCTCCACACATTGAACCAGTCACAGGCATTATCTAATAACCCTGACAAAAAAGTAACAGATGGGACGAAAGATACATACTATCTCTATAGACACATATAAAATTTTAATAGTACATTTTAATCAAAACTTCTTTTTCAACTTTTTTTAGTAAAGCCTATTGGCACTGACATAAACCTTTAAGATATTTGAGACAACTTTTCACCATCAACATCTGATGCTACATGTACATGGTGATGAACTTACAAGCATCTTCAATATTCCAATAATAGATATATTCATTAATTACATCAATGTTGTAGTGATCATCATTTAGTTATATCTACATTATAGCCAAGTATGTATCTACCTAGGCTAGGATATGCTAGTATAAACAATGTGAGGGTATAGATAGACATATGCTTAATCATTTCAGATGAGAATATTCCTAATCTTAGAAAAATTTAGAACCCTGGGCCTTTCATGTGCATCTGGGGTTCAAATGAATAAAAAAAAATTAGTTTCACTGCTCTGTCCACCTTCCCCTGGCCCTCTAGCAGACCCTTACACCTCTGGATCAACCATTCAGTTCTTTTCATGTAGTCTCTGGCTATCCCTCACATATCTATTCTATCCCTATAATAGTGACAATGGGGCCAAGTTATACTGGAGCTTGGTACAAGACTATTTTCCCTGAACTATTAAACTATGAGAATACTAACAAGTAAATTAAGATCTCCTTTGGGATAATAGAAAATGTTGATCTTATGATATTTATAAATAAATGAGAGAGAAAAACAATTTTTGAAGCAAAACATATTCAATCAACTGAAACAGAAGTGAGTGAATGCTTCTTAGCGTGACATCCTATGCTGTGGATCTACCAGCAGGACAAGCCTAAAAATTCAATATCTACAAAACAAGCATTGCAAATACCGTTTTCTGAATGTATCCAAATATGTAAACATTCATGTTAATTACACAAAATGTGCATTTAAAAACATAGGAACATTTTAAGCACTGTTATTGACAGCATGTTTCATCATGGGTGGCTAAAAGTGAGTTCTGGTCTGATAAATAGACCATATATTTCACCATGCACAACTGAAGAAATTCATAGCCCCCTTGGGTACCAGTCACAAATAAAGAATAAGAAGAACACTGTATATTATCAATTACATCACTGAAGCCCTTTTTAAACTTGCAAACTTAACGAATGCATACATGAACTTTGTATGAGTAAAATCTGGCAAAAATTAAGATTTGCGTAATAATAACGAAGATGAAAGTCTGAAAATATAGTTTAACTCAGAGACGAGATTATGAGAAGTTCAGAGTGACACTGACATTGGGTAGAAGCATATGAAGCAGCCACTAATTGCAAATTGTAGACAAGAGCATGAAGATTTCAAGAACTAATATCTTCACAAACCGCTATATGTTATGTGTTTTGATAGATAGAGGATTTTTCTGAATATTAGTGTGAAGCTTTGTTGAAGTATCTAATGCATGTCAAATGTCGAGTGTTCGAGCATATGGACTTATTCATCAATCATTACCACCTCCCATTTCTTTTTCTATTATAGAGAGGGAATTGGTGGGATATAGTATTTTGATACAAGGCTATAATACAAAATAACACCAGACTACTCATTGTATAACTATCTATTTTACCTTGCCAATTCACAAACCACAGTTGTGCATCATACCAAAACAAACCACATCCTACTCATGTGTGTTTTTATGGCATCATGGTCCCTGGATACATAGGTTTTCATCAATCCTCTCCTTGGTGAACAGTTGCTGGTGGAAGATGGCAAGTATTAAGATTTTACTTTTTGATTTCAATATCTTGATTAGCATGTATTTGACTCAAAGCATGATGCCTGAAGGTACCACACCCAAATGGGGCTCCCAAATAGGTCCCTTACACCAACTTTTATATTTTTGATCTGGTGTCTATCTCTTGGCATAGGCAAATTCATATTTACTTTTCTATCAAGAAAAGTGTAACTTATTTGTCCATGTTTCTTACCTTTTGACACCCCAGAATCACCACTACCATTTGGAAAACTCCTCTTATCATATGGATGGTTTCCCCATTAGGTGCCCATGATACCCTGGGCCATCATGCCATACTCCACAATTCAGAACATAATACATCATACTTTCACATCACATCAATCTATGAGATGTATGTGTGGTAGTGGTACATCAAAACAGGTATTCTAATGGGCTAAACAGGTCCAGTTTTTAATAGCTGGCCATTAAGATTGAATGTGATGTATTTTACTCAAGTACCACTAATGGTCAAGTTAAGTATGCACATAGATATTTACATATTAGGATCCCCTTTAGAAAATACAAGTAGAAATTTATCTTGATATTTTAACAGGCTTCACTCTGATTATGATATCCCATAATTCTGTTATTTCAATCTGTCTTGAATCATCATTATATCTTCCATATAACAAAATATGTTATCTTTTTATGGACATGGACGAGTTTTACAGACATAGGGGAGCTGTACGAGCGCTGGTATATTTTGCAGCAGGTACTGATAGGTGAACTGGATTGACTTTGATGATTTGAAGTGAGTAGTTGAGAGATGGTCACCTGAAGCCTCACAGGTACTGTTAGAATAACACACACTACTCTGGATCCACTTCAGTTAGTCATACTCCCCTCTTATCATTACAAATGATTTGCAATTTTAATACTGATGAGATCTTAACAATCTCAAATGTAGCTTCAATGGGAGTTTCAATATGAAATGAATGTTAGTAACTCATTTGTATACAAGGCATTAACATACAAAATATCACCACCTGCCATTTGTTATGGACAAGGAACTCTGACCACCAAACACTAACCACCAAATGACAAATACAGTTCACAAACAAATTTAAGAGTATATATGTTGTTAAGCTCTTTTTCAGGGTATATAAACAATTGGATCCTATCCAAACATAATGCAGGTTGGTGTTGCTCTAATTCCAACCTATGTTTATGCATGTACCTGACCAGAGGGACATACAGGGTGAGCCAAGTTATAAAGATCCAAAACAATAAGCTCTGAGCTTGTATATATTATATATACCGATGTGAGGTTCCATAAATTTTGGCACACCTCGTGACATTAATAAAATATTTATTATGAAAGTCTCTGGAACTTGTAATGCATTATAAAATATTAATGTAAGGTTAGATTATTCGATGAATGAAACCAATATAATACAACTGTTACATATTAGAATATTTTGCCTTTTAAAATCCAAGTCCAGCTCGGTATGATACAGTTGTGTTTATAAGATGAAACACAGGTGCTAGTGTTAAGTGAAGACTAAATATGTGTTAATCTGCACAACTGGAATCCTGAAAGTTCTATCTTTTCAAATATCATGATACGTTACAACTCTGCTCTGGGTATCTGTTGCTTTGGGGATCTAGGTATCTATTCTCCAGATGAATGTATGGCTTATCAGTCTTACCCACAGTATTAAACAGACACAAAATCTCTCAAATTGAGGCAATCATCTCATTTATTTTACACCTTTTGAGTACAACTTTTATTCCAAAAAGGCATATGCATGTAAAATAAATCTGACTATTG